AAATGGCCCATTTATAGATGGTTTACCTATTAAACATGGTGATTTTCAATAGCTATGTTAAATTACCAGAGGGTAGTTATCCCCCCAAAAAATATCATTATCCCAGGGTGCGATCTTGTATGTCACGTAGGGGTGAGCTGGTGTGGTGTCAGCTGATCCCAGGGTTATCTCATCAAAATATTAGGGTTGAACGGGCGGGACGGCCGTCCCAGCCGTCCCACCATGAATGGGAATCTAGAGCGATACCAGCCATATATCAGGTGTGTCACTGTGTATATCGTAAGGGCTTGTACCTCCAAAATACTCACCTAGTCCCAGGTCCTAAATATCTTCTAAAACTTGGCTTTCTATGGCTAAAAATATGGTACAATACCTATCAATACCTCTACCTTTTAAATAGCGATCCCAGCCATAAATCCCTATGGATTGATGACTTACCATGCCGCCATGGATCCCCTGGTTGAAACAACCAGCGCTGGTATCAGTTAGATTATATAAAATCATAGAAGCATATATGATTCATAGTGTATATTATCAGTGTGATTATTGATGATTATATTGTATATATACACACTTATGACCCCGAAAAAAAGTTCATAGTTGAAACAGAAATCTGCAAAGCCTACGGCCCTGACCGTGTCGGAAGTCAACTGAAGTTCAGAGGGTTGGGGAATTTGATCCCTTACGAAGAGAAGTGGAAGTTAATAAACCATTCAACATGTGTGTGTGTGTTCAGAGGGGGGGCTTTGATCTCTTATGAAGAGAAGTGGAAGTTAACACAAAAAACAATCAAAATGTTTGTTCAGAGGGGGTGGGGATTTGATCCCTTATGAAGAGAAGTGGAAGTTAACAAAAAAAACCAATCAACATGTTTGTTCAGAGGGGGTGGGGCTTTGATCCCTTATGAAGAGAAGTGGAAGTTAAGAAACCATTCAACATACTTGTTCAGAGGGGGTGGGGATTTGATCCCTTATGAAGAGAAGTGGAAGTTAATAAACCATTCAATTCAACATATTTGTTCAGAGAGGGTGGGGGATTTGATCCCTTATGGAGATTAGATTCCGCTAGTGGAAAGCGCCCCTGTTAAACTTATTCATGCCTCAGCCGGATATCAGGGTTGCTGAAAGCAGCAGGCTACAGTCCTTACTTGTGTCGCCAAAGAGTAGCATGTTTGGAGGGTGTAGATCATGTTTGAGTTAGATAGTAGAGAGATCTTGTGGGTTATGGTCGAACGGGTTTGGCGCCATGTTAAACCCCCAGTAAAATCACTGTAATCATTCGAGTCTAGCGGCGCTGGTGCCCTTTGTGTGCCACCTTCGTCTCCCCAACTGGAGATCAGCTGAGAAGCCGCTTGCGTTGGGCTACCCAGGATCTGTTCTTAGGGAAATAAATGATGATCTATAATATGGTCATATCAGAACACTAGCAACATAGTATTATATGTTATATGAAGTAGTCACAATATGTCACAATAACAATTTAATTATTATATGAAGTAGTCACAATATGTCACAATAACAATTTAATTATAATATATTATAATGGTATCTTATAATCACTGTTGCAATAGACATAGTAATAGGAATGTAATAGGTAATAACTCAAAACAATACTGATTAATCTGATTTTTTTAATGGCACTGGTTTAACTACTGATATTACTTAAAGACACTGTCGTAATGAAACATTGCCTCGTACGAAACGTGCGAAACCTCCCCCTCCAGAGCTGCTTGCGGTAAGAAATCTTTCCAAGGAAGGAATAGTATCACTTGAAACCCTTTACATCAAAATCCCTGAACAATCCTATTGAATTCCATTTAACATCCCATTTTCAGACTCCATAAAAATCCCATTCAAATCCCATGAAATTCCTATGTCACCAACCATCCATGGCGATATATCCATCAGAAAGAAGCCATCAGAATGATGCACCTCGTCAGCTGCCATGGAGGCTGCCCTGCCACCTGGCGACAAAGGTGGAAGTTGGAAGTGACCCTCTGGTAGTCCATCGTGACAATTTGAAATCCCATTGACAAATGGAGCTTTTGCTGGGAAATCATCGAACGAACTTTTTGGGCATTTGCATGGAATTTCCATGAATTTCCATGTTGGATTACCAGAGTGTTATCACAAAAAAAAAAGGTCCATGGTCCATGACCATGACAAATGTATTCATTAACCTTTATCTCGAAGAAAAGCATTTCAACTGGAATCCTGCCAAATCATCCTCCAGCAAAATAACATTTGCTCTGGTATAGATTGCACATTTAAAAGCATAGATGATTCAGGCATTAAACATGATGACTGTGCAAGGCTATGTAAAATTACCAGAGTGCCAGCGGGTAGAGCTTGGTCATGTTCTTCTTGGATTTGCCCAAAGTTTAAAGGGTCCCTGAACAAAAGATCAAAATAACCAATCAATGACTTGGCAACCCCGGATCTTCTGAGCTTTAAGATGTTTTAAGTGTCCAGTTTTTGGGCATGGCCAATTTCAATTTTAGTTGATCAATATTCCACCTTGTTGCTTCGTTGCTTACTATCTAAGATGATCTACGATGGTGAACATTTATGAACAGTTACCTAAAAATGGAAGTATGGCGACAGAACCTCAATAGTAACTCAGTTACACTGAATAGACTTCAGAAAGCGTGCTGGGACTTCGTACCATCCGTTAAAATGCACAAATAGCACGAGGTTTGAATATCTAATGTATTGTTTCCTCGTCTCCGTAGGTTTACCCTAGGTTCAACACCTGAAAGTGGGCAAACTATTTTCTGGATTCGCTCCTTGAGGTCCCAGGCATGGTTGCATCACTCACCTGCAGATGAGCAACTTCTTTGGCAGAAAAACTCAGGACCATTTGTCAAAGGAAGTCCACGCGTAAGGCCCCGTGACCATTGACCAAACATTACCAATCTTCGTGAGCCGCACCAGCGGAAATGGGGTCTTAATTTTCAAACTCCAGGAAACACAGCAGAGCGTTGTGTCACACGATTTTATCTTCAAACATGTTTTGGAGAAAAAAATACCCTCTGGTAAACTAACATAGCTATTGAAAATGGCCATAGAAATAGTGGATTTTCCCATTAAAAATGGTGATTTTCCATAGCTATGTTAAATTACCAGAGGGTAAACATTACCGTAACCACCAGCATAATAAGTATGGTGGTTTCTGGTATTAAATTTTGACTGCAGTCATGTGGGCAGCACTGAAAATCTCTTCAGATGTAGGCATGGTTTTATCTACTGACTTCCTCAATACAAGCCTCCACAAACAACCATTAGCCAAGCACTGTGGCAACTGTTCATGCAAGTTTATCCGAATATGTCATCCGAAAAGATACTAGTAGAACTCAGTAGAACCGTATTTCAAGGATATATTTAGATGATGTTTTCAAAAAAAGGAGATTTGCAACTTTTCTATCTTTGTTTGGGTGCTATACAGTAAGCCTATCTGAATATTCCATCAACCTTAAGCAAATTCATCTAAACGGCTCCATGTCAGCGATTTTTGCTCAGACGTCGCGGCCGCGGCTGTACAAAGGCTGTAGCACAGCAAGTTTGACAAACGCCAAACACAAACTGTTGATGTCATCGAACATCCGATCCAAGTAGCTGAAAATGATTTTGCTGCACTTGCGTCCTTCACACTTGGGAAAGGAGTGATTGGTACCAAGTCGGGATCAAATTTTCGAAGCAACAGCACGTTGAAATCCGTCTGTCGACCCCACGAGTTGTGTGGCTTCTGTACAGCCTCCCAGGGGTCCTATGAATGCTATGAACACTGTTCCGCTGTCAAAGGCAGCAGATACCAAACATGGAACGTTCCATTCTGTGCCAAAATCTACATCTTGTTTTCAGCATCCCACCTTTCAGCAGACTTAGCCCTCTTGTCTCCGAAATTGGACTTGTGCCATCCAAAACTTTATGTCATATAAAGAATCATCGAGAACTATCCTGAAAGCGGTGACAAAGAAATCGATCCCTGTACCACTTTGCCTCTCAATACTGTGTCAAGCTCACTTTAGGAGCAGACTCACCCTATGAGCATACTTTCTCCACACAACCAGTGTTGCGCTTGTTTCCTGCGAGAGCTAAATCTGCCTGGGGAAATTCAGGGGAAGGTCATTTTGTTGATCGACATCCTGTGGTCTGACTATGATGTAGCTACATGACCCTATCACAAGTGGTTTGGTTCAAGGAAATTGTCGCGTGTTTCGGCTTTTCCCGTGGTTTCCAGGATCAAAGCGTCAAGTCTTTAAAGCAGCTCGAGCTGGCCCTCGGATATTGCGTATCAAGAGATCCCAAACCAGCAATTGGTTCTCCCATGTTCTCCCTATTTGAAGATCGTTGGGTGCTTTTGCCAGAAATCAAGCCTTCCAAAATCTCGAAATCCAACGTCAGACATCGTTATTTTTCACAACATGAAGCTACGGCAGGGCCCCAGGGATGATCTCGGAGAATCCCTGAGAAATACTGATCCAAAAGCTCCCATTCTCTGTGTTTGAGGTATCTTCCTGTTTTACTCCGGGGACCCTTTTCACCCCGGGAAGGCTTAAAGGGTTAAACGTCTACCGTCATACATATTAAGTGTGACCTGGATCGCACATCTCACTTGAACAACATGCATTTTTTTTATCCCGTGGAAAAAACTCTCATGTTTTGGGTTAAAAGCAAAACCACAATAAACAAAACAGGTACTTCAGTAAAGGACCTAGAGCTTGGTGTGCAATATCTAGTCGCTACTGGCTCAGAATGTTCTTGGATGGACCTAATGCCTCATGTTTGCTTGTTTGAAACACCAGAGACAACGCCAAGCAATTTGAATTGAATGAATCATCCTTCAATGTTAGGGTCCAAAAATGGGGCAACCTTGAGTCAACTGATTAATCATGTTGCCTATGAACTAAGCCATTTTGGTGGTACAAACCATCAACGATTTGACCGTTCCGCCGATGTCGCAGAAATCTACACTCACCGTGCCGCATCGTCCGTGCTGCATCAGCACCTAAGCACACTGCGAACGTACTTGCAACAAGTCGTGATATGGATAGATATTTCTCACATGATTTTTATAACATAAGCCCATCTCCCAATAAACATGTTGTTTTGATAGAGTATTGGATTTTTTTGAGGGACCACATGATATATGGAAGTTCTTTCGGGAAACCAACTTCTTTCAGCATGGCCAAAGGATGCTGGATGTCTAGTTAAGAACAGCTCTTCCCCGCTAAAACGGAAACGTTACAAAAACACAAACAGCATCAACAATGGGTCATCATAGTCAATAATCCCCAATAAATTAGGTAGTACAACCATGTACAACCCGTTAGTGTCATTTTATAGTAGGGAAACCCATGAAAATTTATTGGGTTATGATTCATTTCTTTGAGGATGCAGAATCTCATCAACTATGATACAAAAATGAATCCACTGAATTCCACACTATGGGTTTGTCTAAAAAGGAGTAGTACAACCCCATTTATGGTTGTCTTAGTGTGAAACTGATGATCAACCATCAACCATGTGTGGAAGTCTCAGTACACGGAATGTTGAAAAAGTGTTTACCCCACATATTATAATACAATATCTCTACATATCTCTACATATCTCTACATATCTCTATATACGAGTACACGACAATCGGGCTGTCTTTGTCGATGTTTTGCTCGTTGGCACATCCAGTCGTCATCTGTCGAGGATGATCCCAGGCATGGCAACTGAGTATTGGCCACGCTTGATTTGCTTGGAACGTCTTGATCTTATTCGATCTTTGTGATCTAAATATTGATATTCAAATTATACATATTCCATTTTGTACTGCAGTTATACTTCATATGCCAACAATTGAAAGTGCCTTTGCCCATGCCACCTGCATCCACCTGCCATGTTTGGCCTTAACACCAGCATTGTTTGTTGTGCCATGATATCACAAGCATCATTGGTTGTATACCCATGGTCTTCCATTTTTTGAGAAGGACGTTCTGATTGCAGGAGGTAATATGCCAAGTGCTTCTATCAAACCTGATTCTATCCAGTTCTATCGCACATGATTCGAACTCAACTTGCCACTTGCCGGGGCGCAACAAGATCTCTTGCACCCATTGTCCCCATTTCCTGGAGTTCCAGGGATTGGAGCTGGCTTTGGCAAAAAAAAATGACAAAAATGGGTACCCTCTGGTAGTTTGTTACAGTTTGCTATGGTATAGATGGCCCATTTGCAAATTATTTCCCTACATTACAAATTAAATTCATGAAGTACAAATCTTTAAAACGGGACCAAACACAAGAAACACCCATACAACACTTGGTTTGCCGGACTATTATCACCCTCATCATCAACATACTTTACAATATTCACACCGCTGGTACAACTTGAAACTGATCTCAATAAGAATGATGAATGATGATTATAATATGTCTTGTAATTATTAATATCTCAAACCACCAAACATACAAATTTATCTTACTGACGACAGTAATCATGATAATTATGATTGATTGTAACACTATCTTATATCAACCTGGGTATTCATACTTAGGACCCGGGCCAGGTTTTTGTAGACCTTAATTTGCCTATTCCGGGAAGGCCCCTCTACAAAATACAATTTGTATCGAGGAATGTCCGGTACAAAATGCAAAGCCAGGTCAGGTTTTGCCACTACAAAATGCAAACGCACCCAACATAAATTTTCGGTACAATTTTTCAGGGGATGCTACTTGCTGATCTACTACTTGCAATTTGCATTTTGTACCGAAGCCTACTTCCACCCTTAAAAACATGTACCACTTGTTGCCCCCCATGAGGTTTGCTGTGATTAGCTGTGATTCAGAATGAATCTGGCCAATTTACAATATTTCTTGGGTCGTACCTTATTTTCAATAATTCAAAATGAAATTAAGTGAGGTCGTCTGAAAAACGAAATTAGAATTCCAGGATAGAGCTTCATAGGGCCAAAAAATATTCAGCGAACAGGAAACCAACAGCTCCATGGCTTGGTAAACTTTGAAGATCCTGACCTGCTCCAGAGGTGTTTCAAGAAAACAAAAGTGTTGGCAGAATAGGGGACCGTCCGCATTTTGTAGGGGCATCATGCTTGCTTTTTTGCTTGCTTTTTGTTTGTAGATGTTTTTAGGGCCCTTTTTGAACTATGAAGCACAGAGGGCCACCAGCAACAGCATGGAAACCAGCACAGAAGGGACAGACCCTTGGAGCATCTCGGCACAATTTAAGGTTGAATCATTGATTCACCTGATCTTGAAGTGCATCCAAGACCAGTTTGGGCAGAGCCTCAAGTTCCAGCACCTGTGTCTAGCCTGCATTTCCAAATAAGTTGTGGGGAGTGGGGAGCGATGCTGCAGACATGGGAGCAGTTGAAGATTGATATTTTTTGATATCATCATATCTTTGAAGCCTTTGGTAGATGCCAAAATCATCCAAAAGCCAGGAATCTGAACCTGGGCCCAAAAGTTGACAGAAGGACGCCGTTATATAAGGAAATTAAGCAAGAAACAAAACCTTTTCAACATGCGCATTTTTGTGAGATTTCTTGTGTCCGGCAGGGTGGCCAAGTCAGGGCAGTGGTGAAGCCTTACAAATGTCATTTTGTAGGATCCAAGGCATGGTGAAGTGTTTTTGTAGGCAATCAGAACTCTCAGAATTTGAATTTCCTTGGGGCCCCTTCCCAGGCCCTATGCAGCCCAACCGCTGCCCAACTGCCAAAGAAAGCCAAACAGTTTCAAACACTGTGTATCCCACCATGGTCATGATTGTGCTGTGATGCTGCCTGCTTGTAAATGCCATCATATGCTGTCAAAGTTTCCAGAAAAATACACATGAATTTATACAATACTGCATCATCAACGTGATCTCAAGCACTTTGGGAGATGATCAGCCAAATGCTGCTACAAAATGCGGCAACCAGGAGAACAAATGTGCAATGACAGCCCAAAGGTGCCCTACAAAATGCAAAATCCTGAGGTAAGATCTTCCAGAAACCAGAATTTTGGAAACAACATGGAAGCACTACAAAATGCCAAGCCGGGTGCATTTTTTTCCATGAAAAAATGGTTTTGGTACAAAATGTATGGCCCAGGAGGAATTAGCCGTACAAAATATTGGTCCAAACCTGTTTTCTACCAAACCCGGGTGAACGTATTTCGTAGAGGAAATTCAAACCCCGATTATCTTATAACATCTTATATTAAAAAAACACACTTAACCACTTAACCATGGCTTCCAAGCGTAGTGTTTTTTGTGTATGTCTTAATGGCTTAACACCTGGCGTAGTGTATGGCTGACCCTGAACCATGGCTGCAAGCGTCTCATCGCTGATCTTAGCAGCTTCCACGGCTCCGGCCGTCAGCACTGCGGGGCGCAGCTCGGGATAGTAGGCCAGCAGGTACCTGAGAAACCCAGGGGCCAAATATGTCTGGGCGCAGATGTTTGCACTTCGTAAATTATGTAAATTATGTATACACCAAAAATATCCAAAAATTATCAAAAATTGGGTTCTACTCAAAGATGCAGCCAGACTTTGATGGAAGCGTAGTCATAGCCTCCACAAGATACTTGAGGTAGATTATTCGAAAAAGAGGCACAACAAACAACTAGAGCGTACCCCTTGCAGCTTAAAGAGGGTTTATTCGGTGTTGGAGGGACTTGGGGGATGCTCCAAAGGTATATTCAGTTCATCTTAGATATGATCGTCATCGGCCATGAGTTACATCTAAACGAACCCCTCAAGAGGTGCACCCCCACAATGACGGCTGGTTAGGATTTACCCAAACAAAAACATGGAACGTTGATTTCCATTGGTTGTTAGATCATCGTTAGATTCGCCCTTTGCTAAACCCAAACATTGTATGAGGATCTGAAACATGGGTATGGTTTGACCTGGATGAAACTGTCAACAGGGGAATTGTCTCTCTGACTGTAGCGCATCATTCCAGTGACGCCTCACTATAAGAACCACTATGTATCAAAGGTGCAAGCTGAGCATGAAATAAACATAGCATATTGATATAACAGCGTAAATAGTAAAGTTCCCAAGTGGGGATATCCTCTGGGTATTCCAACATAGCCATGAAACATGGCCATGTTTCATAGGTAAATAAACCACAAACATTCTTGTCATGTTTTTAGTATTCGAGGGTAATACTCGTACTTCTATGTTCCTTTGCGAAGTGTTTCGCTCCTGCCCAGGCTGGTAACTCCAGGTCTCACTGATCTCCCTAAACAACCCGAGAACATACAAGTAAAGCTAACAAAACATATCAAACTAGACTGTAATTAGCCAAAGAAAGGCCATCCATCACCAACAAATATGGCATTTCTCGGCAAAGAAAATGAACAAATCACAGAAAAAACAAGGTATGTATCTAAGCATAGCATATAGTATATACTCATATATCATTGTTAACAATTTGCTATTATACAACGATTGGTACAAAACACAAGAAGCAAATTTCAATTTTTCACAAACAACAATTTGCATGAAACACATCACTTTGAGATATCTTGGAGTGATCTTGAAAGTCAATGATACGATTCCCAATATCAGCAAATAATAATAAGGACATGTTTGAGGGAGGCTCCAACATATTCAAACCATCATTTTATGGTGAGATCGGCGTACCGGGGTTGGCCGTGATATGTCGTGATGCTGCCGCGGTGCAGTAGCTGACAGCCATGCTCGTGCAACTCGCTGCAGTGATGGAAATGCAAAGCGGAGCAGATCAGCCCACAGATTCCGCGATGACAAATCCTCAGGGATTTTCCGAGAGATTTCGGAGAGGTTTCAGCACGTCATTTTCAAATATTTACTTGTTTCTGGGGCGGAAGTTATAGTCAATATAGATGTTTTAGGCTATATATATATATGACTATATGATGCTATATGCTTATCTAGATAATCATCAACCATGACTTCATAAGACTGAAATATTGAAATGATTTAAAATGGGTGTTCCTGCTTTTCCCTAATATGAAACTTCCGTACAGTTACATGGCCCCACGATTCCATTATACTGGCTGGTTAATTGGAATTCCATTTTTGGATAATGAATGATAATAATAATAATCATCATCATCATCATAATATAATAATATGTAAAAGTCCTAAATCCCCCCGCATGTCAGTTGTCCATCGTTTCATCCAAGATTCTCACGTCGAAGGGCTTCCCGCTCAGTGAAGTTGATCAAAATACCACACACGACCGCCTTCAAGCGCGCGGTCGAAGGACACATGGCAATTGTTTGAAGACAAAAAATGGCCGAACGAGAACGACATGATTGTGTATTCTACATTTTATGATGAATATGAAAACGATTGTATAAATGATGATAGTGGGAATGATAAATATATGAGAACTATCATGATTAATTATAGGAATAGCGATATGATGAAAATCAGAATAACCATTCTGAACTGGGGAAATAATTGACCAAGCCGATGATTTGGGGCAAAAACCTTGTACCAACAATTGGGATCATCCAAATGGTTCTGTGGAATTTTGCAGCTGTCGGGCATGAGAAGCAACAAACTAATAAGCAACCCATTGGTATACCTGCAGGCTACTGCATACGACTTTTTTTTGGTGGCCGTTCATATTTGGTAGTCACAACGTCATTTCCTATGTTTGTTGATTGTTCCCTTCTTTTCTGTTTGCTTGTTTGCCCATGTTTGCCCCTTACTTCTGTTGGTCACACTGAATTACACACTTCCATCCCCTCATTCTTGGCTGTTCCCATCTTGAATATGCTTGGATCTTATAACTTCTGACTTCTGACGCCAAGATTTTGTCAAACAAAACATGTATACTTCTGGTAAATTTACCTGGAAAACTATATAACATATTTATGGACAATCATCATTAATCATCTAATAATAATGATATCATTTTCTGTACAGTAACTATGTTAGTTACTCTTAGTTTTATGGAAGGAATTATATGTAAATCATATAGAAACTACAATGATGCTACAAACCCATGGGTTTCCTACAAATCCATCAGATCAATCAACTTGAGCTTGGTGACATGTTACATATCATTTTGACAGTACATAGTGATCACATAGTGATCACCAGATTTAGGGCTACCCTATTTTCCCATGACTTTATGATCATGGTTTATCAGAATTTCCTGACTTCAAGTGGTCACTCAGTATTTTTGGCATCCCTCAGTAATTCAAAAAACATTGTGTGTTCCTTGCTTGCAAAGCCACGTTTTTTCCAGGTCTTCTGTGGTTACTAACTAACTCAATCCCATGGAAATCCCATGGCCGCCCATGGCCCATGAGCTGCCTGCAGGCGTCCTGCAGATTTCGTGGATCGCAGGATGGATTCCAAGGATCTCCAACCATTCGCATCCTGCGGGGGGCAGAAATTTGGCCCTGCGGAGAAGCTGGAATTTCGGGATGGAACTGATGGAACTGATGGAAAACCCATGGGTCATTAAATGTCCCCATTGAACATCACCCAACCATTAGGTATATGGTCTATAATGGCTACTATAAGGTGATGTCCAATATACCCAAAATGGGACAGTTACCAACCCCTGGAAAAAGTGGATTGTTACCAAGACATACCAAGACACGTGGTGATTTTGACTGATCTTGTCAAATCAAGGAGTGATTTAAGAAGTAACTGAAGTGGAAATATGGCCACACAGAATGCAACTAGGGCTATACCAGCAGGTAATGCCACCTAGTAAACGGATGTAAACGGGCCCCAGAGCCAGAGCCTGATATCTTTAGGATTCTACAATGGGCTGAATACACCCCACCAAGTTCATCTATATTTTCAGACACACTGAAACCGCGTACAAATCAATACGAATCACACAAAGCCTTACATAAATCCATCTGGACAATCGTCCGTCCATTCTCCATGTGTTCCCCTAAACCGTCTTCGGAATTTTGGCGGCCAAGCTTCCAAAAGGCAATCCAAAGCAGAGGCATTGAAGGTTAAGCTCCTGCATCAATCGATATTGGGCAACTATATCTGTGAAGCCCCCTGGGGATTTCACCAGCGGGAGTCGCCCAAAGAAGCCCAAAGAAAGAATGACTATGCAGAGACAGGAGTTACCGGAGGAAAATGATGGTCACATGTTATGTTTGGATATCAATTGTTTTTTTTCAGGGGCCACGTCAACAACAGTGTATCTGTATATTGGAGAAACATCATCCAACCAACATGTGAGATGATAAAATGATAGCCATATAGCCTCTCTATCTGGATAAATCCTGATGAATCCGGAATCCCAACCATTCGGAATCCCATCATTCCCGTGACGTCGCTTCGTGAAGTTGTCATCTATCCAGACCGGATGGGAATGCAATTCAATCTCATCTGCTTGAGCTTCAAATTCTAGCTCAAAGGGTCCCCAGGCAGTTGAGGAAGGCTTCAACATACCGCAGCTATGATGGGGCTGAACAGCCCGAAGACAAGGGAGCAAAATGGGTACGGTAGAGTCCAGTTGAGAGGTCAAATTACCAATTTGCCCACTGGCTATCCTTTACCTCCATTTCACCTATAGTAAGAGAAAGGGTTAGAGCGACCCCTGTGAAATAAAGGAGCTTTATTGAACATATTCCCCAAGTCCTGGATAAACATCATCCTCCATCATCATGTTAGCAAAGCATGGGCCGCCCCTCGGCTCCAGAGAAGCTCCAGGAGAGGAAGCTGTTGGACCGGGTCCTGAAAAGCAAGGGGACCCAGCTGGGCTTTGTCTATTCAATAGGCTGTATATACCTCCAAAATCCTCCAACATTGAATAAAATTGATGATTATTGAGTTATATAATTTTTATATATAATAATCAATTATAATCACATGAAGCTATGAGTTAATGATATCTGGGTGTGGGATGGGGATGGGGATGAATGACAGTTTAGGGCGAAACCACCCAATTCCAATGGATTCAAAACTCATTTTGCCTATTAACATGTCCACAAAGGTACAACCTATTCTCTGACAAATCCATATTTTACTCCAGAAAAGAGCAATGAAAACGACGTTCCCTGGCCACATCAACCAGCCACATGGTCCAAGTGAACTAGCCTCCACTCTTAGGCCGCGCCTCATCTTGAAATCGCTCCAGGGCATAGAAAAGGTCCTGGACACCTCCAGAGTGAATGATCATGGCCTGCCAGCTGATCGCTTATCCCCTGGGATGTGGGAATTTATCATGATTTATCTACATATACACAAAATACTTCACTTTCTCTTCAATGGACATCTTGCTGGGTCAAGGTTCGTCCGAAGGATCCAGGAATCCAAACTGGGTCATCATAGTGCTTCAGCTGGTGTTCATGGATGTTGCAGTCAAATCTCAGCATGCAAAATCCAGTGACAGTGGGAGCTATCGATTTCATCCTCCATTCTGATCCAACCTAGCTGGTTTGTGCTTCCAACTCCTTTCAGAAAAGTCTTAGTCAGTTGGGATCATCGTTCCAGGTAGATAGGTAGGATGGACAATTAACAATCATAAACGATCTTTGAGACCACTAATCAGATACCCTCCAGTAACCAAATATGGCTAACAATTAAGAAAAACGCATTTAGTCAGTTCATTTTAATTCGAAACACAAATCACATTTTAACCAGGTAACCACCATTTATATATCCGTTTATAGGGTATTTCAACCTCCATTTAGTTCGGGTATTTCCCGTTGCTTGCGAAGCGTGCAGCGTGCCACGCCTGGCGTTTGGCATCGTCAAAAGTCAACTTCTCCAGCGCTGCGCAGGCCTGGAACCAGCGCAAGGGGGAAAATTGGACCAACCAGCTGAAATGATGAAATGGAAACATATACCCTCTGGTAAATTAACATAGACCCTGAAAATCACCATTTGTTAGTTGAAACTAATCTTCCAACCCCTATTTGCCAGGGTCTATGTTAATTTAACAGAGGGTAAGTTGTGACCAACAACATTTGACCAACCAGGCTTGGTGAATATAAGTGTTGGTGACATATTGATTTCACCAAGATAGCAAAAACAGTTGGTGAATATAATTGTAAACCATCCAAACTGTTTAGTAATGTCGAGTATGGTAATATTGGGGGTGTATAGTTGGGTAAAATACATGAAATTCCGTTCGAATCTAGAATCTAGACATATCATGACATATCTAGAGCACAACCCCCAAATGTCAATGGTTTGGTGGGCCCTGTTTTTGGAAGATTTCTTGGTGTAGCCATAGTCATTGAACCCAAGAGATTCAACTTGGGCTAGCCACTGGTTGAAATCCTGGAGAAAGCATCATCACACTCCTAAGTGGGTATTTAAATGTATTTAATCATAGGGGAAAAGGTTTTTGAAAATGCGACGGGATTGCTAAAAGTATGTTGTACATTGTTTTTTTTTTGTATCTTGCAAAGTTCCTGTATGTTCTTGTCTCTTTTCGCTAATTTTAGTAGTGCCACATTTACCTTCCAAAAAATCTTTAGATGCGGAAAATCCATCATGAATGTAGATCATTTTCCTAGGGTTTCCCAATGGGTGAAACCCACATCTCTTTCTATGTGCTTATGTAATCTATCCCTATGATTGTCATTATCATTACTATCATTGAATCAAATATATCACAGTATTATCATAATTCTCATTATTATTCATATTAATACTCATCATATATATATATATATATATATATTATATATATCCAATCATGAGATGATATTCACACAATATTGATATGTATTTAATACCCATTTATCCATGTTTCCATGTTTTTTTATGGTTGTTCTATGGTTTTTCTATGTTTACCCCAGGCATTCCCCCAAAACAAACACGCAACACCGGTGACGCAAAGTGCACCTGGGCATAGACCTTGATACCACTGGAGAACCTGGCGCGGTGCAAGGATGCCATGGTATCAAGGTCTATGCCAAAGGATAGCAATGATAAACCAAATCATCCAGGCATAGACCTTGATACCGTGGCATCCCCCCCCAAAAAATCCATGCTATTTCCATCATCCATGGTATCCATTCAGACCAAACTGTTTTTTTTCTGACCAAGTCATCCATGGTATCCATTTAAACCAAAACAGTTTTTTTTCTGAAATAGAGATAAAAACCAAGGATACCAATGATAAAGCAGAAAACATAATGAAGAAAACGGATCCAAGTTAACCCACAAGAGCTGGATTCGACCGATAAATCCATGGATCCTCCACCAACAAAGATTGGACCAGGGGCTCAAATGGGACATGAATCGCCACCCCTGTGCTGAGGCCGATATAATTCATAGATGGACCGAATGATCCTGGTCATGATTTCGGACTTTAAATCATCTATTGATCTATTGTTTGCTGTGCAACTGACTTGACCCATCAAGAAGTGAAGATCATGAATATAGTCGTCAAAAATACTCCGGCAAGACCTGATTTTCCCTTCAAAAATGGAATGTAGCTTTGATTCCCTGCATCCAGTTTGGGTAGGTAGCATTCATGTGACGGTTTGTCAAAATGTCTGTTCCCGGTTATGTTGATAAATCGCAATTCCATGCGTGCCGCCTCATGTTTGCCTTTAAAAAACATGACCTACCTTGATGACGTGAAAACGTGGAAATTCTTCGTTACCTTTGGAAATCTTTCTAAAACCATAGGAATCGGCTAACGCACGTCGGTTTTCATTCGCTGTCGCTGGTACTATCTCCTGAACTGTGTGTCTCTGTGTGTGTGCCTCTCTGAATGCAATATGCTTCTTGACATGCCTCCTGATCAACGCTGTTTCCTTACTGTAAGCTACCAAAGCGTGAACATGGCTGTGCCTCTGAATGGGCTGCGGGTGGACCGGGGCATGTATTTGCAATTTTCGCTAGCGCGTTGCTAGCGGCGATCTAGCGCGTAAAATACGTAAAAAAAAACGAAAATTTGGGAATCGGAATATGTGGAAACTGACAGACTTGTAAGTAAAGCTGGCAAGACATTCACGACATGGAGGCCATGGCTGTCAATCAAACCTAGCGCAAACCTAGCGGGTTTGCTAGCGCTGCCTTGCAGAATTGCTGAATTTAGTTGCGTACCGCCTCATAACGAAGAGGAAAAAACAGTAGACCCAGATGAATTATCAACAACCAATACTAAACTTCTAAACAACTATTTTGACAAATGGTCATGTGCATCGATAGTTTTAGCAGTTCCATTTTGACAGTAGAAAAGTCAACGGCGTGTCCGTTGGATCAACATCTTCAGGACGTAGCACGGTCATATCAATGTAACAACTATATGATGCTTTCCTAAAATGGTGCTACCTCCACATCATCCATAAAGAATTGCCCATTACAAACCATCCAGCTATTGGGGATCCCCCATTTATAGAAACCTCTAAGCCTCTATGACTCAGTTCTTAGGAAATGTGATCCATCCCGGACATTGAGCGAGGCAGCTCTGTCAGGGTTGGAAGCAGCAATGACATTTGCCTTGGGCAAGCGGAAGGGTGTCCACATGGATGGTTTGGGTATGAGTCAAAATTAAAGACCTGGTGGAGCACAAATGTTAGTCTAAGTATTAACCATCTATTTTTAGGGGTACCCAATTTTGACCCAGAAGTATTATATAGATATAGTTCATAATATGCTAAAATTGTACTGATTTGTTGAGTCTTGTAAACTTGAACTTAAATCATTGAGAGCAATATCAGATTGATTCATAAGTCATAGACACAGCCCATGGCCCATAGCCATTGTTTGCTTCGCGTTGCGGATGTTGTAATTTTACAGTTTACACCTCGCCAGCAACAACAGGACAGAAAGCCTGTGTTTTTTAGCCAACAAACACTTGACAGACCTCCTGGTTGGTGGTTTTAACCATCTTGAAAAATATGGAAGTCAATGGGAAGGATTATCCCATATATTATGGAAAATAAAAAACATGTTTGAAACCACCAACCAGACCGCATGATTTTGTAAGACATTGCTCTGCCCAAGAGCCATGCAGCTCGACAAGCCACCAACATGACGGAGATCCAAGGTGTCAGCCAGAGGTGTTTATCAACAAACTAGCCGAATCATCACTATGTACATGGTAGTTGCAATACAAGTGAAAAACACAATGTGTATATAATGTGTTGGTTAGTTCTTCTTATTTTCTCTTAATTGTGTGACTAGTTGGGGTCATTCCACCATTGTTTTTGTGAGTAGTTCTTGCAATTCTTGTGATTGTATAGTTTCTTTACATGTTCTCCTTTCATGGCAATTTGTGAATCGTTTCCTGGTAAACTAGATGAATTGAGTGATTAGTGTAGGGCTGCCCCCCCTCCCACAGACAATACAAAGAAGCCAAGGCAGCTCCGAATATATACATAATTATATACATATATATAATATACGTGTATATAATATATATATATATATAATATACATATATAATATATATATAATTCATATATATATATATTATACACAGTGTATCTCTATTTACAGCAACATTTATAAAGTTGTACTAGGCTAGCCATCCAGGTGGTTTACCCAGTATCCCAATTTCACGAAAGCCAGGTGCTCATCTTCGCTCCTTGCTGCAAAGCTTCTAGAGGGAGCCGTTGGTATCGGATCCCGATCTACAAATAATCGAGGAACACATTTTGAACAAAGCTACCCTCTGGTAATGACTAACATAGCTATATTGAAAATGGCCATTTATAGTAGATTTTTCCATAAAAAAATGGTGATTTTCCATAGTTATGTTAGTTTACCAGAGGCTACTGGTCATCTTGCTTTCAAAACTCGGTGGTAGTGCTGCATATTATGGGCTGATTTTGGTTGGGAACAGTCCTCAGCATTGGAGTTGTGCAGACTCATTTCAAGAAGGAGTCAAACCTACAGAGGGTGCCCAATATGCACATGCGACTTCGTAGATCCATTTCACCTACGGGGGGTCCTTCAGGTAATTAACGCATGTAGATTGGCAATTGGTAGAGGTAACATCCACCTACCGATGCTCATCGAACATCTACTCGGTGTCAATCCAGGATTGATGTCAATCTTGTTGGACTGCGTTGGATCTTCAATTGGGGAGCCACTCCCGAAAAGTGATCAACATTTGACCTGGTTCACACATTACCCTCTGGTAATGACTAACATAGCTATTGAAAATGGCCATAGAAATAGTTGATTTAATGATTTACCCATTAAAAATTGTGATTTCCATAGTTTTTTGATGTTTTTTGTATGTTTACCAGAGGGTATTGCTTATTGGTCCATCATTGCTGCTCCATCATTGCTGCTTAATGGCTGAAGGCATGTTCCCATACCCCAACAAATCGCGGCCCCACCGCTTGCGATTCCACTTAATTCTGCGGGTCATTGTAACCTCAATATGGTAACGGAGAAGCCAATATTTAATCATGTTAATAGAACAATTACCTATAGAATTGATGTTTTTGTTTTCGGTGTGACATTCCAGTTGGAAAGGAGGCTATGACAATGAATCACTCACTAATGTTGGTTACGACCCAGTGATGTTGTATAATTATGGGATATCCCCAAATACTCCCGAAATCTCCCGAATACAAATACATTTCCTGTTTGATATCTGCCACCCCGAAAAGACAGAAATATGTTTCAATGTTTCTATGCTTGTGGGGTTGCTACCTGGGGGTGCATCCTAATGAGGGGTATATCCTTGGAGTATGTCTCACATATAGCTGGCTTATGAATCATATAATTTATGGCTATGGATTATTACAATCTGAAAAATCTCCAGCAAATGCTATGGAAAATGCGAGCATTTTTCAGTCCCGGGCTCCGAGCCATGGATTCTAAGGAGGGCTACTTTCGGTGGGGTCACTGGGATGCACATCCCCCAAAAAAATATCTCGTAATTTAACGTAGGAAATCACCATGTTCAATAGGTAAATCACGATAAATCATCGATTAATGGGCCTTTATCCATAGCAAACTAAGTAAATCATCATAAATAATCTATTCGTTGGCCTTTATCACCTTTATCCATAGCAAACTCTTAAATAACCACAGGGTACCCTGCAACTGGCGTCCTGGTCAGTGCTGGCGCCTCCAAAGGCGACTCCTGGCAAACGCTGAGGTACCTTTAAGGACCCACATGGAGAAAAGCTGGAAATGCCTGCCAGTATGCAAGCATTGTTTTTCGTTCTTTAAGCAACAACAATTTTGAGCCATATAGAAGTAATCTTAACATATCTTAACCAAAGAATAATCGGAACAATCAACCCCATCAATATAAAGTGTCCGCTTCGCCCAAAACGGATGTTTTGATAATGAACCCTATCTTTTTTGGGAGGCAATTGATTTGCAATACGGTTCCATGTTTCTTTGTGAGTCTCATTTTGTCTCCGCAGCACATGCAGCAAACATGCTTGGGATAGTGTGGATATGAATGGGCAAAACACTTTCGGAACCCAGCAAGTCTCATTTGACATGGTTCATTACCCGAATAACCACCCCAAAAATTCATTGTTTCCCTGCACCGAGGGATCCTTGTCCGCGACCCACGGCGACGAGGATTCTTTAAATCTCTTACATATGTAATATGTATTAATATGTATACAAATAATGTGTGATTTCCGGATGTCATTCCTGTCCTCATTTTTTCATGTTTTTTTACCAAGATCTAAGGATACTAATGGAGTTACAGTAAAAACATCTATAAGCCCAGTTTCCACATGTTTCCATGTCTACTCCCCAGGCTTTCCCCAACTTCAGTTCGTCACGCCGCAGCATGTCGGCCCAGGTGCCGGGATGTCGCTATGGTCCGAGACTTCCGTGAAGATGGGGCTGTTGGGCGGCTCTGTAGCCTCCAAAAAGGCCAGTAGTTCTACGGGAAGATCATGGGATACTTGGGGGTGCAGTTGGGGTGAAAAAAGTGTGTGGGTATATCGATATACCCGCAGGCCGTATGTATATATATATATTTATTTGTATGTATATACATACATATATATATATATATTAACACGCAAGTATTTATGTGGTATTCTCCACCCATGATCTTAATACCCAGCCAATATCTCAGATCTACCACATAGAATACCCAATTCATATCTACTCAATATTTCTGGGATGGGGTATTGATGGGATATTAGTTGGACATGTCTGAGATATTTCTGGGATCTCTGGGTGGTAGATCATGGGAATGCTACCAGTACCGGTATTTCTCAAGTATATGGGGCGATGAATCGCTGCGGATGGGCGAGCTATGGTTCCTTGGCTCCTCCAATAGACTGTACGTGATTTCTTTTTGATATTTGATTGCTGCCAAACCATTGAAGAATTGAAGTTTGTAACATTTTATAACCATGGGAATGATGGTTTCCATTGTCTTGAGAATATTGGAGGATATTCTATTTGCCATGAGAGTAACATTGCCGTGGGGATGATGGAGGATATGAACCACCCAAATTGGAGGTACCGATTCCATATATATATATATATATATTTGGCCTATTTTTCAGGCCTAAATTTCAGGGAATATCCCCACAAAATATAGTCTTATACGGTACTAACGTACCTCCATTTTAGGATCCTGAAATTCCCATTGAAATGAACATGGATATATGATTCACAAACGGTGGTTATTTGTTGGATAATACTCAAGCTTAGTAAATGGTTCATGACCAGCGTTGCTGACCCATTTGTAGATGCGTCAACTTTGGGGAACTCACCGATCATAATTACAAGTCGCTGGCTCCCTGGAAGTGGGTGGGTAACCAGCAATTCCAGCTACGAGTTGGTTTATAAACCCCATTACCTATAGATATATCCACTGCAAATCCAATTGTTAACCGTCCTGTTTTCACTCAACTTAGCAAACAAAACTGGGGCAGCATCTTGTAGGACTGAGGAAATGCAGCTATCAACTCACAATAGGCGCCACGTCTAAAAAAACAGCTGGCGCCGGTGCCTTTGCAAAGGATATAGGCCATATAATGCTGCGCATTCAATATCACCTAACTCAAACACTGCGCTAAATAGACTTAGAGGTTTCCTTTCACTTGACCAAAAGTGCAGTGTAACTCATCGCCCAGCAAATTTGCGTGATTCTCTGATTGTCGTCGGGATCACGGAACTCATTGCCAAGCTTGGAGTAGACTACACGATTAAATCGGAGACAAACATGGTTGATGGTTGGTCAAACCTATATACTGGCCATCTGGTTCAGAACTCACCAGTATTGCAGTGCAGATCCTCCAAGATGTACTTTGTGTTTTCTGAGCTCGGAGTTAGATTATATTGTATCTGTTCAAATGATTTCAAATGTATATATATATATATACATGTTAAATATGTGATACATACATAATTACTGTATGTATATATAAATATACTTAAATATAATCTATATCAATGATAATATTTAACAATCAAATTATATAATAATACTGAAAATTATAATGATAATGAGAATAGTGACAATAACAATAATAGTAATGATCATAATGCTGCTAGTGATATATATATATATTATTTTGTATGAATATAAGCACGTCCAAACAATTCCACTAACCTACTCAGCCAAGGTCTAACCAGTCACCAGGTGACGACGTCATCACAGGCGTGCACATCAACCAGCGAAGGAACGGCTGCACCTTGGAACAGCGATGGCATCCTCTCCGATGGTTGAAGAAAGGGTGGATCCTCACGGAATTGTTGATGGATTTTAGGTGACCCTATTCCATGTCTTTCTTTGGTCAAAACCCCACTGGATCTCTTGGTTTTTGATCCCAAGCATGGTAGTTAAAGGTATTGATCCATGGTCATCTGGCTGAAGTTCACAATGATTCACCAAACAGAAATGTTTGTTGACTTCATGTGATTTCGGAATGCTGTCCCAATTCCTACCATCATGTACAGTGACGTTGGCCAGGGACATTGTTGAAGTACAATTCAGCAGGAAAACTGTGGTGATCATATACTCTCATGATTTGGTGCAAAAAAGAGGTGATTTGTTTGGATGGAAACTGGGGGCACCAGCGATATATCCCATACCATCCATGATGCTGTTACCTTTACCTACATTACTGGATAATTTTGGAAGGTTAACCATGGTAAAATGTAGGAATACCCTGCATGGCATATCTGGGTAAGCCAGCATGGCTGAGAAACCTGTTTTGAACTGGAAAACAAACAGATTCAAAAAAACATGAAGTTTGGAAGGTTGCAAGTACCCGTCATTCTTCCCCAAGGCTCTAGGGATCCAATCTGACAATATCCATAATTCATGCAGCCACAGAAAACACGGAGAGTGTCTTTCTGGAGGCCAAAGTTTCCAAAAATCGTCCAGTTGATTACTTTCTGGGCAATTAATCGAGATAGCGATGCATGTTGGGTTCAGCCTCATTTCCGACCTAGAACCCAACATGTTTTGATCAATACCACTTCCAGGCAAGCTACCCAAGGAGATCCAGTTCTTATTGACCCGCAAATGGTAAATTTACCCCACATATAAAAGAACTTGCTGGTAGGAAATCATTGTATATGGGGGTGTCAACAATTTCGAACCATCCCAACCAATACGGAACAAAACAAGAACAAACTATTGTGTTGCTTGATCTGATGACATTTAAAAAAGGACATGTCCTAATACCCGTAACCACTCGCAACCACATTTTTGTCGAGCGACCATTCCGCGTCACCTTGGGGGATTTCAGCTTCTCAGCACGGTCTCGGAGATCCAAAACATGAGTGCTGTAGACCTCACTGCTGTCATGACTGAAATGTTTTGGGTTGAAATCATATTAGATGATTGAATTAATTGAAGTGTCTGGAATTTGTAGATGTGAGGTATGATGCATGTGTAACGTGTATATATATATATATATGTGTATATAATATATATATATAATACTATATGATGTGTATATATATATATATGTATATTCTATTATATGATGTATATATTCATGCGTATCATATGTTATATATTACATGATAGTTATGTAGACTACCAGTGGATGTGAAATATGCATGTATTCCTACATGTGGATGTTTTTTTCCTGAAGCAATGTGGTAAACCGAACAATAAGCCATACCCCATACCTCAGTTGAGGTTTATTGTCGGGTATACCATGGTATACCCTATTTGGGATTTTTTTAAATAAACGCCAAATGGATCCAAATGGTTGGTTATGTAATGGAATTGTTTATCATTGGGATTCATTGGGTTTACCACACGAATTGTGAGATGCTAACCCAGTGGCAGTGGGCGATCTTTGGTGCAAAAATGATGGACACAAACATACAGACTATGTCGAGCCGGAATGCATGAAGCCTCGAGACAATGGTGGATGCAATGTGTTGCCATATCAAGTACCGAAAATAGTGGATATAACGATATAACCAATATTGGATGCTTAAATGCTACCAGTTACTACCAATTGCCCAAATTAATCTAGAGTCGTTTTTTTTGGGTCTTTTGACCCCACCAAAAACCCACATCTATTTACAACAGCACGCCAACTTCCCCGTCCCCATACGATTCCAGCTGCTCTGGGTGGTGTCATCAACTCGTCAATCACAGTCTTTTCCTTGGGAGTTCAGCGCAGGATGGATCACAACCTTGGTCTTCTGGTGAGCATCCTTCAAAACACCATAGAGTGTGTGAGAGTATACTCCGTGTATATACTGTATATATATATATATCATAACTTTAAAATACGTTATATAAACCTGTTTACAAATTTACGATATGTATGCATCTTTATATGCAAATATTCATGCCTATATAAACAACATGTTTTAAACGCATTAAAACACATCTTATACCCCTCCCTTCGCCATCGTTGCAAGCGTCCTCGACCGCCTTCCCCGCCGGCTCCGGCTCCGGCTGCAGCGGCTCCGGCTTTCGACGCGGGCCATGGTTGAGGTCCTGCGATGAGAACGTTGGCGGAACAATGTCAGGCGATAGGGCGATAGGAGGATTTATCAGAAATGGTGATTTTACCAACAACAAATGGTGATTTAATCATGATTTTAGCCATGAACAGCCATGGGGATTTAACCAACAACAACGGTGTCACTCAAAATGGGTTTTTTATAGGCCGGTGTCTCGTTAACTAGGCCATTTGATCATAGGATGGAAACATCCAATGCTGCCGGGCTGCCTATTTTTGACTCATAGCCATATATATATATATATAGGTATGTATGTGGGTAACCTTCCGATAGCCCAAGGTGGAAACATATAATATGTTACTGTACATAATATATGGATATTTAGCCAACATTGTAAAAACAATGTTGGAGCATTTGATGGGATCAGCGAGCCAATATCGTACCAAGCATGTATGTTATATTCGGAAAGGCTTGTTGCCAGCGCCAATCGTTTGTATAATAATAATAATATAACAATAATAATTAATAATAATAATAATAAAAATAAAAAAAAAATAATAATGAATAAAAATAATAACAATAAATATATATATATGTTGAACCTATATAATTATCATGATCTAAAGTGATATTAGTTTTTTGCTGTCCATGCACAAGGCTTTTCTACTGGAAATGCAGTGTAAAATTGATTGACACCACACACAAAATCCAACAAAAAACAAAAACACACCAGACTATATAGTCTGAACATGGCTAGATCCAAGTAGTCCCCAAAACATGGATTGTCTGTTTATTTGTTTGTATCATTTTTTTCCGATGTTTTGCTCCCTCGGATTAATCCAGATTATCTAATCCAGATTAGTCCAAACCAAATCTGAATCATCTTGCTTCTATATCACATGCATCCTTTACAAACAATTACTTCAAAAATGCTTGTATGATAAACATGCGCAGTATTCTTTGGAGATGTTGACTTGTCCAGTTTTATTGGGTGAAGTCTTTGGGGATGTGCAATCTACTTCTCTTGTTGAGTGACACATGTCCTTGAATTCAATGGTGTTCCTTTCCAAATAAAAGGTAATTGGGCTTCTTTGAACGGAGTATCACATTCTGTTCAGAGAATTGTTGCTACTTTCAAACATAAAGGACAACTGAGTCAGTTTTCTTTTTGGTGAGTGAAGCATTTCCTTCAAATGAATGGGATGCAGTTTCGCATTTTCAATTGAAAGGGACTTTTCAAAGAAACGGTGCTACTTTCCACAGGACAGCTGGATTTGTTTGAAAAAGGAGAATGACACTATTATCCTTTGCAGAACTGGTGTTACCTTCAAACATAGGGAAGAAGTGAAGTTTGAAGGGAGTGTTACTTCTTTAGTAGACACGTTTCATATTCTAAGTGAACACAATTGCTTTGAAAGAACGGAATGCTGCATATGTGGGAGGAAACTGCACTTCTTTGAATAATCCCATCTCTTCAGAGCATTACTTGCTGGGAATGTAGCACAGGTGCAAGACTCAAGAAATGGGTTAGATTCTGATAGATTACATATTCCTATTTGGACAATTGCTGTGCTGTACAACTCAAACTACAAGTCTTTTTTCATTTATATATATAGCATTACACGTTCTTCCACAGTCAATTTCAAGTATAATTTAAGTATAATTTCAACTGTGACAGATTGCACCATGGCAGAGCATTGGTGTAATACCACCTGGCTATTGACAAGACATTAGCATCAGGTTTTGTGGTGGGCTTTTGCTTGAAGATATTGATGGCACTGCATCAAGGGTAACCAATCTTTTGAACATATCCACAACCTGTTGAAAACACTTACTTTTCCAACTGAAATAGGCATTATATATGAATTAAGGTTGTGTGTTCAAAAATGACTTATTTCTTTCAAAAGAATCTGGCACTGTACCACAATCATATAAAACAAAACACTACAGTAGTGTATTCCGCTTCAAAACAATATATTTCCAATTTTCATGATGTTGGCCACACAAAACGGACGTATAACTACATGGTAGGCGGCTGATAGATGACCGCCTGCTTTTCCCACCAACCGCTAGTTGATTTCGCCTGGTTTTTACCAGTTGTTTTGTCTATTGCTGCGTTTTTTGACTCTTCCAAATCCAGCTTCGAACTACTTGTTTTTTTCATTTCATGTTTCACATTTCCAAGTAGATGTCTTTCTTTCATTTCAGGATTTGAGTCAACTTCGTATACACATCTCTGGGGGAAGAAGACTTAGACTAAACCAACATGAGACGATATGTATTCACTAAGCATATAAGAAGTAAGAGAAGTAAGAAGTAGCATCAAGAGCGTCTGAGAAGTTACTTGACGACGTGAAGAGCGTAGCATCAAGAGCGTCTGAGAAGTTACTTGACGACGTGAAGGACGTAGCATCAAGAGCGTCTTGGAAGTTTATTTCCAGCACTCGAATATTACGTTAATATCCCACCCCACCCCACCCCACCCCACCCAACAGGCAGTGACGACCATGGGGCAAGTACGTGTGAAACGCACTTAGACATGACGTTATTATCCCACCCCACCCCACCCCACAAGACAAGAGAGGATAAAAGTATAAAAATAGCCAAAAAACTGGCGGTCATTTATCAGCCGCCAGCCAACTACATGACCTGAATGATTTGCATTTTGCGTTTTATGTCATACATATTCTACTGTATATAATGCTTCAAAGTGGAGATATATCCAATGTTCTTTTCCACGGTGGGTTTCTTCTTGGATTTTGCCACATTTTGCACCTTTTCGCTTTACCATTTTTCTGGAGGAGTGCATTTTGCATGTGTTTTTCCGTGTTTTTCTCTGGGTCAGGCCTCCTCCTTTTAAACATTATATCACATTATGACCATTGCCCCAAGGATACAGGAACATGAGGAAGGTCCAGTCTCTGGCGCTGGCAACAAGCCCCTCTCTTTATACTATTCATACATCATAAAGGGAATATAATCTCATTTTCTTGGAACGTTCAAGATTTAACTTCCTGAGTTTCATATGTGTTCACATGGTTTTGCGACGAAACTAACCATCAATCATCTGGGTTTCATCATCAACAATACGGTGGTTTTTCCCGCCGACCCGCAGACTGAATTCCACGCAAGGGAAGAAGCGGAAGACGCGTCTGTGACTTGGCTGCTTAGTGGGAAGTGCGAAGTTCTAGTTATAAGGCAACATAACCATAATTGTAGTGGTTATATCCCAACTTATGGGGTTTATAACTATACTGTACCCATTTCTAACATTGTAAAGATCCCTTCTTCCCATAGCACTTAACTGTACCTTCCCCAATGAAGAAAACACACTCGTGCGTGACACAGTGAACCGTGGGACGGTGTGAGATTTTTTGTGTGTGCTCCATGTTTTTTTGGTATGTCCATGGTTTGTTCAAAAAATGAATTCTAAATTGGGAGGCCCTTTCACCAATACTTCAAAAACCGTCACCGAAAAAAAAATCCCGGTTGCATCCCTTGTGGATCCGTGGACGCTTTCTGCACAACTTGTTTTCTTTTTTTAAAGTTTTTAAGTGTAATATCTGAGGAGAACCATCGAAATCTATAATTATTTTTGGGCAATTTGCTGGAATCTAAAGAGTTCTTGAAAAGAACGTTGATGGATTTTGAAAGCGACAAAATAGCACTTTCCATTGTTTTCTATTGGGGTGTCTAATAGAAAACCATGTGGCCTTGGCTCTGCCTACCACCAAAATCCAATGGTTTCTCCTCTACGTCTCTGCAGTAACGTCGCGAAATAGCGTTGCAATGAGCGGCATCCCATAGATTCCCATCTATTCCAATAAATTCCCATCTATTTAATGGAAATCCATGAAATCCATTAAATTACCATCTATTTCCCATCCATGGCAAGAGAATGGCCATCCCACCATCCCGCCATGGTGGTTCAGTGGTGCAGTGATCCTCCAAGTGTTCTGTACCACGCTCTCGCCATCGCTGTAAAGTGCTGTCGAAATAGAGCGTGTGAGCCCTCATGTCGGACTCGTTGTGGCGTGTGACGTATAGTCAACAAATGTGATGTTTTTGCACAAGTAAAGGGCGTTGATAAACCTTGAAACCATCCAGTGATTTTTTTTGCGCAAGCAAACCGCCTTAGATAAAGCAAGACCAAACACGATCCAAATTGGGTGGAAAATCCGGTTCATGGTAGATGTAGCTACCTGCGACGTAGTCTTCAGAGTCCTTCTTCACCACCACTATATAAACACTCTAAGTGTTGGCATATGAGCCTTGAAAATCATCCACATGGTGGAGGCAATGAAAAATGATGTTAAGGAACCATGTCAGCCATCCAATAGAATTAGACATATGTACGGTGTTTCGCCTTGACTCTCTGTTTTCCAACCGGACAGATCACATGATGAGGATGAAGATGATGATGAGGATGAAGATGATGATGAGGATGAAGATGATGATGAGGATGATGATGATGATGATGATGATGATGATGATGATGATGATTGCTATTATCAATATTGTATTGCTATTTTGATGATTAAAACACTAGTGACGGCTGATGGCGAGCTGGAAAACGTTGGTCGGTGGGGGTTCAAGTTGTGCCATGAACCAAGACACCTTCAGCATCTTTCACCGATATCAATGCAAACATGTGAATTATGTTGGAAGTCGTGAGCTTGGCCATGGAGTTAGCTAGCTTGCTTGCAATTCCCTTTAAGATCTTTAAGCTGGACTCATTTCATCGCTTGGTTCACGAACAAACTCGGTTGAATCAGTTAAACAACTAGCCATGGCCCGCATAGGAGTCTGGAGTCCACCTTCATGGCCAATCCTGCCACGGCACGCATCCAGATTCACACGCGCCGCCGGTTCCTGCGAAGCAAAACGGGGCGGCGCACGTCTCGGGGAAAATCCGAAGGACGTTTAGACAGTGACTCCAGTGATGGGAATAACGTGGACCAAAGATGCTCAGGAATTCTCGGCGTGTTTTTTCACGTCTCTGTCGAAGCGGAATCAATGTGTTGGTGATGAGGCACTCAAACACAACACACAAGTGAAATTCTGATTTCATTATCTCAAGCATCTTCTCTGCAAAGATATCGGAACATACCAGGCATCACAATCAGTCATCACAATCAGTCAGGGATCTTCCAATAGACTTGCCTTCCAGCACGTGGTCAGTTAAACCCTAAAGGTCTCATTCTCTGGTGCTCGAAGTGATCCACTTTTTGGTGCTCTAAGAGATCCCATGGTGCTCTAAGTGATCTGGTGCTCTAAGTGAACCGCTTTCCGGTACTCTAAGTGATCCCTTAACCTTCCAGTACTTTAAGACAGCTATGGAAAATGGTGATTTACACCTGATTTACCTTTGAAACATTGCAAAGTTCTAGAACTATGTTAGATTACAAAGCCCATTTTCCTATGGTTTTCCTATGGTTTTCCTATGGTTTTCCTATGGTTTTCCTATGGTTGACTTCATGACAAGACAAACCGAGTCCCGGTTTCCCTTACTTCACGAGTCCTCCTGACGAATCAAACGCGCGAAGAACGACATGGCACCGTCTCGCTGTGGCTTGAGCTTCGCCAGCTGTGGGTTTGGGGCATCGGCAACCGCTGGACCACCAGGGCGCTGAAAAGTGTGGGAAATCATGGGAAATCCCCAGATCTCATGATTTATAAATAAACACATCATTTCACCTATGAATATATACATGTTACGTATATATATATATATATGTTACATATATATATACATATATATATATACATATATACATATATATATATACACATATATATATATACATATGTGTTTCACCGTTTCATATCAAAACTCCATGTTGACTTTCCGGCCCTATGTTTGGACAAACCCAGTTGTCGACATAGTCTACGATTGGATTATGAGAACATGTACGCTTGAAGCCTGGTTTTTGTTTTACCAAATCGATTGGGGGTTTTCTAAGATTTTTCCGCTGCAATCATTCCTGGGACATACTTGGTGGTAGACAAGCAAGTTGAGGCTCAAGGATCAAGGGAAAAGTCACGGGAACTTCCACAATTGATATTTTAAAGCAGGCTTTCCTGGCATTTTAACTCAATTGTTATTAAACCAATGGATTGAACTAATAATGCTACTAATGATACTATCTGGGTAAATTATAATATTTCACCAACCTGAATTAAGGCCATTTGGAGATAATTTCCCTTACTAACCATGATTCCCAGTGAGGTCGCAGTGAGGTCGTTATAATTTACCCAGATACTATACAATATATACTAATAACAAGTATCCCATACATTCCCACACAGTATAGTCCATTTTTGCGGGCTATATATCACCGTGATGTTGGCGGCAACCATTGTTCTTTCGGGAAGTCCCCATATGGGTATGGATCAAAAAGGTGTTTTGATTTTCACACCAAAATAGCTGATGTAAAAACATGTTCATCTGCCTATTCACATGGGAAAATCGTGTCTGTCAACGGTGTTGACTTCGATCCATCAAACTGGGACAATGGTTTGTAGCCCAGTTACTTACCAGTTCCCAACATTTCTTGTTGAGATTCCTATATGACGGTTTGCCAAAATGTCTTTTCCTGGCCCTGTTGATAAATCGTAATTCCTTGCGTGCCGCTTCTTATTGTGCCTGTAAAACCATGACTGACCTAAATAATCTGAAACCCTGCATTTTATCTTTCATGTTTGAAGCCGTAGATAAAGCCTGCAGTAAATGCTAACGCGCCTCTATTATATATCTATGTGATTCTTGCAGGTTAAACCTGGATAACAGAAATAATCCGCATAACCGGCTCAGGCTCAGGAACAAAAAAAAAAACTATCCCAACAAATCCCCCAAACTGGCAAGAATTAGTAGCAATTGTGTAGCTCTACCAATCTTGCAGCTTGGAACCGCGAATTGGACCCTTTAACCCGTGCAGCACAAACCCGACTGTGACACCCCTGGCACCTGACCCTTCGCTGGACATGACCACGGCCCTATGTAGATGAGGCTAAGAAGAAACTGCCATCAGTGCCTAACGGGACCTTGGTGGGGACATCAACAAAGCTGAGTTCAAACAGAGAAAACTGAACTATATGGTAACACCACCAAAAAGTAACAAAGTAATTCATCCCTAGTCTATATTAGCATTTCATTTTACTATTGGGGGGCTATATAACCGAGAAACATGTAAACATGTAAATACTAACCGCAAAAATACGCAAAAAAATGATATCAACCAACAACAAAAACACGGCTGTTGAATCACCAACACGCAGGATGAACAAACACAATCATAGATTGGGATGAAGAGGTCTTATACTAAGCACTAAGCTCCCCTTGCTATTCTTTCTTGTGTGTGATTGGGTCCCAAAAAAATACACAGAGAATCCATTGCCACCAAAGATGGAATTCGACTCTATATTATATACGTTCAATTGCATCTGCTTTTTAAATTTGTGGAGCCTGAAGCCTACATCAAAAAAAGGATGCTTCTGAAACAACCAACCACTCAAAGGGTACTCATGACAGGGATATACTAAACATACTAAACAATGAGTGGAATGAGGTAGGCAAACATCAATGGTTGAAGGGTTTAATTTTTTGGAAGTTTGGGCAACATCTCATAGGAAAGTCCCCGGACGAACTGCATCGAGTTGTACTGCTTATCTCTAGTTTTGACCAAATGATACTTTCATGCTGTTTGAATTCAACCTACTTTCTGGTAATTCAACATAGCTATGGAACCCATCCAGTAGTTGTAGATCATGTCCGACGGGAAAGTCAGCCAAGCCACGCTGATTGCGCTACAATTTTCACCTTGGAGACAGAAGCATCCTAGCAGCTAGTCATTGGGGGAAATCATCCCAAATAGCGCGGGTAAATGAACATCAAAATAATGAAAGAACAACAATTACCGCTGATGTTTCATGGATTTGTTGATATGCTGTGAGTGATACTAGGCTCTCGCTCAATTTCCACAATTCATTCCACCGGGAAAGGAGCGGCACAATCTACTTGGAACCCTGGATTTGTCTGTCGCTGCATCGAAGTAACAAAGGCCGAGTGTGCAGTCACGGCCTCCTTTTTTCGACCCACCCACACAAGATCTTCCCCTTCTCGCCACCTCTCTCGCTGCATCGCCTCATTTTCGACCGAGCAAAGACCTGATCCACGGCAATGCAGTTCGCTGCAAGCGTGACAGCCTTGGATATTACAGCGGCGATCAAACGTGGGAGCTGCAGTCACATGCTTACGCTTGCGATTCCCCCCGGGGCTGCCGGGGGTCGGGTCATAGATGTTACGATGTACAATGTTACAAAATGTTGAGCAACCCGTAGTGCTTTGAATGTCAGGTTGCAACCTGCAGACATTGGCAGGTGACGCTGTCACTATTTGTTCAGTTGTGCTAAAGTGTACAGTGTACAGTATCCCTATCACATTGGCAGGTGAAAGCGCACCATTTTTTCGGGTCATGTTCAACCTTGAAACCCAGCCAGCATTTATATATCTAGCTTCTATTCATGTAGTTGTGGAAGATTTAGCTGCATGACTCAAATATAGCAATTGAACATCAAGACTATTGTATGGAAAGATGACCGTCGGGGAAAAATCATCTACATAATGTGATTTTTAAAAAACAGAACTAAACAATCCCCAATTTCCCCAGAAATGGATGGTGTAAAAATTAAAATTAAGTATAAATCCCCCAAAATTGAAGACATTGAGGGTCTGTTGTTGGGTTTGCCATATGCTCAATGGCCTTAAATGGAAATAACTATATAGGATATGTTTAGGAGCTATCCACGTGATTGCCGCCCGTGGCGGCGCCCAGCGACGCTGGCCTGTTCCGCCAGGCTCAGCCCCTTCTGCTCCGCTGTTTCCAGCGAGCGAGCTAAAGGGAGCCTTCTGGTCATCTGGAAATGTGGCTAATCGGATGGTTGAAGGGAAAGTGCGAGAAAATCTAAGGAAACCATGTTTCTTTTCCTTACCAATAAGTATAGGGAAACCATAAAAAATAATCAGGTCACTATGAAATTTTGTGATTTAACGTTCAAGAATAGGGATTTAACCAATGAACAAAGGGTTTTGAAAGGTCCTCTACCTTCAAAACATCACCGGCACAGAATGATCCACTTAGTTTGCACTAGGGAAGGTCTTTAGTTCCCACTCATTATGTCAGCCTCCAAATCGAGCATCTCTTGGACTTTTGGATTTTCAGTGGTTATAAACTCACTGTATCCCCATTGTGTATCAACATTTGTCCTAGTGAAATTCCCTTTTTTTAACACCCTCAGCTTGGCGAATCGCCGTCATTTCCAGATGGAGCAAAAGCGGCGCCGCCAGCCATTCGGCTGAGGCTCCGCGGCGGAACTGTGGGCGAAGCAGATTGAACCTATTGATAAATGATCCAAAAAGGACGTATCCATCACTTATATCCGCCGACCCCTGACGACAGCCAGGGGCAGCGCGTCAGAGAAGAGGGGCAAAGTCAAGCAGGCGGGCACGAGCAAGCTGGCAGTGGGCAGTGCAGAAGGGCAGGCTAAGTCAAGGTTTGGAGCTACAAGGTTTGGAGCTAGTTTCTAGGCAGCTCAGGAAAAAAAAAACGTAATGTCCTGTAGATGATCAAACGCTCAGTAAGTTGAAAGGCTGGAATGATTATACCAAAAAATGTAAAACAAAAAAAACAGGGGGGCTATCCTTTACCTATTTCATGATTAAAACAACCATGACATCACTAGAAAACACGTGTTTAGATCATGAAGTTCAAAGGCTGGCATCCTTTTATGTGGGATACATTCTGATACCTCAGAATTATTGAGACTGAACACAACGTCGTATCCGTCGTATGGCTGTTGCGCAAGCCATTGGCAGGGAATCTGGTAGAGACGCAGAGCTTTGATTGAAATGGGAATCAACCTCCAAACGATGAGTGCTCTATCTATATAATTCCAAACTCATTCAATTGGGATCGTTCTGTTGGGAATCAATACAGTGACCAATTCCAAAATATTCCTCTTGGTGACTAATCATGTTGTCATCTGAAAAATGTCTTATAGATAAATCATGAAACAACATGTCACAGCGGGCTGAATAGTCTGAATAGTTCTAGGTTGGATCCACTCAGCTAGGGATCGTTGTGATTCACCACAGTTTTCCAGTGCCTTTTCTGGATCGATCCAGCATCGCCCCGGACTGGCCGCATCTAGGATGGAAAACAGTCACAAAAACGTGATGGGAAGTTGAAACTGAGACTGCGACTTTAACGTGACTGGGAGGTTAACATTTTCGTGGAAACTAAAGGTGCAGAATGGTTGGTCTTTCTGATTTGGAATGGGCATAAAAGCTTTGAATGGGCCACCAAGTTTGCAACTTTGTATCATCGATCACTGAGATGCAGATTTGACCAAAATGAAGGATTGCCCCCATTGGGGATGTTGGGAATTAGACACTGGCCCTCTTCGCATTACTTTGTCAGAAACCATGCTTATGACTGTTCACCAGGTTACAAGGGGCCCTCCCCATGAATCACTGGTTTGCTAAGCATGGTCATTCTGAAAAACACAAGAAATATACTCAAGCAACTCAAGATATAAACTCAGGACAAAAAAACTGTGACTCCAAAGTCCTACCCTCTGGTAAAAGTTTCCATAACTATGGAAAATCACCATGTTATAGCTGGGAAAATCCACTATAAATATTATAAATGGTCATTTTCAATAGCAAACTGTTAGTTTACCAGGCCGGGTAACCATTCTAACCATTCTCAAACTCTTGGTGATTCGAGAACTTCCCATCACCAGGAGAGCCAGAATTTCTGCCTGTTCCAGGTCTATCTGGCGAGCGAAGTGATGATCTCAAGTCAGCAACAACACAGACCTCTTTCAGTCCCTATCATAGTTCCTTAGAACCTCCAAGTACCGGGTAAAATGAGGTAATATAGCATAATATACCCATTATTACTTGGGACTTTAACCCACATCTTATGGTTACTTGGAGGGTTGAGGTAGTTGTTTAAGCATCCATGCATCAATGGCTTTTGCCATGGCACTACACTTACACACCTTCCCTAGATGGTTTGTTAGTCCTTGTGAATGGTCATACAAAGTAGGAAGCAAATAGGAAATAGTTCTGAATTGTGAAACCACATGCCATATCTTTAAAGAGATTACCGTTGCTTGATACATACTGTATCATTATTTGGCGGCACCACCATTTCCTGAAATACACATGTATGTTGTCATCTATTCCATCATGTAAATGTAAATCATATAAGTCAGATTGTCACTATAATGGCTAGCTAAATCTTCATATATCTTAATGTTGTTCCTGGCCTGTTGGATATTCGCCACCGATTCCCCTCCTGTTGTTGGTAAAACCTCCAATTATGTTGCTTAAGTTCGATGCTGTTGCATCCAACTTGGCACCTGCTCTTGGTATAAAATAACACGATGTCTATTCTGGTTGGTGGTTTTAACCCCTCTGAAAAATATGAAAGTCAGTTGGAATGATTATTCCCAATTTTTTGGGAAAATAAAATTCATGTTCCAAACCACCAACCAGTATTTCTTTGTTGCTGGTGTCACTAGGGGATGGGTCAAAATCCTGGTACCTAGTGAACCCCAAAATAGCTGGGATTTATGGATGTTCATCCCACTAAAATGTATCTATAGGTATTGACCCATACCCACTTCATTTTCTACTTGGTGGCTCATCCCACGAATCGTAAGTGGGTTATAACCCCAATTATAAATGGAATGTTTGTAGGGTTAATCCACATCAATCACTGGGGTGAACTAACCCACTTACTAAGTGGGATATCCACATCAATCACTGGGGTTATAACCCACTTACTAAGTGGGATGAGCCACCAAGTAGCATCCCACTGTTCGGTCGAAAGCTTCAGTTCATCGCTCCACTCCCTACTGGCCCTACTCCTGACATCTCGTCCGCGCCAAACTTGGCTCAGCAGACGGACCTCACCTGAAGCCGGACTCGACTCTGAAATCGGGCTGTTCCAAGGGGTTTAAGTATCAAACATTGGCAATATATCAACGAATATATGGGATGTTATGGGTATGTATGTGTATGTATATATTATATATATACTATATATATATATATACATAATATACATTATAACCAGTTTGTTATTTGGTGTTTGTTCAATGCCTGACAAAAAATCCGTCGGGATCTATGAGATCCCAGTTCAGATGGACCAGAATTTGACAATGTTATGACCTCAACTGGCCAGCTCTTAGTGCTTAAACATCCCAAGTATAGTTGGGTGACATGCCCATGATACCATAATCTACATTAATATACCATAATGCCATTGGTCATTTTCTAGGTCTTCCGAACCACAGTTAAAGCAAGAACAAACATGGGATCAGGTCAAGTCTTCAAGATTGTCCTCGACGGAGCTGCACTGGAACTCCCTTTCTTCAGTCGGGTCTCAAACTCGTTTTGGAACCTCTTTTTGCAGACCCCGACTCGAACAGTCGGGTAGTGCTTGTCCGCAGACATGAACAAAAACTACCGACTCAAACAGGTCTCCGCTGGTCTCCGTGGCGAACTTTGGATCCGGAAAGATGAACATCAGCAGGATTTCATGTGTGGTCCATTACAAGATCAACCAACTCAGCAACCATTTCAAGAAGAGCAGTCTTTAAAACCTTTTCTCGTCCCTTCGTACCGATTGAACAAGAACGGGATTGTGATAACACCATATAGTCATCAATCGACCGACATTTATCAAATATACTTCTACCCCCATCCTTTCGATGCTTTCCGTTCCCATAAATGATGGATCAATCACCATGTACAGATACTAATGGTTTTCCTAGAAAAAACATCAGTGGGTTAGCAGCCATTGCTCAATTATTTATGGTCAAACTACCATCAAATATAGATCGCCATGTTTCTTGGTTAAATAAGCATTGCTCAGCAGTTGCAGTCAATTTTCCCATCAAAACTTGGATTTACAATTGTTTTCCCATAGAACACCAGGGCTGGACCAGCCACTTGCTCAATTTGCCAAGGTATGGCAACTGTGCGGAGAAACACTGGGCCAAGTGACTGGTCTTCGGCTCCAATCTTGTGAGAAATCTGGGTGAATCAGCCGCGACCAGGGTTGGAAAGGATGGATCAACACGAGCCGCCATACAAACAAGTTCATGGATGAGTGTAAAAATTATTCAACATCTATAAAATATTAGTTACATAATAGATACATAATAGGTACATTTATGACTAATTGGTGGTTTCAACCCCTCTCAAAAATATGAAAGCCAGATTGGATTATACTAGGTCCTGGTGAGTTAGGATTTAGCTGTTCCAGACAGTTGGGTTATCCCTGGGGCGGGCTCCTAACTCTTGTGCTGCCGAGGCTCAAGTTGTATTTTTTTAATGGTTCCAGCAGGGATGTGATAGGAGTCACGTACGCCTCTAGGTCCTATCTCATGTTTTTTCCTAACATCCACAAAGAGCATCAAGTCACGCATCATGCGAAATTCAAAAGCAGGGAACGCCATGATAGAGCAGACTACATGAGTTAGGAAAAGAACTTGAAATTAACTTCCTTAGTTCCTATCTCTAATTGCACAAGCCTAGATTTTTTTCTAGCAAACCTTGCGCAAGGACACATGAGTTAGGACAAACTCTTGAAATTGATCAGGCTGCTTCCTATCTCATGTGCATCGGTAATTCTCACCGAGTTTTGTATTGACTGCCTCATACACTAGCCTTGAGCTCCATAAGTCCTAACTCGTCTGCCTCCTCTCTCTCTCTCTACCATCTCTTTTCCCGCTTTCTTCGCGGTTGGTGGAAGTGTTTAAGGCAATCCAATATAGAAGCAGCCCGGCGGGGTATAGGCTTAGCCTTGAGCTCCATAAGTCCTAACTCATCTGCCTCTTCTCTCTTTCTCTCTCTCTCTCTCTCTCTCTCCCCCTTCCTTCTCTATACCCTCTTTTTTCCCGCTTTCTTCGGGGTTGGTGCAAGTGTTTAAGGCAGTCCAAAAAAGAAGCAGCCCAGCGGGGTATAGGCTTAGCCTTGAGCTCCATAAGTCCTAACTCATCTGCCTCTTCTCTCTTTCTCTCTCTCTCTCTCTCTCTCTCTCTCTCGTTCTATACCAAGTCTTTTCCCGCTTTCTTCGGGGTTGGTGCAAGTGTTGAAGGCCAGCGGGGTATAGGCTTAGTCTTGAGCTCCATAAGTCCTAACTCATCTGCCTCTTCTCTCTTTCTCTCTCTCTCTCTCTCTCTATCTCTCTCTTCCTTCTCTATACCCTCTTTTTTTCCTCTCTCTTCGGGGTTGGTGCAAGTGTTTGAGGCAGTCCAATATAGAAGCAGCCCAGCGGGATACAAGCTTAGCCTTGAGCTCCATAAGTCCTAACTCATCTGCCTCTCTCTCTCTCTCTCTGTCTCTCTCTCTCTCTATACCATCTTTTTTCCCGCTCTCTTTGGGGTTGGTGCAAGTGTTTAAGGCAGTCCAAAAAAGAAGCCGCCCAGCTGGGTATAGGATTAGCCTTGAGCTCCATAAGTCCTAACTCATCTGCCTCTTCTCTCTTTCTCTCTCTCTCTCTCTCTCTCTCTCCCTCTCCCTTCCTTCTCTATACCCTCTTTTTCCCGCTTTCTTCGGGGTTGGTGCAAGTGTTTAAGGCAGTCCAAAAAAAGAAGCAGCTCAGCGGGGTATAGGCTTAGCCTTGAGCTCCATAAGTCCTAACTCATCTGCCTCGTCTCTCTTTCTCTCTCTATACCATCTCTTTTCCCGCTGTCTTTGGGGTTGGTGCAAATGTTTAAGGCAATCCAATATAGAAGCAGCCCAGCGGGGTATAAGCTTAGCCTTGAGCTCCAAAGGTCCTAACTCATCTGCCTCTTCTCTCTTTCTCTCTCTCTCTATCTCTCTCTCTTCCTTCTCTATACCCTCTTTTTTCCCGCTTTCTTCGGGGTTGGTGCAAGTGTTTAAGGCAGTCCAAAAAAGAAGCGTATAGGCTTAGCCTTGAGCTCCATAAGTCCTAACTCTCTCTCTCTCACTCTCTTTCTCTCTCTCTCTCTCTCTTCCTACCCTCTTTTTTCCGCTTTCTGCGGGTGCAACTGTTTAAGGCAATCCAATACATAAGCAGCCCAGCGGATACAAGCTTCGCCTTGAGCTCCAAGAGTCCCAACTTATCTGCCTTTTCTCTCTTTCTCTCTTTCTCTCTTTCTCTCTTTCTCTCTTTCTCTCTTTCTCTCTCTCTCTCTCTCTCTACTCTCTTTTTTCCTGCTTTCTTCGGGGTTGGCGCAAATGTTTAAGGCAATCCAATATAGAAGCAGCCCAGCGGGGTATAGGCTTAGCCTTGACCTCCAAAGGTCCTAACTCATCTGCCTCTTCTCTCTTTCTCTCTCTCTCTCTCTCTCTCTATCTCTCTATCTCTCTCTTCCTTCTCTATACCCTCTTTGTTCCCGCTTTCTTCCGGGTTGGTGCAAATGTTTAAGGCAATCCAATATAGAAGCAGCTCAGCGGGGTATAAGCTTAGCCTTGCGCTCCATAAGTCCTAACTTATCTGCCTCTTCTCTCTTTCTCTCTGTCTCTCTCTCTCTCTCTCTATCTCTCTCTTCCTTCTCTATACCCTCTTTGGTTGGTGCAAGTGTTTGAGGCAGCCCAATATAGAAGCAGCCCAGCGGGGTATAGGCTTAGCCTTGAGCTCCATAAGTCCTAACTCATCTGCCTCTTCTCTCTTTCTCTCTCTCTCTCTCCCTCTCCCTTTCTCTCTCTACCCTCTTTTTCCCGCTTTCTTTGGGGTTGGTGCAAATGTTTAAGACAATCCGAGATAGAAGCAGCTCAGCGAGATATAAGCTTAGCCTTGCGCTCCATACGTCCTAACTCATCTGCCTCTTCTCTCTTTCTCTCTCTCTCTCTCTCTATCTCTCTCTTCCTTCTCTATAGCCTCTTTTTTTCCTCTCTCTTCGGGGTGCAAGTGTTTGAGGCACTCCAATATAGAAGCAGCCCAGCGGGATACAAGCTTAGCCTTGAGCTCCATAAGTCCTAACTCATCTGCCTCTCTCTCTCTCTCTCTCTCTCCTCTCTCCTCTCTCCTCTCTCCTCTCTCCTCTCTCCTCTCTCCTCTCTCCTCTCTCCTCTCTCCTCTCTACTCTCTACTCTCTACTCTCTACTCTCTACTCTCTTCTCTTTTCTACTCTCTTTTTTTCCGCTTTCTGCGGGGTTGGTGTAAGTGTTTAAGGCAGCCCAAAAAAGAAGCAGCCCAGCGAGGTATAGGCTTAGCCTTGAGCTCCAAAAGTCCTAACTCATCTGCCTCTTCTCTCTTTCTCTCTCTATACCATCTCTTTTTCCGCTTTCTCAGGGGTTGGTGCAAATGCTTAAGGCAATCCAATATAGAAGCAGCCCAGCGGGGTATAAGCTTAGCCTTGAGCTCCAAAGGTCCTAACTCATTTGCCTCTTCTCTCTTTATCTCTCTCTCTCTCTCTCTCTTCCTACCCTCTTTTTTCCGCTTTCTTCGGGTGCAACTGTTTAAGGCAATCCAATACATAAGCAGCCCAGCGGATACAAGCTTAGCCTTGAGCTCCAAAAGTCCTAACTCATCTGCATTGTCTCTGATTGCTCATTGATGCTCATGTAGGGGTAGACTTTCTCTATTGGCGCTCTTTATAGATCTTGCTATCGTCTCTCTCCTGTACATCAATATCTGTCTCTCTCTTGTCTCTCTCTGTCTCTCTCTGTCTTCTCTGCTCTCTCTGTCTCTACTCTGTCTCTCTCTGTCTCTCTCTGGTCTATCTCTGTCTCCTCTGCTCTCTCTGTCTCTCTCTGTCTCTCTCTGTCTCTCTCTCTCTCTCTCTGTCTCTATTCTTCGGGGTTGGTGCAAGTGTTTAAGGCAATTCAGTACATAAGCAGCCCAGCGGGATGCAAGTGTTTCCTCTCTCTGTCTCTCTCTCTCTCTCTATGCTCAGCCTATACCCCGCTGAGCTGCTTGTGTATTTAATTAAATGAGAACTCAAAGAAAAGTGAAAAAGATATTTGGCGAGGGAAGAGGCAGATTAGTTAGGACTTTTGGGGCTGAAGGCTGTCTGCAGCACAATGTACAATCCTAACAAACACATAGATCAGACTGGGGAGGAAAACCTTCCACTACTTGACATGTGAGTTAGGAGCATTCACTTACTCGGAAAGCGGCAGTTACCATTACCAACAGTTTTGCCAGTTTGCGCTGTGGCCGTGTAAAGTTGAACCAAATGGCTCATGAGTATGCACTGTATACACACACACACATGAGATGGGATTACCATGAATTCAACCCAAATCTAAATCCCAACTCATGTGACATGTCGCGTGCTCCAAAGGCCTCACTTAACTACATGAGATGGGACTCAACAACCAATTTTTACTCATCTATTTCCTAACTCATATCTCATTTTCAGCTATTCTCAGGACGCTCCAGTGCTGCGATAGCCACTTGAGTTAGGAGTTACCCTGGCAACTCCTATCTCACAGAGGGACACTGCTCAAAACATAGAAAACTTAATACTGATTTTCATGTTTTTTTTGTTTAAAATGCACTAAAACCCCTCCTGAGTTAGGACTTACATACATTTTTTCGATCCAAAAAACAATTTTTACATGAGTTAGGAAATTCAATTTTCTGGTTCGTCCGCAGAGGCCTAAGTCATCCTGACCTAGTATATCATCCCAACTATTGGGGAAAATAAAACATGTTCCAAACCACCGACCAGATGAATACAGTATCTGTATATTTTCAATTTATACACGAGGACTTCGTTGTTTTCGGCTGTTGGACAATGGCGAGGACATCTCAGGATTTCTCAGGTGGGGCCAAAGTGAAAAATATCGGATACCCTCTGGTAAACGTTTACATAGTAAAATCACCAGTTTTAATGTTAAATCAACTACAGTACATATAAGTGGTTATTTTCAATAGCTACGTTAAATTACCAGAGGGTACTGTAGAAGTTCTGTAGAAGAGCTTACCAATCGTACCTTTGGCCCGATGTTCTTTGTATGGTCCAAAAGTGTACAGGGGAGGGAGGGACAGCAAATTGTTTGATGACAATGATGACAACATTTGTGTTGATGATGTCTATTATGACAGAATATGTTTGTCGCAAGTTGGTTTTCCTCCGTAATTTGGGTATGTTCCTGATGATGATGATGATGGTGATGATGATGATGATGGTGGTGATGATAATAATAATGATGATACAACTATTGTAATAAAAACCTGATGGCACAATCTGTCGGCAACATTGACGATGCATCTGCCGAGACACTTTCATCCATGGGCATACGGCCTAGCTGGCGGCTGAACATCAAGGGGTAACTACAACCCTCGAACGAACATGGAACACACCAAAAATATTATAATATATCATATTAAGTTAAATTTTTATTATCTCATATTATATATTATATTATATTACATTATATTATATTATATATTATATTATATTATACTATATTATATTATTATATTATATTATATTATATTATATTATATGCATGTACTAGTATATATACATATATGGACATATCTATATTTATGTATATCTATGGCTGTACATGCATTTATATACATATATATACATTACATATATATACATATCACATATCTATCAAAACTGCCATGTTGGGTTTCCACGTAAATTTTCTGAAGGCGAGACGCTTGTGTCATTTTAGGAGCCCACATGGTCTGGTTGTACTCTTGGCATCTCTTAAGCTTACGTCGCGGATCTGTTTGACCCATGTCAATCTATATACATATGTTGTGGAGGTACCGGAGGTATCCCATCATTGATGTTTGCTCATGCTTGTCCTTTTCTTCCTTTCCATTCACACTGTTGGTACCCGCACCACTACATGACAGGGTGATCACCACTCGCCAAGTGTCGCGATCCACCCTTGGCGAACTGAACTTGTGTCGTCCACTGCTCACCTCAAAAGAAGGTCAGCCGGCCAGCCGTTGAACAGCATAAAACTTGAAATGTCATCTGACGATGATAAACCCATGACCCACTACACTCAAATCACAATTACTAAAAAAAAATATTTGAATTCTTAACAAATCAATAATCTACAAATGATGGACTGTTCTTTGTTATATAAATTACAAGAGCCAATCCCATCCCAGGTATTCCAATGATTTTTGCCAACCTTATGCCATTTCGCCCAAGTCATCCAGTGAGTAGAAAATCGATGTAATCACCACTGCCATGGTTGAGTACCGTCGGGGCAAAACGTTTCAGCATATGCACAAGCACAGGAATGCACACACACGTCTACTGCAGGTACACATGTATTGTAAATAAGCAAACATATTTCTATGAATATTATGTGTATGTATATATATATATATGATTATATATATATATAATTATATATATATATATATATCAAATACACGTAATACTAATGCACGTGATACACGTGTAAACCAAGTCTGCTGTTAAACCCTGGAAATATTGAGTATATCCCCTCCGTATTGATGCATTCTACTTTTCTTTGGTGTTGGGTCTTGGTTGAGCCACCCCTCCCCAAAATACTAAAAAGTCAATTGGGACCATCATTTCATTTTTTGGGATGGAATATAAAGACAAAGATACTTAAAACCACCAATCAGTCGTAGATGCCTTCAAAATAAAGCAGTGATAGGTGCCACCATGATAACACAGGAAAATCAACAACAATTACCCGATTCTACCACTTGGATCCACTTGGCAGGCATGGACAAAAACAGGAAAAAAAAGGCTGTTGTTGGGTTTGCCACATTACAGTACCTCGTGCTTGCGATAATCGATATAACTGTGATTTATGATTCATGAATGATAAATCTGCAGCAGGATGGGTGACATTGTGATATATGTTGACAGGTTGATAAACGAACTTACAATCGGGTACACAGTTGGACAGCATCAAAGCACCATATATGCACAGGCTGCACAGGTTATATCCATTCTTGGTGCCTTGAAAAAGGTTCCCCTGAAATCTCCTGCCAGCTGCCGGACATCGGGATGTCCCAGTGGCCAAACTCGTTCTCCTCTACAATCGTGATGCCCCTGCGAGCGATCGTCGTGCAAGTGCGTATTAGTACCATGTGTTCAGGAACCGGCAGGCTAAGAACCGGCACGAACCGAACCGCCAATTATTCTTACGCAAACCGAAAGGGCACGAACCGAACCGCCAATTATTCTTACGCAAACCGAATGGAACCGAACCGGTTCCACATTCTCAAAAAAATTATTTTGTCAGCTTCCGGGGGTTCCGAAAATGATTTTCGCGAATTGAAAATCAAATTGGAAAGAGGAATCAACTGTAATGAATGGATTCCTGCGCAACATAATCTGCCAAAGTGCTGCAGGAATTGCAAATGATCAGTGCTGGCTGCTACTACTGCTACTACTGCTACTACTGCTACTACTGCTACTACTGCTACTACTGAAACCACTGAAACTACTGCTACTACTGCTACTAAGAACTATTGCTATTACTATTACTGTTGCTATCACCAGCACTACTGTTGTATATTATATTGCTACCTCTATTACTAGCCTCTCTGCCCGTTCCTGTTCGGCAAAGCCCGGTCGGGACCCATACCTGCTGGGGAACCACTTACGAGAGGCTACTATTTTTCTTACTCGTAGTCTTACTAGAACTAGTATTACTTCTTTACTACTATTAGTACTAATTCTACTTATATTGCTGCTACTGCTACTGCTACTGCTACTGCTACTGCTACTGCTACTGCTACTGCTACTGCTGCTACTACTACTACTACTACTACTCCTGCTACTACTACTACTCCTACTACTACTACTACTACTACTACAACTTTTTTCACTTTTTGCCAAAACAACTCCGAAAATGATTTTCGCGCAGTGAAAATCAAGTTAAGGAAAACATCTCATAGTATTCGTCCTCGTACGGCTAGACTACTACTGCTGCGACTATTACTATTACTGTTGCTATCACCACCCCTACTGTTGTATATTATATTGCTACCTCTATTACTAGCCTCTCTGCCCGTTCCTGTTCGGCAAAGCCCGGTCGGGACCCATACCTGCTGGGGAACCACTTACGAGAGGCTACTATTTTTCTTACTCGTAATCTTACTAGAGCTAATATTACTTCTTTACTACTATTATTACTAATTCTACTTATATTGCTGCTACTGCTACTGCTACTGCTACTGCTACTGCTACTGCTACTACTACTACTACTACTACTACTACTGCTACTGCTACTGCTACTGCTACTGCTACTGCTACTGCTACTGCTACTGCTACTGCTACTGCTACTCCTGCTACTACTACTACTGCTGCTGCTGCTGCTACTACAACTTTTTTCCACTTTTTGCCAAAACAACTCCGAAACTGATTTTCGCACAATGAAAATGATGTTTGGCTAATGTTTGGGTTTTGCAGGCACTGCCTCAATTTCGATGCCTGAAAACGACTTTCGCCATATGAAAATGGCATTTGGCTGCTGATTGAACCTCTGCCGGCCACGACTGGATTTCGACAGCTGAAAGTGATTTTCGCAAAATGAAAATGCCGTTGGCAATGGATCTGTCAATTTCACTGTACACTGGTTAGATGTAAGAATTCTAATAGTTGATGATGATAATCATTATCCCCAATCCAAGAAGCAGCATAAGCACTTTAGTCATCAAAAAACCGCGGTTTTGGACACTGCTTACTTAGATGCTGCAAACACTCGGCCCCACCACCAGTTTCAAACATTCAAAAACCAAATCCCTCTGCTGCAACATAACATTACTATTTGCTATTCATCCACACCCATTCTGTCAAAGACCTCTCGTCCTGCAACACTACACAACACGAACCGAACCGAACCGAACCGCCATGTCACACGAACCGAACCGAACCGAACCGCCATGTCACGCGAACCGAAACGAACCGGCCTGCTGATGAACCGAACCGCCCCTATTTGAGGTTTCCACGAACCGAAACGAACCTAAACGAACCGAAGCCTTCCTGTATTATGCATATGCATGCATGTTTTTGATTTTTTGAGTCTGTCTATACGTATCAGAAGTACTGAAGAACTGAAACATTGGATCTATGACCTGGTGTCATCAACCATCAGCAGGAATTCCTTATGATTCGAATCCTTTGATTCATGCCGGGCCAGTTCACAAAGTCAGCATAAGTCAAATACCCTCCGTAACTCAACAAAGCTATGGAAATGGTAAATTCATATGATTTACATTGATTTACATTGATTTACTGTACCTATTGAAAACGGTGATGTTCCGTGGCTGTGTAACACATTACATCACCAGATGGATCCATCGGTACACGATGGTACACGGATTCGACAGAGACGACATCAGGGCTTCGGACTCGACCCAACGCGTAGGTGGGTACCTAACAGGTGCAGAGACTCTGGAGAAGCTGCCATATCCTCCAGTAAATTAACAGTTCGACCCTGCCATTTTTCGGGGTTGGAAGATGAGTGAAACCCAAAAAAATGGGAGATTTTCAGGGTCGAACTGTTAATTTACCAGAGGGTACTTCATATAACTTAACCAAAAAAAGCTGAGGTTTAAGCACCAATGATAGAGACTCGAGATTGAAGCTATTACCCATAGGATCCATGTATGCTATATATGGTAACATTTACCATCAATATACCCCAAATGTTGGCATATATACCATACATGGATCCTATGGGTTAGCGAATAATGGATTTCTTTTTCTCGACAAATGCATACTGTATCATGTCTGCAAAATCTGATGACAACCGGACAGTCAGGAGAAATCCATCTGCACATCCTGAGATCTCACAGAGCCTAGGCCTAGAATCCAAAACATTGCAAAACAATGGACGGGTTGCTCCCACCCTGTTTGAACCCAAGAAAGTCACCACATCAGAATCAGATGCCCAGCGAAGGTATCCCAACAACAGTCTGGATTGAATGGACAAACATGAATAAAATGAAAATAAAGAAACACTGTATCCACTGAAACCTTCCATAACAGTTGGTTTGTTATTCACGCAACCAGCACCTTTGCATTATCGAGGACTCGTTTTATCACCACCCAGTTCTCCGTAGTGCCCCAGTTCATTAGCCAAATAGCTTGAACGAAGTAAGCCGATGGATTTATGATAAAAAAAATCTATCAAACTAATGGCAGCTAAGGCTGAGCAACCCAACAAAAATTGATTACTATGATCCATGGGGAATATAGACAATCACCTTAAACAAACACAGGAGTATTAACTCTTAACCATCCGATGTTAGGGGTGCCTAATTTTGATCCATACCCGTATGATATGGGTAACCTTCCAGTAGCCCAACAGAAATATATGATTCTACCATTGATTTAACCAATGTTGGATTTAAAGAACCTATAAGATTTCATGGGATAAATCAGCCAATATAAGACATTGATGCAAATTGCAATATCATTTCGGAATATGTTTTATATCGTTTTATATCTTCTATTTCCAAATCCAAACATTTCTAGTCCAACCATAGTTCTATATATCATGAACCATATGATAGTGCTGCCTGCCTTCCGTTTTTTTTTAACCACCTGAAGCATTTCACGAACGGAAGCCGAGAGACTTTCCGTACCTCAGGCGACTGTAGAACCAGTACCAAGGCCTTGGTGGTACCGTGTTTTTTCATTGGGGATAGAATGGGAAAATACTGGGAGGACATGGAAAATTATATGATAATATATAACGGGATACATAGATCTACATATATATATATATATACATACCTTACGGAATATATTTAACCCTAAGAGAAGTCAGGGTTAAGGTTTACTAGGTATATGTATATCAAACCAATTTTATGTGTATGTGTATATAATAATAATAATAATAAATAATAATATAATAATAATAAATAATAAAACAATAATAATAACAATAATAATAGTAATAATAATAATAAATATATATGATTATATATGATTATATATGTGTGTGTGTGAACTTGTTAAACAAATGATGCATACCCCAATTACGGCTATTTGATCGGGACAATTATGATAAACCACTGGATTTACGGATGCCCTATTTTCAAACATACCGTGGTAAAATTATACATTTGCACCCCCTTTGTGGATATGATTCACCTATAGGTTGGAGCAGTCCTGCAGAATGTTCTGAACCGGTTGTAAACACCATGAAGGGATCACTATCAAATAATCAGCTGCTTTCTCTTGTGACATTTGATGCGTATCAAGCATACATTTACATCATTTTACATCTACACGTGGTATCAAAGTATCACAGTGTAAAACCATGCTGCAGGAAATAAACCACAATCCAGCGAATCTCGCCACCAACAGTTGATCATTGTGTTGGCACTAAACCTGCAACCATTCAGAGCATCATGTATATAATATATCGACAAGTTTGTCATTTTGAATAGCTTGAATACCTATAATCCATAGGTTTGGGGTCACGAATTCTCTTGACATCTTCATGACGTACTGTGAGGGCTTAAAAAGGAGATGGATTAGAGATGAAGAAAAGACAATGGAGTCTATTAAGTCTGTTAATTATATACAATTCTACCATATTTATCCATATTTGGGGAGGATCCATCTGCCAGCCATTTTTCTATGTTTTCACAGTGGTCGCTGCCCACCAACAGAACGCAGCCCAGTAGCACTCCACCTTCCGCAGGACTTGGTAAGCCGAGCTTGGCCCAGTTCTCGTGGAGATTCGCTTTCTGAGACACAGGGAGATCATGGTGGAGGTAACCATGACAAATGATAGGAATGGTAGATAATTTAAGATAATAAATGTTGGTTTATAATGGTGTGGCTCATATAAAACTGGTAGGTCATCATAACAAACCATAATGATAAGTTGTAATCAATGACAATGTGGTAGGATGTGGTAGGTAACCATAACTTGTTTTCTACCAAACTCAGAACAAAATTGGTTTACACGTAGTAAACTAGGTAATGTTGTGTATGATTATCCGACTTGTAGCTGGAGGGCACCACCGTGTTCAATTTGTTTGGCGCTATTTTCTGTGGCAATACAGGTTAATAGCATGTACGTAATAGTGGGATGTGATCAACTTCGATTCAAATTGCAAGCATAGGAATACCCTCTGGTAAGTTAACATAGCTATTGAAAATGGCCATTTATAGTGGATTTTCCCATTAAAAATGGTGATTTTCCATAGTTATGTTAGTTTACCAGAGGGTATCAGTGGCAAAGCTAGACTCGAGGTGCCAGCTAACAGCAGCATTGTTTCACCTTTTTCAGCAAGAGATACACCGTTTACCATTGGCTAATCTGAGATGCCAGCAACAAAAATGCAGCCAACCCAACAATAAAGCGTAAGAAATCTCCGATTGGGGTATTCATATCATCGATTTCTGTCACAATGAGGAATGATTTATCATCGTGTTTACCCCAATTTAACGTTGGTTCCTCCAATTATATATATCGTTGTTCAGCAAAGAATAAACCGACATATATCACCCCCCAACTATAGATTATAGCTAATAAGTCCATCTAAGTATAGAATACTGTCGATATGTCAACTATGAAACCTAGTTGACCCACTTGCACATCAAAAAATCAATCCTCATGTTGATTTCCATGTTCAGTTCTTAAATTGTCGACAAATAGCAACTGTTCTATGCTGGTGCTAAACGCAGGGAATTTTCGGGAATGATCCACTGGCTAACTATCAATTTCATCATCCCAGCTCCCAGCAACCCATCCAGCAACCCTACGTAAAAAGCACGCACCGTTCTAAGTATGTCTATCGAAGGTCACCTTAACGGATACCTTCGGGCCTGGCATCCGATGGCCATGTGCTTCTGCGCCAGATCGTCAGCGATCTGGTGATCCGTGTTGTCATAATACGGATTCCTGCGGAACCCTCGATGCCATGGACAACTCGCCGCACCTATTACCATGTGTGTATATATATATGTATAATAGTTAGTATATATATAATGTGTAATAATACGTAATTATACTTAGATGTATTCTATTATTGTATTGTGTATGGAAGTGTATGGCATAGTTTTAAAATATAATATATATAATATTGTATAATGCGAGTACACCGTCGACAACAATACAGGTTCCCCGCAACCCTGACGTTTGCCTGCCACGGAATTGTGGAAGGGTTGCATATGTTTGAAAAAATGTTGGTGGACTTGCGAAATGTATATGTATACTTGATCAATGTTGAAGTGAGAAGTATTTACGTATATCTATACATATGAAAAGATATCTAAATGTCATGGCAGATACATGTATATATATATATATATACATACATGTGTATATATATATATATATACGTCTCTTTGCACATGTCCATCTCAGATATTGAAGTTGTCTGAAAACCGTAGATTTTGTCTGACATGGATATCCATCCCTTATGAAGTAAGTTAATGTTATTACTGTACCCCATTCAACATATTGTTCAGAGAGGGTGGCTGATTTTGATTCCTAATGAAAATAAGTTGATGTTATTACACCATTCAAAATATTGTTGAGAGGGGGTGCTGGACTTTGATTCCTCATAAAAAGAAGTTGATGTTATATTACACCATTAAACATATTGTTCAAATTGTCTGTATGACAAAACACAACAAAAGCGATGTTCTTCTTGGTGGGCGAACGTCCGGGTTGGATGGAACAAACTGCGAGAAATTGGATGAGAGCGGATTGGTCAGCTGCAGCCACTTGTTCCTGGAAGCATGTTTTGCTGAATCCAGGAGTCCAACCACAATGTTTTCTTAGTGTAGTTCCAAAATATAATCCATATTTTCTGCGGCTAACAAATTCTGGGTAAATTATAATATTTCACTAACCTGAATTAAGGCCATTTGGGGATGATTTCCCTTATTAACTATGATTCCAGTGAAGTCGTAGTGAGGTCGTTATAATTTACCCAGAAAATTTCAGATTCTGCTTTTTTTCTTGACACAAAAAACCCACCCACTGGCTGTTAAAAAGCAGCACCGTGGCTCCTCTCTGCCCACTCTGGACTGCTCTGAGTTTCACCCATCCTGGAGCACACACCGTTGGGGCCCAAAAAAGGCGGACTGTGGCCGTTGGTGGAAAAGCACCCCATGAAGACTATAGTTATAAGATGTTATAAGCTATAATTATACATATTATTATCATAGTTCATACTATTTTCAACAAACCCTAGTATCATTATAATAAGCATCATAAACCATTGCTATTAGAGTTATCATCCAACTTAGCTATCTAGGGAGACACACTTTGTAGCTGGAAAAAGACACCCATTATTGGAGGCCTAGATGTTCCTCACCTTCTGTCACTTCACGCCGAGCCCCTGTCATCTATTGCTTGACTAGACTGCCTGGTCCTGTTAACTCTTCATGTCAACTCAGCTGTCAATCGGATAGAGAAATGACTCCAGCATGATTTACGAAGAGAAAAACCATTGCAGAGCTGCTTGTTGCAAGTCATTTTTGTTGAGCAAATCTCCAGCAGAATCCAGCCATTTGTTCAAGTCATACCGAGGAAGTTGTTGCTGGGATCCGCTATTCGAAAAAATGGGGGTGTCAATGGATTGGCTTAAGGGAAAATCTCGAGGAAAACATGACGTTTGGTACCCCCAAGAAAGAGCTTTCCTGCACAACAAACATGTTTCCCAACAACAAAACTGCCATTCTTGGGGTGTCGTTGTCAACTCTTGCAGTACTACTGGCTTCAACACATCTACCAAAAGAACAGGATGGAATGCATCATATTTGAGACCACCAAACAATGCGGCAAACTCTGAGATATAGTTGATATGTTGATATACTCATCACGGTTCCCATACAAAAAAACATGTTTATTTTTCAGGGTGCCCTCTGGTAATTGATTTATAGTTGATTTACCTATTAAATTTGCCATCTTTTTGGTGATTTTTTGTGGTGAATTTTACCAATTAAAAATGGCTAGTCCTATCTCCACAGACTGCCCCCGACGCCTGGATCAGTAACTGAACACCACCGGAGCAGGTCGAAATGCAGAGCCGAAATGCTGCCCAGGGGCCCAGGTCGAGTCGGCGTCCAACGAAGAATGCGTGGTTTAACCATCAAAACCGGGAATGTTATGGAAATTCATGAGACTATGGGATATCATAACCACATATAAAATCAATTATATAAAATCATATATAACCCACTATGATTCTGGGTGTGTCCGAAAATAGCATATTACACATTGTATACACAAGCAAATGTCCATAAAAAAAAACTCTGGGAAATCCTGATATTTTACATTTTTTGGGGGTAATTAGTAATTACCTTCTGTTTTACAAGATCCAAAGACCCACAAAGCTGGATGAACATCGAAAAACAAGGCAGCAACCACATTTGACAATATGGATTGAGCTGGTATGAAAAGCATTGATATCAATATCACATGGAAGTTTAACTGCTATATACATGGTATATATATATATAAGTCTATCAAATGCGAGTGTTGCAACCACAATCACTTTCGATCAATTTCATGGGTGAACTTGCCAAACTTATCAGCAAACTTGTGTCACTCATGTCCGAGTCTAAGAGACGTGCAGTCGGTTCAGTCAGGTGATGAGAAATCATCGTAGTGCACTGGTGCAGATCAAGCAGTAATATATGAATATTATTCGGTACCAGTGCGCGTGGTGCAAATCGTTCCAATATGTGGTTTGCTTAATCCTACGTCCTAACGAACAATTACCTCAGTCATATATTTTAAGTGTAACTTTTTGGAGATTACTGTAAGTTTATTCAGGGGTGTTCCTATGGGTACACAGTTTCTGAGTCCCGGTGATCAATTATGTTTCACTATCTTTTCGGGGTTACTGGATAAAGAGCTCAAAGTAAGTATAGACAAAAAACATTCCAGTAACACTTTGAACAAAAAAATACAAACATATGTGTCCCTCTGAGTCTAAGTGTTTAAAAATGTTTAAAATCTAGTGTATGTTCTAAAATAAAACTTCTCAACTTAGAACCACAAACTGAGGCTTCCGGGCCCCTGACCGGAACGGTACGGAACTCCACACTCCTCACGGATGGGGAGCGGCCGGGGAGTGATGTGTTTTGTGCCAAAGATCCTCCGCCGGATTTTTGGTTGTTGTAGCCTCTGTGGTAGTCAAACATAGCTATGGAAAAATTAGGCAAACAAAAAAAGGCAAAAAAAAATTGGCCATCTTCCAAATCGCCTCATCTTAGACCAGAGGATACTTTTCACCATGTCCTAGAACCTCATTTCTTGTTGGTTGAATTCCACTCTTCATTGGTTAAATCACCATCTTCCATGGTTGAACCACTATTTTATTGGTTAAATCGAGTGAAATCCTCACTTCTGTTGGGTGAATCCGAAGTCATGTTGCTTAAATCGACATTCAGGTTTAAAATGGTTTAAATCAACATCTTATCTGGGAAAATTATATTGGTTCGCTTACCTAAGGCAAGGCATAAGGCTATATTGGAATAGTACATTCCCCTTGTAACTAACCATTATTCCAGAGAGGTTACAGTGAAGTTGTTATAAATTACCCAGATCTTACCCCCCAGTAAATTAACATGGACTCTGACAGATAGGGGTTGGAAGATTAGTTTCCACTGGAAATGGCTTATTCTCAGGGTCTATATCCCATAGGATCCATGTATGGTATATATGCTAACATTTGGGGTATATTGATGGTAAATGTTACCATATATAGCATACATGGATCCTATGGGTATTAATTCACAAGATGGTATGACACGGCTTAAAGGTTGAAACACCTCATCCTCCCTGAGGCCCCCAGGCGCCTCTTCGCTCAGAGGCCTCTGCGATGTGCCTTAGGACCGTCGTGACCGCTGTCACCCGTGGTAGTGAAGCGTCAGAATGGTGACATATGGAAATTAGGGGGTGACTGGTGATCACCCTTCACCAAACCTTACCAACATTTGCATATTAAAGACCACCGAACCAAAACACCTGTCATGGATCAATCAAACATAAACATAAACTGGACAAATCACTGGGAAATCGCCAGAAATCCATGACTTCTGGAAATGTATATGGTCAAGAAAATTTAATATATCTCAACCTTGATGGATTCTTTTCACCAGAAATCCATGGCCTTTTGCACCACCGGACCCTTTTTTGCCAATTTTTTGTCAAGTCGCTGAGCCTCTATCCACCTCAAACTGGTGGTTTTAAACGCAAAATGTTGATTTTACCAACAAAAAATAGTGATATATAACCAACCAAACTGAGGATAAGATGGGGATGGTACAGAAAAACTTGATTGACGGCTTAGATCGATGCAACTGAGCCATGAAAAAAATACGTTTGTTTTCAGCAGCAATCATGGGATAAAGACTGATAAATAGTAGGGATATTTGCCGGGATATAATCGACCAACTTGATATAATATATTATGTGGGTGTGTCTGAAAATGGGATATAACTCGCCCACAATGGCAATGTTCATAGGGGAAACAACCTGAGGCCAAGGGAATGACGGGACGAATGCCAACCCTGGCCTGCCGGGGGGGAAGGGGGCATAACATTGACAGTTTCAAGGGATTCAAATGTGGTGCCTGCGTATTCCTTGCTAAAGCAAGAGCAACTTCATCTACCCTCTGGTAATTTAACATAGCTATTGAAAATGGCCCATTTATAGTTGATTTACCTATTAAAAATGGTGATTTTCCGTAGTTATGTTAGTTTACCAGAGGGTAGCACAAGCTAGCTTTCGTGATTGAATTTAGGAGTAGCCTATTATCAGGCAAAGCAACACAGATGTTCCGAGGCTGGTTGGTTGGGTTCATGTTTTGTTTTTCTCCAACTATTTCTGGGAGAGTCGCGGTAGTGGCAATCACACTCACTTGGGAGATTAACCTTATCACCCCAGAGATATCCGTGATTGATCTGCTTGATATCCTGCGACCTATGCACTCTGGGCATAGCCAACATTCACCCACTGTGGACCACTTCATAATTCAGATTTGGTTACCTGATTTTGAGCCATACATAGATGCAGCATTCCTAGGCCGGGATGGCCAATCCATTGATGATATATCCAGCCTCTACCCCATGGTTGGTGCAAGGTGGCCCCCCCCCCAGTTGTGTAAGTTGGTTTATAAGCCCTATGTACTATAGTTCATAGTAGTTCGATATATATATATTATTATTTTTTTATTAATATGATACTATATGATATAATATGATAATATATATATTATAATTATATATAAATATCCACATACCGTGAATTCACTCGTTAACTGACTGAACTCAATCAACTTAGCTAGCGCACTCCTCGGTATCACCTGGTTGACTCCATGCACCAAGCCATAACGAAGCCGTGGACACGTCGAAGCCGTGCTGAAACCTCAACGTACCAGTTGTTTGGTGGGCTGTTTGATGGTCCACATATTTGCAAAGCATGTTCAAACATATGACATCATATGACCACAGTATGGTTGAAGACCCTGGTCTTCAAAACATCCCTAAATTAATATAGTGAAAATCCCAGCATCCGTAGATTCCGTAGATCATTTACCTAGGGAAACCATTGTTTTTTTTCCACATGTTTGTTTAATGTTTACCCAAGGGTAACCAAGCCACGGTAGTCCCAGCGCTGGCGCGCCGCCAGCGCTGCTTTCCGCTTTCCGCGCTTGACCATGGCATGGACAATGGTGGAGAAGTGAAAACAAAAAAACGGTAGTAAGATGGGTTTGCCATCATCAAACATATAATAATAATGGCTAACAATGGCTAATAATGGTTAATCATGGCTAATAATATCAATGGTTAATAATGGTTAATAATGGTTAATCACTAAAATTTTACCCTCTGGTCATTTAACATAGCCATTGAAAATGGTGATTTTCCATGGTTGTGTAAACGTTTACCAGAGGGTAACCATCAACTTGTCTTTGTCACATGATTTAAGCATCAACTTTCTGGGATTTGATAGGATATCAATGGGATTCACTAAAGTGGTATGGTTGCTTTATTTGTCTACGTGGATGAATCAAATGTTTCGGGTAAATGGAGATACATCAAACATATCATCTCATACTATGATATACTATCTACAAGAATGGTGAAAAATGTATCACTTGCCATCCATGAATTGTTTGGATGTAGTTTGCCTACACATTTTTAAAGTATTGTTTGGGATAAATGATAGATGGGGATAAATATTTTGTTTCCCAAGAACAGATAATGTGGAACATGGTGGTGCAGATGAATTTAAGTCTGGTGTACAGGTTGATTTTTATGGGAAAAACGTGCCAATCTACAGTATCATCAATGCACTTTTATTAGTATCTGTGATTTTGTGTTGACAAAGTGCCTGCAGGCCTTGAGTATAGAAAGCATACACATTAATGTTTTCAGAATCTCTCCTGAGCTCATCCCCCATATGTCATGCCTCATTGACCCTCCACTTGGTTTTCAGGTGCCAAGTTTCCTTCAAAAAACAATGTACAGTTCCCCTACTCGAGGCTGGTCATGATCAAACCGAGAGAGAAAACCGTTTCCACCCTCGATCGAATAGCTGATATTGGGTGTCTCACACCATCTTGACACCTGGGTACATAATACACCTGAAAGGGTGATTCTTTTTGTTTATATAGTAAGATGCAGGGAATAAAACATATTAAAACATGAGATTCCATGCTATATTTTAGAGACATTTTAGAGACGTTCAGGTTGGTATTCTATTTGCATGAAAAACCCTTCAACTTGGGTTTGTAGCCATCAAACAACTGGCCCTCATCCCCACCTATGCAACTCACTGGAATCAGCAGGATGAAGAACTCACGTTTTTCGATGTTGGGTCCTTACATTGTTTCATTGATTGCTTAAATAACATATTATACATTGGTAGATTGTGGTTTAGATTGATAGGCAAATATATAGATCTTTTTTTGTGACATCTAGAACTAATCGTTTATTACCATTTTGAAAACCAAAATATGTTTCCACTTCTTTGCGGGTTAGTATTAGTATATATTAGTATAAGGTTAACTATCATCATCTCCTGAATTTCAGGTCTCCTCATTTCATTCTGCGCGGTGGCTGGCGAAATCGCACTACCGGTGGCACCGGTTGCGTCTCGGGCAACCAGGCAAGCGGTGGAAAACAGGGCTGGATTATCGTGAGCCAACAAACATCATGTTTGATCTTGATTTTACCCTCTGGTAAACATACACAAAACCATGGAAAATCACCATTTTAATGGGACAACTCAGTATAAATGGCCATTTTCAATAGCTATGTTAGTTTACCAGAGGGTAAGTTTAGAACCATTAGAAACATCCCACATATTTACCTGCTATATGATATTTACCTGCTAGACGTGCTAAATGATCTTTGCCTTGTACTTCAACATATTTCCAGGTATCCGATTGTTTAATCTGCTTGGGGGTTGCTACAGTATATAATGATACTCAGTGAAATTTAAACAGCGTTCGTCGTTCGTCAAAGTTCCGGGAAATTATCCAATCTATCATTTATAAATATATTGATGACTTGAATTATCCCATCTAAAATATGTAGTATAAAGGCATATCCTCACTAAATTGGTTTTGTTGACTTCGGACTTCGGAACCTCTACTCCGACTCATGGCTTTCCAGATCCGCTCCAACCTTGGCATAGCCAAACACAGCAAGCAACTGATGATTCTGGGATATTGTGGGAACAAGCGCAGCTATCGAGTTTCACCAACATAAATTTGGTTTTCACAAGCCACAACTGGGATTTAAGGAACATAAATAGGGAATTAACCATCAACATTACGGACTTAAGCGTCAAGAACAAGGACCATCAAAAATATGGATGCAGCCATTGAACTGGCGATGTGACCAACACGCAAAGATTCCTTCACCACTGATTGGTTAGTTGGTTGTTTTTTGGTTGAGCATTTAAAAACAAATGGTTATGTGGTGGTGAAAATGTCAGACGGGCTGATGAACTAACATGTAATCACTTAACCAGTTGTAGAGGTGATGATTTAATTGCAGTTTAATTACTTGAATTATCAGGAGACACCGCACCACTTTGAAGGTATGCAGTGACAACCACCTAGTTTTCGAACAAAACAAAGCGAATAATGTGTACATATAAAAATTCAGTACATTATATCTACATGTTTATAACCTCAATATAGGTAGATCACAGGCTGTTGCAATATATATATATATGTATTATACATATAGTGTTATTATTATGTTTCTATACATACATACATACATACATGCATGCATGCATGCATGCATGCATACATGCATACCATACCATACCATACCATACCATACCATACTACCATACCATACCATACCATACCATACCATACCATACCATACCATACCACACCATACCATACCATACCATACCATACCATACCATACCATACATACATACATATATATATATATATATATACACATAGTATATATACATACATACACACACATAGTATATATACATATATATATATATATATATATATGAATATATGAGCCTGGTCCCCGGATTGCCACGCCCCCCCTCCCCCCAGTGGTATGGTCCCCCCGACTTCACTGCCCCAAACCTTTGCCATTTGCATGCCATTTGCACGCTATTTGCAGCATTTGGGAGGCACCGCGTCCCATTTGTACGCTATTTGCAGTGTTTGAGAGCCACAACCTCGTCACTGGACATTGTCCAGCTGTATATGTCTAAGATGCCAATCAAGCACATACTACCCAAAACCTGTTTGTGTACTGCCTATAGCGTACCTCACACGTGGCTTCCCACTCACTGTATGCCTTTATACTACATATATGCTACCTATAGATTATATACTCATAGAGTACCTATGCATACCTATATAGTCCTATATACTGTATGTTTGGATAATATATATATATATATCTATCTATCTATCAATCTATCTATCTATCTATGTATGTACACTACCTAGATAATACCCAACTAGTATTATATACCTATCTGCAGTGTAGTACAGTATATACATTGGTCGTCCACTATCTACGTACTCCTTACACCCTACAAATACTACCTACACATGTTTCATAGCGTACCTATATACGACTCATTGCATAGCATGCCTATATACTATATGTGTATATACTCCCTGTAAGCTCCGTAGGGTCCCTATACACTCTCCATATGACTCTCACCACTTACAGCTGCACACACACACTGCCCATGTAGGACTGTTGTTGTTGGGACCTCCCCCACGCCACGGGGGGGAGGGAACCATCTGGCTTGGGGGGAGGGAGGGTGTGGCGATCCCTGCTCATATATACGAAACCTCCCAGTGATTCAAATGGTTGATGGTTTTGGAGATTATAAATTACTTTACTTCGCGTGATCCCCACCATGACATGTACTTTACTTCGCGTGATCCCCACCATGACATGTATACATTTTGTTACTGGCAAATCTTCTGGCATTCTATCTGACATTTTATCTGGCATTCTATCTGGCATACCTTCTGGCATTCTATCTGGCATATCTTCTGGCATCCTATCTGGCATATCTTCTGGCATTCTATCTGACATTTTTTCTGACATTCTTCCCGTTGAGGTCCGGCAGTGCCCACTGCGATCTGGAAGTCGCGGTTGAGGTCTGGCAGTGCCCACTGCGATCTGGAAGTCGCGGTTGAGGTCCGGCAGTGCCCACTGGGATCTGGAGCTCACGGTTGAGGTCCGGCAGTGCCCACTGGGATCTGCAACTCGCGGTGGAGGTCCGGCAGTGCCCACTGGGATCTGGAGCTCGCGGTGGAGGTCCGGCTGTGCCCACATGGGATCTGGACTGCGAGGAGGAGAGGGAGGCGGAGGAGGCGGAGGAGGAGAAGCTCTGTTAAAATCTAGCAACCCTCACCTGGCAGGTGGGGAAAAATCCTTTCTGTCTACCCTCTGGTAAACTAACATAGCTATGGAAAATTACTATTTTTAATGGGTAAATACACTATAAATGGCAATTTCCAATAGCTACGTTAAATTACCAGAGGGTAATATGAAATACTCTCCTAAAAATCCTGGTTGAGTGTTGGATCTATTCATGTGGGGGGCCTACATGTGATGGAGTACTAATGTTGGCACGCCTAATAATATACCATAGGGGGTCATTTCACATCATTCTAAATAGGGGTAAGCCAAACAAAGAAACTAATTGGTGGATGGTGACTCTTATACTTATACCATAATCATCCATTATTATTCCACGATGATCCCAATATATATCTATATAGTCTATATATAACTTATATATACCCCCATTAATATGCTACTATATCCCAATATTATTGGGTTATATAGCCATTGGGTTCACACCCATATGCCTCGATATATCCTTTATTCATGCATTAAAGCACATGAGATAAATCCCTGTTATTGATGTAATATTACTCATTACAGTACTGGGTAACTACCTCATGTCTCTCTACTTGGGGTGAGTTCCAGTGAACTAAGTGGATATATGGAGGTTTCCTGACATAGTACCCCCAGTTCTCATCCATCTGATGGATTTTCCATGAAGTAAACAATCCAGCGTTTTTGGGGTACCCCCATGACTTTAGAAACCCATGATCACCCATCATTCACCATCGCTATGCAGTCATATTAATCATACTCCCATATTAACCACAGATTAACCATTATTGACCGTTATGAACCATTATGAACCCATATTAACTTAAGGAACCCCAATATATGGAGGTAATATGGGGGTTCCTTCAGTACTAAGGTCATTAATATATCTGGTACTAACCATTATTAACCATTATTAACCATCTGGTTGGTGGCTTCAACCCCTCTGAAAAATATTAGTCAGTTGGGATGATTCTTCCAAATGTATGGAAAAATAAAACATGTTCCAAACCACTAACCAGCCATTACTAACCCATATTACTAACCCATAGGAAACCCGGAGGTGAACTCACCGTTGGCAGGTCTGGTCTCCAAGAAACCCATCTCGTTGAGCATGGCCAAGGATCTCCTGCTCCAATCCTGCTCGCTCCGATTGAGGGGATATAGCCATGGTCAAAGTTACATGGAATTTTCCTGGGAAAAATGATCCCGAATGAAGCTGAAATATGAGAATCCCCCAACAAAAATATATAGGGAATTAGGGACTTAACCTTCATGGTTTAATGGTCAAGTGACATCCCATGGGAATCCTCATTATGTGGGATTGTAAAGGCCTCTGAAAATGGATTGATGACCATCCCCCAATATGAGAACACAACCCATATGTGGACCATGGCACATATGAAAATTTAGACTAGCCTGGATCATGAGACTGTTCTACATATCTCTGGGTTAGCCAAAAAATGTTTCGGGCCATGAGACTGTTCTACTTATCCTATCCTATCGTATTTTATCTTATCTTATCTTATCTTATCTATTCTTATCTATCTATTCTTATCTATCTATTCTTATCTATCTATTCTTATCTATCTATCTATCTATCAATCAATCTATCTATCTACTTATTTATTGATGGGTAATATAACTAGTATGTAATACATATATATATATTCTAATATATATATATGGTGATTACCCACTGGCTTGCGATTTCTTTGCGCATCCCTGTGCCTGCAAGTCATTCTTCTTGCAAGACTTCTTGGCCTGTCGGGAGACACGGTATACCGAAATAGACCTGACATTTATACATATATATATACATATACTGAACGATTGGATTCTGGGGCACCTTTTCCTTGGTAAATCAATGTTTCTTGTTCGAATGTGTTTTGACAAAAATCAAGTCTTCTTTGCAGAGAAGTCTATTATAATCAAAGGGAATCTGTCCCTTTCCTTTTGCACGAGATGTGGTGCAACAAAAATATTATAGTGGCCATTGTCAAAGAAGTACGGTTGCTTCATATTGTTTCAGTATGTTTCAGTCTTTGTCATGAGACAGTTTAGAGTGGTTATAGAAATGTTCGATGGCATGGGTTTCTCTGTAGGACATTTTCCAGGAAACCACTGTTTTAGAATTCAAAGTACTAGAGTTTTCTATCAATTTCTTTGAACAAATGCGGGACAAAAATCGAAACAAACTCCCTATATACATCGCTAGTAAGGGGAAACATAGCCTGGTAGACTGGTAGACTGGGCGCGAGTTTGGGGGAATGCAATTACGCAGCCAGAATTGCCGCCAATCATGTCAAGCGTCTACTGTACATTCACACCCTGTGCACCTGCGAGCTTTTCGCTTCCGGTTTCGCCTTTGGTAAGGCCTCTAGCTGCTGAGAAGCACTTCTGCAAACATGACAATTTAAACCCACAAAATGAGATTCACCCATTGATTCTGAGTATGGTTCCCAATTAGCATGCAAATGCTTGTCAATGTAAAGTAGCAATCATCATGTCTTGCATATATTACGCTCTGCCGGGTCCCCATCTTTGTGTCAAGACTTTCATGGGTTGCCTGGTTCAAACAACCTGTCTTTATTATTGTAGCAACCCCAATTGGTATTGTTTCGATATGTAAAGAGTTAAAAACCCAGAAGTCATGCAGTGAACATCATCTATGAGATGCTGAAAACACATCCCTGCAATCTATTTTGTTTGGTTGCCATATTGCCAAATCATAAATGTGGGTTTGTCCGAAAATCGGGTAGCCCCAAAATCCATTGCTTAATCATCATTTAACCCATTCAAATGTCAGTGTTTGGGTGTAAATTTCCCATTTTGAGACACACTCAAATCCGCTAATTATTCCTTTGTTATTGATTAATCACATAATTAATCACATTATATAAGTCCGCCATGTTTGATGTTTGAAACAAATCCTAATAGTATCCTATCGTTTCATGGTTGTGGTAATCTACAAAATCCACCTTATAGTTTCTGCAAGTTTCCTCCGGTAAACTAACGCATGTCATGTGGAAAATCCACGATTTGTTTGGTTGAATCTCCATGATATACCCTCTGGTAATTCAAGACGGCTACGTATGGATGATGCCGTGATCCATTTAGTTCGTTGATGGCTACCTAGGAAAACATGGTGACGTTCATGGATTTTCCATAGTTAATCATCATTATACATTAAACATCATTCAACATCACGAAACACCATTGAACACCATTAAAACACGATTAAAACATCATTATATGTTCAACCACCAGAGCTGATATAAATCCCCATGTTCGAATACCGCCGCCTTCTGCTTTGGCGGCTCAGCTTCTTTGGCTGTTTCGGCCACCGCATCGTCAGGCAGGACCTGATTTCAGGCAGGTCGCGACGAGGAAAGATTGCGCCTCTGGACATTTTATTCTTTTTCAATACATATTTTTTCAACTATTGAACATGAACTATTGAATAGGCTCAATTCAACTACTATCTATATATTCAACAAATTCACATTTTGAATTTCAGCAGCTGGTCTGATTTAACTATTAATTCAGCCAACTGATATAAATAGACTGTTGAACTACAGTGACCGCAGTGACCCCAAACAAATGCAGAAAAGTACTTTCCCTATGCTTGTAGGATTATGTTTATTTTTATATTGTTTTTGTGCGGTTGCTGTAAATCATACCGAAACATACCATGTGTTTATTTGCATATGTCTTATGAACTTTATCAACAATGTGGATTGAACCCCAAACTTTCAAATTTCCAAAATTGGGGTTGATTTTTTTCAACTAGCCTCTGGTAATTTAACATAGCTATTGAAAATTGTGATTTATGGTGGATTTACCCATTGAACATGGTGGATCTTTCCATAGTTATGTAAACGTTTACCAGAGGGTATTGAGTTTTACCGGGTGACTTACCCTCTGGTAAACGTTTACATAGCTATGGAAAATCCACTATTTTTTAGCTGGGTAAATCCACTATTTCTATCACCATTTTCAATAGCTATGTGGCTGTTTACCAGAGGGTAAACCTATGGTTTTCCTATGGTTTTCCTATGGTTTTCCCATTAAAACCTCCATGTTCCTATGGTTTTACCGGATGACTTACCAGGCAAAGATAAACGACTCAGGTCGCTTGTGTCTCCTTTTTTGCGCTCATCCCCAGTGTCGGATCCTTCGGGATGATGTTTGGCAATCCATCAAGGGATGATCTTTTTGGTTGGTGCTTGAGCCCGAGCCCATTGGTTGGCCATGAAAAATCACCATAAAAATCACCATTAAAATCACTATTAACCATAAAATTAACCATTAATGGCCATTTTCAATAGCAAACTGTTACCATCTGGTTATGACTAACATAGCCATGGAAAATCCCTCATAAATGGAAGTTTTAATGGGAAAATCCACTATAAATGGGCCATTTTCCATGGCTATGTTAAATAACCAGAGGGTAATAATGGGTCATATGGTTACTATATGGTTCATGATGGTTAATCATATTCTGGTCACAACCAACCAGGACTATATTTATATGGCTATATAATGAGCAATATATTTAATAGCTGGATGGTTTATTTCATGGAACATCCATCTATATATATATGTATATATATATATATGGTTGGTGGTTGAGCCCTACCCCTCTGAAAAATGATGGAGTTCGTCAGTTGGGATGATGACATTCCCAAAATATGGAAAAAATAACATTCATGTTCCAAGCCACCAACCAGATCACTTAAAAGGATGGGAACATCTTTCAGAACACATTTGAACATCATTACACTGTCATTACACTTTGGTAATCAAACCTGGCAATCAAAATTGCACCATTTATACTATTTATATCTATTTATACTCCATAGGGGATTTTCAAGAGTACATGGATTTTCAATTACCAGCTCACATATTTTTTTTTGATTCTGCAGTTCAAGGAGTGTAAAAAGGAATCCCATCGGCCATACTAAAGTGGAACCCCTAGTGGGGACCAGTGAATAGTGAATGGGGTCCCATCATTGCTTACCCTCTGGTAAACATACAAAAAACTAACATGGCTATTGAAAATGGCCCAGTCGAAATTATTGAAATTTACCTAGCTATAAAACTTTGGATCTGTCCGTCTTTTTTTTTAACGTTTACAGTAAAGGCTGACTGTCATATACAAAAAAATATCCATCAGCTCCGGGAATCCGGAAACCCCCTGCCTTTGTTGGATAGACATCCGCCATGTTGTGGGAACAATCAACGATTTCACTTGGCGAAATATTGTCTTGTGTTGGCCTAATCACATGTGTTGTTGATTATATAAATAAAATTTCTTGGTTGGCTTAATTACATTTGTTTTGGTTGAATCTAATTTGGGTGTTGACTAATCACATTTAGTGGGTTCAATATTATTCTTTGTTGACTCTATAACCACCTGAATTAGGTTGCTGTATAAATTTCAATGTTGTTGAGTATATTGAAAACCGCCTGATCTATGATATGTTCAAGATAAACCAGACCCCAAAGGTTTAAGTAATATACATACATTGTATTTACATATTTGGATGTGATTAAGGAACCAACAAAAATAAAGAATATCCCGCCCCACCCCCCCCAAAAAAAAATATCCCATTGGGAAAATTGACAATCATCTTCAGCAAATCCAAGTTCAAGTATAATATATCATATACAGTTGTGTTCTTTTACATATCCTCCATATTGAAAGCACCTTTAAGATCCTTTAAGCGTAACTGGCAACCCATCAACACCAGCCTCGCCTCATCTTCTCGCAGGCGCCTCACCTACAAATCGACAGACTGATCGCAGCAACTTATGGCACGGTCCAACAAGAAACATGGGTTTCTATAGTAATAATTAATAGTGTGATAATGGTGTGATTTACTATATAACATATAGCAAACATAGTATGTTTTTTCATTGTTTCCCTTAATATATAATTTCAGTGAAATTTTACGCTTAAGTACTGTGTCATGTATTTTTTTGAGTTGCTATCAGTCAATAGATACTCTAGACGTCTACAGACTAAGTAAATTAACAGAATCTAGTGGATAGATTGGATAGGTTAGATATATCGGAATACAAAGGATATGCTCATGTGAAAATTGTCTCAAACTCCCCTGTACTTGGCGATGGTGCTGCCGTCGTGGAGGCTACGAAGTAGGTCACTGATTGGTGGTTTCCTGAAAAATATGTTTCCGCGTGATGCATTGAAAATGCGAACATCTTCGAAATCATGCCAACTTAGGTCATCATGGGTATACCGGTATACCCATTACAGATCATTACAGATCATTTTATATCCCTTATTGTATCTCCAGTATTCCCATTACAGATCAGATCAGATCATCACAGATCATTATAGTATATCCATATGGGGGTTTCCTAAGTCATAGGAATACCCCCAGTTCTCATCCACTTGTTGATCGGATTTTCCATGAAATAAACCATCCAGTGTGCTATTGGGATACCACCATTTTAGGAAATTCCCATATTAACATCCCTATATACCCTCTGGAAAAACAAACATAGCTCTTGAAAATGGCCCAGTCGAAATAGTTAAAATTTACCCAGCTATAAAATGGTGGATCTGTCCGTTTTTTAAACGTTTTACCAGAGGCTAAAGCTTCAATTCGGGACGGCGAACGTCGGTGACATCCCCCACCTTTGGCACTTGCTCTGTCCACTGATTCCAGATCCTCCCATCGCTTGCCCGACGCGTGCACCCGAGCCATGTGAAGCTACGAGATTGGAAACATTTCAAACACCGCTAAGCCAAAAATATCCAAAGGTAACCTACTCATTGTGAGGGAAAATTGAAATGATGTCTTGACACTTTGAAGTTGAAACTAAGCAAAATAAAAAATCTAGCGCCTAGCGCTAGCCAATACCTCCGGAGTTCACTTAAGCACTCATAAAGGGCTCCAAATGGACTGGGACGTATTGGACAAAGCCTCAATGAACAAGGCTCCATATTGGAAAATCCACTATACCAACTCTGGGTGTGGGATTTAGCCTCAAAATACCTAGAACAAGGTTTTTACCTCGGAATATATATGCCAAAATGGGTTTTTGTACCCATTATGTTTTGGGAAGTGTAGGCAATTTTATCGATATATACTTTGAGGGTCTATGTATTGCTTCCCTAAATCGGGGAAATTGACGTTCTCAACATGAGATGGAATCGGACTTTCTATATGTGTCCAATAATTCCGAAAAACTCAAGGGCTGTTCTATTGTGATATGCCGAATAAACTTAACATTGATAAGAATGTGTTGGCTTCTATAATTAATAATCTACGACTATTGAGATCAAGCATGGAAAAACTATATCTTTATTATGATTTACCCTCTGGTAAACTAACATAGCTATTGAAAATGGTCATTTATAGTGGATTTACCCAGCTAAAAAATGCTGGATCTTTCTGTTATGTAAACGTTTTACCAGAGGGTATGATATTTTGTGACATCATTCTGTGACACCGCTTTAGAGAAAGATCTCCCCGACCGTCCTCTTGGCAGCAGCCAATCTCCACAACGGCCTGGAAATTGGTGCAAGGTGATGCCGATAAAGTTCTGTAGCCTCTGGTAAAACATACACAAAACTACGGAAAGATCCACCATGTTATAGCTGGGTAAATCCACTATTTCGACTGGGCCATTTTCAATAGCTTTTTGTATGTTTACCAGAGGGTAGGTTGGTTTATAAAGCCTGTTAACCATAAACCAACTTAAATCTATATGAAAACTTATGCAGTACATCTACATTATTATGACTAAAATCCAACTTACATCACTATTAACTCCAAACCAACTTGAATCTATATGCTAAGTTCTATATCTATACATTGTTGTAACTAGTTAATCCACTTAGGGTCACTTGGCAATCGTTCAATATATCTACCATAAATCCCATCGTGGACCTCATGGACCTGACGAACTGGGCTGCTTTGAAATCAGGATTTTTTCGCAACAGTTTCACGGTGGATTTTACCAACACTAAATGGATTGGTTTAAGGGAAACATTACGGTTGAAACCCCTATATTTCATGGGAAAATCAATGATTTTCGATGGTTTTCTTGTAGATTTTCCCTTGAACTCCATTGAAACACAGATGTAAACAGCAAGAATATGAATTTGACCATGCAAAAAGTTGCCTGCAATGTGGGGATTGAGCCAACGATTTAATCCTGTCGTGTCGTGGTGGTCACCAGAGGGTGCATGCTAGATGTGAGTGCAAGGTGAGAGTTAAAAAAAAACTGCACAGGGAGCCTCTTGGTAATCCAACAAGGCCTGGAAAATCCCTCATCTAATTTGGTTCAATTATGTTCAATGTTCCAACTAACTACTAGTTCAATTGAACATAATTGGATATAATTTGGTATCATGTTCAATGATGATTAATCCATATTAATCCTGAAAAATCCTGGAAGTTATGTGAAAAATGTTCCAACCATCATCTCCAGCCGGAGTTCAGGGATTTTCCGCCAGCATTTTCTCTCCCCGCCGCATCCAGCAACCTCAGCAACAAGGACGTCATTTCGGCCTGGGGACGAAGGTCTGGCGATGTCTGGCGGTCTGGTATTGAAACCCGGATGACAACTGGGCATCTCCCATAAGAAACCCCCATTTGTATAGTATATATCTATATCTCTATATATATATATATATAATATTATATCAAGAGATTTAAGACTACCAAACTGAAAATGACATGATCTCACAAACTGATACACAATGCACATATCTATCGTACACACTACATACCCTTGTTATCCCTTGTGTATAAATCCTGATGTAAAGATCCAAGCAGAACAGCCGTCACGCATGAATGATGTTAGTTCCTCCTCAATCTAAATTCCATCATCTGGAAAAAAAACCGTGGCTCACATGTATCTCCCATGTCTTCCGATGCTGTAACTTGAAGTTCTTCAAGGGCCATCCTTGGCCATCCCAATTTGAGTGCATAACATCCAACAGTTTGTATCGCCATTGGTCGATGGCAAATATTCGGACATGATAAGCACAACATGTTTGTCGCTTCAATACCTATTTTTTTATGGGTTAAATGATTTTGAATCGGAATTGATGTGTGTTAGAATTCCCAAATATTGATGATACATGTCACATTGTCCATGTTGTCCATCATTCAAATGCGGTTGAAAAATGTCGCGACATTGACCAGAAAGTTCATGGCATATATTTCAATTCAATGTTGTCTATGTTGTGACATTGAACGCTGTCAATGTTATGTCAGTGTCATGACATGCAGGAATATCTTATGAACATGACATTTCTCATTTGTCCATGGTTGATGATGATTTTGCCAGTTGTTCATGATTAAAACGTATTGAAACCATATTTATCCATATTTCATATTTCTATTAGTCAATTTCCCACTTTTTGATGATGAAATCCATAATATCCATAATTTTGCTGGTTAAATCAGTATTTTCTTGTTCGTTAAACCCATTTAAACCCAGATTCTCTGTTGGTCGGCTCCCATTTCGCTGCCCCACCTCTACCCTACGGAAAGATGTATCCAGCGCTGTAGCCAACAGGGAGATGAATTCCTCACCTCGGAGCGAGCCGAAAAACGCCAAAATATTCCCGTAAGATTTATCACTTCAATATATAGTGGAGTATATATGAGCCCGGTCCCCGGACCCCCACACCACCCCCCCCCCAATGGTATCCCCCCCCCACTCCTAACCCCCCCACCCCCCCAAAACCTAGTATTTGCACGTTATTTGCACATATACACATATACACATATATACTCCCCTTTCCACCCTTCCAACCTCGCATCTCTACGTTATTTGCAGCACTTGAGAGCCACGACCTCGTCAACGGACCTTGTCTACCTGTATATTTCTATCATAACCTTTTTTTCGAACCGCCTATAGCGTGCCTCGCACATGGTTTACAACATATTTGCTACCTATGGATTACGCAAAGCTTGCCTATGCAAACCTAGACATATGTACAGTAGAAAAACAATAAATATATATATATAGATAGATAGATAGATGCACATTCTAGATACTACATATTGATATCTTGATCTTGTATCAATCACATATTTCGTTTACATTGTACATACTGTACACGTATATATATATATATATATGTACATATATATATACATATGCATACATATATATATACATATATATATATATATACATATATATATATACATAAAATCTAGATATACACCGTGTATTGCTGTCGATATTCAATATACCACTTATACTATGTAAAATTTATTCAACGAACATATTTACCTATATTGTAAATATTACATCTACTGTGGATACAGTACATGTGGCATATACTATCTATATTCTATCAAAAACCACATATACGATGTATGTATATATATATATATATATATAAATATGTTCAATATATATATATATATGTATATGTCAAATATATATATATTATATTATATATATATAGATTGCATATATTCTATTTATATCTTACATATTATATATATGTTTATATATATATACACTACATTCTAATTATCGATACATATGCATTATATGCACTATAAAGACTACATACACCATGGCTTGGCTGCTGAGAAAACACCCCCTCCCCTGCCACAGGGGGGGGGGAACCATCTGGCTGGGGGGGGGTGTGGGGGTCCCTGCTCATATATATATATATATATTATACATATATATATATATATCAGTTCAATAAATGTTCAATATATAGTTCAGTATAGATATAGTTCGATGTAACTAGTTCGAACTCCAACTATATACTGTATGTAAGTGTATATATATATATAGGGCCATGATGGGCCATGAATCCTCCTAAAACATCATGCAATTGCCCCATAACTTGGCTTCAAGGAAAATCTACACTTTCCTTGCATCCACTGACACATTTGTTTGATTTTCACAAACCATTGGTTTATAATGGTTTATATATGTATAAACCAGTAGAATTGACATCGGATGGAATTTGGGTAAGACACTTGGGAATTGAACCATCAGAAACAACGACTTGACAGCAGAAATCGTAGTTTCACCAACTCAAATAATCAGCGATTTCAGCAGCAAATATGGCAGCGTAAGCAATAGACATAGTGAAAACTACATCAAATTGCAACGCTTGACTTTTCCTGGACATCGAAGGATGACTTCCGGAATCATCCATTGGGTGCTGCCGCGTCACCCGTGGGGTCGCTGGGTTGGTCTATACCTGGAAGATGCCAATGTGGGGCCCTCCACAGGTTATGCTGGTTGCTTTTTAAAGCGCATGCATACTATAATAAGATACGACTATAAGTATCTATAAGTTACAAAGTATCATAAACACTCATAAACCATAGTTATTGGAACTGCTATCTAACTTGGCTATCGTTTGGGGGCTGTGGGGGCCCACTTTGTAGGCATGGCCGGCAACGACTTCTTAGTAGGATATTCATCCTGACTGTGGAACTTATTCGATGCAACGATTGTTCAGATTCACCCAAGAAAGGTTTCCCCAGTAGTGATTCTCTGCGGTGTGGTGTTACAATATAACTTTGCTTGTACTTACATCCGGCAAACAGTTTGAGGAAAATACAATACATTACAATACAATATAAGGAAGTTTCCTGAAATGGGGTTACCCCAGAATCATCCAATTTAATAGGTGTTTCCGCTATAAACCATTCATTTGGGGGTACCCCCATTTATGGAAACCTCCATATCATCCCTCAAATAAAACCTGATGAGTTGGCATCAAATGTCGCCATTTTTTTCCCGCGACTGCGGCGATGCTTGGGCTCTGCTTCGGTCCTCACTGCGGGCGCTGCTGATGCCATGAATCACAAGGTTATAAGTTACAGTCCTTGATGCATGTACTTCCGAGGACTGTCAAGACAATCTGGATCTGTTCCTTATCATAAGATGATGCATGATGTTGCCTACTATATATACATAGAGATTGGCATCAGATCGCCATCTACACAACAAAATCCCATGGTTTGTAATTACTGTCACCATGGAGCTGTATCCATTTTGGGGATCGCCCGTTGACAAAAACAGTACGTCGGTACGTCAACTGCATTTTTTTGAGGTAGCCCCATTCAACTTTATAAACTCAATAGATCTCAATAGTGGATATATCTTCCCATTGATTCCAAATTTAGGATACACTCAGAGACTCACAATGGATATCACCGGAGTGTCCCTACCATCCCATTCGGACATCATCTGGGTCTCCGACGTAGCAATCCTTTGGACCACCTCACCTCATACGCCATGGAAGATGTACAAAGTGGGCCCCCCGTAAACTAAATCGCTAAGTTGGAGAATAATTCCAATTTCTATGGCTTATGATACTAATAACTATAGTTCATGGGGTTTAGAACGCAACTTATATCTAGGGGGGCCACATTGTAGGAATATGTATGGAATGTTGGGCCTACCAATTCAATTCCGCAGATGTGCAACAATGTACGGAATATGTGATCTAATTTTGTTGACCTAGTAAACTTGGTCATATCTGCCAAAAGTATCAGTCAGATTCAATTTAACGCCGATACTTAACAAGGGCTACCCTGACTCAAAGGAGCTTGACAGTTGGCCATTCCTCCAGGATGGTGACTTAGTTTGGATATCATTTTGGACGAGCTTCCCAAACAGGGAACCCGGGAACACCATTTCACCCAGCCGCGCCGCAACAGTCCCGCCACCCTGAGAGCCTGACCCAGTCACTGCCAAACAATTTTATGAAAAACTGCCTGCCACCTTTGGTGCGCAAGCTATCCATCACCTCAGCTGCAGCGCAGCTAATGTGTTAGGTGTTCTTTCCAGAACGGAGCATGGACACTAAGTTTTTGGTTTTTGAAATGGTACTTTTAAGCAATTGAAGAAAATCAATGATTTGAATATGACCACGCTCATGAAAATCATGCCCAGCATGTGCAGTGATTCCTGTTAAGTCTTTCGCTAAGCTGTGAATCATCTGTGCAAAAGCAACACCACCGGATTACTGTTGACCCTGGTTGATTTGAGACGGGGGTTGCCCCATAAAAAGACGATGTGATCTATGTGATTTGCATTTCCCTTCCAGCAAAATTGACATAGACTTAGAATCAGCCAAAAAAAGAAGTATTTCTATATCTAGATAGATAGATGGATAGATATAGACAGATACAGATAGAGAGAGAAAGAGAGATACAGAGAGAAAGAGAAATAGAAATAAATAGATAGATAGATAGATAGATAGATGGGTAGATAGATAGATGGACAGATAGATAGATAGATAGATAGATAGATAGATAGATAGATAGATAGATAGATAGATAGATAGATCTGTGAATCTTTCCGCTGAGTCTGCCGTACGATCGTGCGCTTCCGCTTCCCCGACAAACGCGCCTGGGCGCTGAGGCGCTAAGCGCGGATGGTTGGGTTTTCTCTGGGACCCCAAAATTGATTTATTTACCAAAGTTCTTTACAAGAATATATATATATGTATATGTATATATATATATATATGTATATATATATATATATATGTATATGTATATATATATATATGTATATATGTATATATATATATATGTATATATATATATGTATATATGTATATATATGTATATATATATGCATATTTATATAAATATATGTATATTTATAAATATATATATATATTTAACACACATATATATATATATATACACACCATAAACCCAAATACTATACCGTGTATATAGTCTTATATTCACTTGGACCCCGTCATTTACCAAGAATATAAACATCTTGGACTCTTGAAGCATCCAAGTTTGATCCGAGATTCAGGGGGGTGTTTCACCGCTGTCAACCCACATGTATTCAGACGCTTGGAGGAACAAAAGGATTCGATCCTCCAAGCACCAAATGGGATACAATAAGTTTTTCCATGACTTTGGAACTTTTAACCAATTCTACATAATTCTAGCAATTTTTAAATTGGTACTTGGAGAGTCTCAGTAAACCACATCCCAGTGACAGCCGATGCGACCAGTTCATCAGCTTTGGCGATGGACAAACGGCCCATTTCGTCCTCACAAAGACGATGCCTCAGTCTCAAGCCACATGGATTGTAGGGTCACCCTGCGAAGAACCAATATGGAACCCTAAGCCCTGGGTTTGACAAAATGTTTGTCTAATAAGTCTAATATTGTCTATAGACAATTTCATACAATTTCCATGTTTGAGTTCTTGCTAGTTTTTCTGCGGTCCGCATTTGACATAGCAAGAGAGAGGGCATTTGGACATTTGATATGTCCCAAGTTCAGGAACATTTAACAAAAACACATCCTGATCACTTAGAACACTAGCCAGTTCTGGGCAGACTATTCGTGTGCACTCCAAACAGATAGAAGTAAAGAATCAATATTAATCACTATTCAAGTAGGATTTGTTTGTTCCATCTTTTGTGGGGGTTCAGCAAAACAAATCAAACTGTATCCTCAACTTAACATCTTAACATCTGACGCTGTGTCAAAACCATTAAAAACAAATATATATATAGCCCTGGTGAACATCATAGCTGGTAAATAGTAATAGATGTTTATCCCCCGCAAATGCGGTAGAAAATGTAGAATTGTTAGTTATTTCTTTAAGCATCTTTTGACCATCCAAACACATGATGGTGGGACATGTGCTTGACATATAATTCAATCGCAGCACCCTTCGTTAAGATCCTCTCTGCAGTGAACAGGAGATCTGTGGTGTATGCCATGGTATATTCATCTTCAAACAAACCATGAAAACTCATTAAATGGATTTAAAATGATTTAAATGGTGTATACTATATACCATGGTATACCAGTGTACCTATTTTCAACCATTAACTGGTGAATTTGTTCTTTGCCACGTGTCATTAGCACCAAAAGAATCTCGGCCACTTTTCTACCACTGGGTGCACGCACAAGGTGCTTGTGAGCACATGTGAGTTGGAAGGATTTGACCTTCAAGAAACTGGGCCGCGGACTGAAGCATCATCTCATACCATCTCTGCATGTTACCATCTCTGAATAGTGGTAAAATGGTAGGGGAAATGATAGAACATTATAGAACATGGTGGGAAAATGAAGGGAACACAAGGGAACATTAAATTGTTTGAAGGAAGTTTGAAGAACTGAGTATACCCTATGGTAAACTAACATAGCTATGGAAAATCACCATTTTCAATGGGTAAATCCACTATAAATGGCCATTTTCAATAGCTATGTTAAATTACTAGAGGGTAAATATAGGTTGTGCTGATTAAAAAAACATATGACCCAGGCCTTCCTCGAAATTATAGGATCAGGAACCAGTGAAAGCCATGGTTTCCTGTTCCAAAAAAGAAACCGCTTTGGGATCCTTTCGATGCCGTGTTGGGGGGTCAGGTTTTCAAACATTGAATCACATGGCTTTGTTATGTTCAAATGGTGTATCCCCCAAATCAAAAAAAATGTGTTGCTATTTCTCATGACAATTGCCATGTTCTGGAGTATCCCTACCAAGGCATTGGCCAGTTTTTTTCACTTTCTTGGCAGCAAGATCGCCAAGTCATTTTGGGCTGAGATCCACGCAAGAGCCGGTCAAGGGCAAAGGGATAGACCTGCATGGTAACATGATGATCAACGATGAGGTTTCATAAGCTTTGGGGGAAAAAACAAATTCAACTAACCCCAAGTCTTGCAGATTCAACCTCATCTCCCTGACTCCTGTGTGCTTTATGATTTTACAAATATAGTGTATATATATATATATATGGTATATAATATATATATATATATACATATATGGTTATTATATATATATACGTACACAGTATATACATATATATATATACCCACAGGTGAAACTCGTTGCCCAAAAATGGGAGCTGCAGAAGAGAAATGGGGCTGCAAATGCCAAGACAGGGGTGTGTCTGAAAATGGGGTATATCCCCAAATAACAGTTTGTCATAAAGTGAGTCATAAACCATGGAGTTTGGGGGTAGATATACCCATATAACTCGCATTATTTTAAATGAACACCCGTCCATTTTTGTAGCGGAAGGACCAACTATTGAATTGGTTCATTCGTCAAAGAGCCACAAATACGGGACCCAAAAACCCATTGATGTCCATCGCTGAAAAAGACTAGCTCAACAAACTTGCGGCTTCGAAATCCCAGCGTTTGTTGCCTATGTGCTTTTGAACAAGCCGTGTGTTCGGTCTGTTTTCCAAGATATTCCCACATAGTTTCATATATCATTCCTAGGGATGGAAATAAAACATAGTTGCAACATTCCAACTAGTTCAGGACCCTTGATATTATATTTATATAGATATATATATATATATATAATTATATATATAACATCAATTAACATCATATATTCTTCCACAAACTATAGGTAACTTGGTTCAGAATTGGATGGAGCCGGCATCGTTTTCTGACGCCTTCACCATCGTGCCTTCTCCAAAATGTTGAAGCTGGGATCTACCGTCCGGGCCATGCCTGGCGAATTCAGGCCCGCGAACAGCTACACATAGCTACCTTAATGGGGGGAAACTGATGATAATCCATTGGAATATGAGGTACACCATGTACACCAGGTACACCAGGTACACTGGTTTTCAGACAAACCCACATCTTGTCAAATCCAACTGGGGGGTTTTCTCCGGAAAGCATTCGGAGAGCAGCAGTGCCTGTACAAGCTGCACTGTATCGCTCGAATTTCACTGTACAGACAGGCTTGGGACAAAGCCTGGTCGATGATTAAGCCAACACCCGTCAAAAATACGACGGTCAATGGGAATTAGTATAATCAATCCATATCAATCCCATTTGAGCAGGAATGGCACCAACATGCACCAACCACGAACCAAATCATGCCATTCTTATCATTCTTCCTCTTCTATCTCCATTCTTGGCGGCTATTGGCAGCCAAAAAAACATCATTTTGCCGATTTGACACATTCTCAAAGCACCAAATCCACCAACCAGTTATAACCAGTTCACTTCAGCTAAAGACCCTGGAAAGTTTCAGGTGGCAAAGCCAGCTCCACCCAACTTCGTCTCAGCTCCATCAGTCTCTCGGACTCGGACGACGCAACAGATCGACCTCCGTTTCGGCGCCGGAGATAGATGGTTTCCTCGGTGGTCAAATGGTCAATTCATCTACACTCACTGTTGTGATGATCATGTTCAGTGGTGTGATACAAGAGAAAAATAGGTAGGTAATGATGAGATTTGTTTAAACAATCTTGAATATTCCTCCTCTTGTGGCTGTGTTTCAGCTATAATTAATAGGTTGGAGCAAACCTGTCACACCAACCTCAGCCGACTCAAGGCATGCCGCAAACAACAGGGCTATCAGCCCCATCCCCCCTCACAACTGCTGTCTTCCATCGACATCAGTCAAGGCTGCCAAGGCTCCGCCCGCGATTTCGCGCCCGGCAGGTTCAGCTCCTAATCCCGCGCAGCGCATGAAATGAGGGAATGATGTGCGCAAAGAAGAGGGAATTCCAATTTGTATAAGATTAGGAGTCCCCCCATGCCCCAATCATTCTGATGTAGGTGAAACATGCCAATGGTAGGGGTGAAACAACACAGCGTTTCAAGTACAATTATTAAAAGTTCCGCGTGGCACCGAAACTATGTTCACAGATGTTCGCTATGTTCGACGTGCTCCCATGTTTTTTTGAAGACATCATGCTACTGGCAGTCGAGTTTCGGACTGCAGATTTCCATCATTTCCATCATCATCATCATTCACCAAAACCAAGGCACCTCGATTTGAGAAGGCAACACACCACTGCTGCGAGCTGCTTTAGATCCGAAGTGACAATTTCTGAACATCTGGAATCACATGTTTGAGAAGGTCCATGTTCAACCAACAATCTTCAGTGTGAGGTCATATCAGATATTTATTACCAAAGAGACCGCAGATATATAAGATATTCCCAACTTTGGTTCATTGCAGAATCACTTTGAAGCTCCCAAGTTCGGGGCTTGATGTCTTGAAGAATGGGACATTGTGTTAAGAGCTGGACTGGATCTCAGGATGCTTTTTGTGACAAAAAACACAGCCCCAATGGTATCGTTTAAGGACCCAAATCTTTGGCCTTAACTTTCAAAATATGAACATATCACTTAAGTAATCACATGTAAACAGAATCAGTAAAATCAGTAAACAGAATAGACTGCTGATTTGAACCTACCAATCAACCAGATTTGGGATATTCATGCCTTCTCATCTTGACCCTTGATCCACCCTGCTGCTGTGGCGCATCTTGGAAGTTTGGAGACCTGGGGATCCATCAGCTGGTTGTTTTCTATGGCTTGTAGGGCTTCATTCACCTGGAGGGATGCCCGGAAGCAGTGAGACCAGTGAGAGACAAGAAAACCCATCATCATGGTATAGTATCCTCGACCAGCGAGTTCGAAAAAGAAAAAGAAAATCAATCAATGTCATCAAAAATGTCATAGACTTTAATTATCTTATAAAATCTTATAAATATCCTTAAAATCATCAGCTATATATATATATTATAACATTTCCCACATGGTGAATACGGAGCCACCTGAATCAGCGTCTCTCCCATCACCACCAGATGCCACTTCTCCGATAAATCTGCGGTCGGAACCTAAACTCAGAGGCGACCGTTGGTCGAATCGAAAAAAGGGCTGTAGAAATCTGTAGAACTATATGGCTATATAAGCTATATAAGCTATATAAGCTATATATATAATGGCTATATAAGCTATATAATGACTACTAGTCTTGATGGCTATATGGCTATATAAGCTATATAATGGCTATATAACCAAATAGCCATTGTTTGGAGATATTTGGGACTATAACCAGCCATAATAATTGCTATAATAATGGCCATAATTTCCTTTTTTTAACTGAGTGTACACATTATCATGGCTACCCTGTGGTAATTTAACATCGCCGTGGACAATGGCCCATGAAAATAGATGATTTCCCAACAATTCTGACGCTGGTGATGGGTGAGACATCTCCAACACCAAGGCACATTCGCATATTTCCTGGGCTGACAATTTGGTTGCAGCTTGATTCTGATCGCTCTTGCACAGGGGGGGGGTCAAGTTAAATCAAGTTAAGTACACAATTATTATGTGTTTGGCAAACTCTTAGTTAGCTGCTTAACTAGCATTTAATAAGAACAGGATATCCTTAACCTCCTTAGCTCACTCCTTAGCTCGCTAGACAGACAGAGGGTAGAATCACTGGAAGGCAGAAAACCATACAACACCCTATTACTGTTTGACCTTTCTGGTTGTCTTGTCTCTCTGGATGGCAAATGAAACCTGTGGAAGCCACTTGCGTCACTTTGCATCCAAGAAACTTTTACATAAAATATCACCCAAGCATTTGCGAAGATAAGGTGTGCCCCAAACAATCAACACAAACCACATACACAGCTGGTTGGTGGTTTCAACCCCTCTGAAAAATATTGGTCAGTTGGGATGATGACATTCCATATATATGGAAAGTCATAAAAGTCATGTTCCAAACCACCAACCAGACAGTTTCTTTTTGCACTGAGTTTCCCATTCTTCCAAAGAAGTAGTGGATGTGCTCCATCGGTTTCACCAGGTGGATTCGCCAAGAATTCGCGCAGGTTCGGAACCACGGCAGCTGCCAACTTCACTTCTGTTCTGTTCAATCCATTGAAGAGCTGGTGGTTCAGGAAGTCCTTAGACAACACGTTAGTGCCGTTTTTAGTGGTTTCCGAAATCATGGGGGTACCTCAAAGTGGATGGTTCATAATGGAAAATCATATTAGAATGGATGATTTGGAGGTACAATGAGGTACACCTATTTTAGGAAACCCCAACCTGAGTTTACAATGTGCCCCAGTTGGCTGAGTTCAAGTGGCGTAGTTGGGTGGCTTAACGATTGGATTTATCTAGTATTACTTAGCGGAGTCAAACTAGACCAACTTCCATTATTTTCTGGGCACCGTGGCACGTCAAAACACCACGTTTTTTTTTTTTTAATGTCCATCCCAACTTTATTGGGTAGATGGCACACCAGCCATCCTCATCTTGGGCACATTTGTTGATTTGTTGTAGCACTCTCCAAGGTGGGTGTAGGATTGTAGTGACATGTTTGGTCAGCAAGTGTTGGACATGAGCTTCTTGAGTTGTGATGATAGTAAGGGGCCGAGGAAATAAACAACACTTGTACCATTATCTTCTATTGTTAGTTTGCTTGGTGTCTTTCTCCGGTCATGTTCAAGTCACACCTTGAAAAACAAATAATAATATAGTAATACTAATAAATGATTATATATATATATATAGCAAGAATAATAACAATAATAATTATCATAATAATAATAAATATATAGTAATAATAATAATGATAATGATTTAATAATAATAAACATATTACAAGATCCATTCTACACATTGTTTTGCCTTTCAAAAATGGCAGGCCTCGATTTCAACCACATCAAATCCTAAACAACAACAATATCAGCGCAACTGAATAAAAGGCGTACTCCAACATGCTGAGCATGAAAGAGAGCAGGTCATAGGTATCTTCTATCAAAACCTTCCTATAGTTTTCTTCAGAACTAACAAAAACTATAGTTGATGTAGCACAAACAAACCAACAGGATAAAACATACGAACACTTAAATTAGCATAGCAAACTTGAAGTCTTTGTTTACCAACGCGAGTGATTCTTTCCTCGCTGGTTCTCTGACAACTTTGCTGGGGCCATTGGGTCCTCATGTTCCACAAAAACCCTCCGGGAATCGAACGTGGCAAGGGATAATACCCCATTTAGAGATATTTAATGAATTTTGATGAGATTTATGGATGATTTTCCCGTTAAAAGCTCAATTTTTCTAGTGATGTTCGGTTGCCACGTTTGATTGCCGGAGGGTAAACCCATTTCGTTGAGACTCTTTCCTGGCACTATAGTCTGTGACTATTTGTCCACCACTGCTTTCCACTCGCGCTTTCAAAGTCTTGAAGATCTCCGGCGCAGCAAAGGCCGCACCGTTACCTGATGGTTGGGTGGTGGTTTCAAGCAATACCGTCCTGCGATAAACCAAGTGGGATGGGATGGGATAGACACTTAAATCACTCAAGGATACTCAAGTATGTACTGCCCGGTAATCAAACATAGCAGTGGACACCAAAAAACAAGTGATGTTCCCATATGAAAAGCTTCATAAAATCTAGAGATTTGCCATTGCCATGAGTGATTACCGGAGGGTATGGATACTTAGAATCTAGCAGTTTAGCAACTAGCAAACATTCCGGAAACACGGGCCAGCAACCGCAATGGAGAAATATCCGCCAGGGCAATGCTTTTCAACCACCGAACCCTTTCCTTTCTTAAACTCGATCCCTTATTTGAAACTCCTGACCCTTCTTTCAACCCCTGCCCTGACCCTTCTTTTTCAACTCCCCATCTTCTTTTCAACCACTGGCCTTTTTTGGGACTTTTGGTCCTGATGACGGTGATGATGGTGCTGGTATGGCGATGGGTGATGATGATGATGATGGTGATGATGATGATGGTGATGATGGTGATGTCTATCATAGTTGCACACCCAGATATAAGGGAGTAAACATGTTCCCCCATTGTGGATCCTTGTGGCTATCATTTACCTATGATGGGTTGGAGGAATCCCCAAATTTGTGTTGGTAAAATCCAAACGCTTCTGGGATTTTTCTATTGCTCAAATATCTTTGCTTGTCATGAATCTACAATGTGGTGCCACCTCAGTTATGTTTCTTGGTTTATAACCCCAGTAACTAGTTCGATGTATCTACCATAAGTCCTATATAGGTATTAGAGTTATAAACAAATTAAAACCAACTTAGCTATCAACCGGTTGCACCACATTGTACCATGTTTGGTTCGGAAGTATCAGCCGAGGTTCCAAAGAAACCACCGAGCTTCAGCAACAGAGCAAGGCACACGGCCCTGCAAACCGCCGCAATGCCAAAAGATCGTCGCATGGCGGCGCAAGCAGATGATTCTCCGCTACCAGGGAGATGTGATTATCAATATCATATATTATGTCATATGTGCTTATATAAAACTTATATATATATATTGTACATTAAATTATATTGTACATTATATTATGTTATGCAACTTTAATATACATCCGTGTAGTGCTTGAATACTATTTGCAGAAACATCTGAAACATTGTAATACTCTACAATTACATGTCCGATGCGTGTGATGATATGAATTTGGTGAACAAAATGTTTAGAAGCAGTTGGTGTTAGTAAAAAGGTATTGGACCAAAAGCTAAAAGCTTTGCATGAAAAGGACACAATCGAAATGCAACTTTTGAGCACATGTCGTGCGCTTTTCTGAACGTTGTGGTGCACAAACACAGACACACACACACATCAGATCTCACAAGAAATGAACTTAACCAAAGAACATGGAAAAATGGCGCCTCAGCCATCAAACAAATTGCTTTGATGGGATTTCACCAAGCAAAATGGGGACTCTCCAAGCAACACTTTTTAGCAGAGCTACTTTAAGGGTTTCACAACATGTGAGCTGATGGCATGATATGATCTTTGAGGGGATACAACGTCCCAGTCCGAGTGTTTGAGGATGGATATACACGTATAGTATATATACTTATATATACATATTCATATTATGTATATATATATAAACATATTACGATTAGTTGATAATATTAATAATAAAAATAATAATAGCAATAGTAAAACAATAATATGCAAATTATGATAACACCCAAAAAGATAGAAACGGTCATTTACCGTTTATCTTAATAGGAATTATTTTTGTTCTATCTTTTTGGGGTTACTATATATACGTATGTATTTACATATATATACATATATTGTATACATGAGATTTCTTCCCAAAGGCACCTTCAAGGCAACCCAGAGCGCGAGCATTGTTCAAGAAGTAGGGTGGCAGCTGAAACTCGTACCTTTCTAATGGTGGCTGGGGTTGAAACCAACACACCCTAAGTATGCAAGAACATTCTGAGGGCTTGGGGATACTTGGGGTCTGATTAAGGGATATTTCAGGTTTTTGTTGTATCTTCTTTGGGGAATGTTATCAGGAATTACTTGGATCCATGAGGATGGAATGAGATGGACATCTGAACGTTTTCACCGAAGTAAAGGGTTATAATTGTGCACATAATATCACCATTGATTGTTCAGGATATAAATCACCACACATAAGTATGTGAATATGAATATGGGTCCACATTGAGTATCCCAACATTGGATGGTGACAGCTACACTAAATAAGAGATACCTCATGATGTGGGTTTGGGTTTCAATCAACTAAGACATGGAGACCAGCCAGATCATTTTGGGATACCTCTTGGGATCTTTTGGGGAATCTTAAATATTCATTATAGTAAACAGCTGGCACATAGAATATTAAAAATAAATAGGTGCCACTAAGAATATGGAAAATACATAGCAAAACCTATTAATATTCTAAGTGCTAGCCGGTTACTATATTGTATTTTCGCAGATTCTTATGCGAGCATACTTGAAGAAACATATCCTTCACTTCGTGCAAGTATCCGTAAGTATCCATTTCATCACCTAGATAAACAGTGATAAACATCGATGTGAGTCAGAGATTCCAGATCCGAATTGAGACACTGGACAAATTGGGAACCCTGGGATAGGTCCTGAACAGGTGCTTGAATTGAAATCCTGCAAATGTCGCATGGAAATTAAGCACCAAAAAACTCAGAAGCGGCACATCTGATGAAAATGGACTGGGAGATATTGTAGTTGGGGGCTGGTATGGACTGGTAACCAAGAATAGGGGTTCAACGATTGACAAATATGGGGTTTAACGTGATTTACCATGATTTAAAATGATCTAACATGATTAAAAACAATCGACATCTGGGCCGTATTGATCCATATTGATCCATATTGCAGATATAACCGATCAATGGACCGATCCTTTGATTTAACCAGAGTTTCTCTGTTTCATCCCCCAAAAGACAAGGGATTCACAGGTTGAAACGATGCACTGAGCAATTTTTGAGTGCAGGGACTCTGATACGAAGTTACAACAGGCTCCAGGTGCAGCGAGGTCTCCAAATCCATTGAAATTTTGCCATGCCCAAAACTATATGCATCATTTGCATATATTTGCATATATTTACATGTTGTTCTGACTGCTCCCTCACCTTTTTGAAAACATAAAGATGTTGTCTCCGAACTGCTCAAGGTCATATGTTTCATGTGTGTTTCAAACCCTTAGTCAGTCCTAGTTCAGGCGTGAACAGTGGTGCCCCGCACAACAGGCCTTGGGGCAAGCAGGGCGAGCCTAGGCGGCAGTCAACGGAAAAATTGTTTGCAAACGACTTCACCAAAAAACGGAATGAACAACGGGAATTGTTTTGGTGTTCAATCACAAACATGTTGTGGTTTGATATGAATTGTAAATCAAAGACACCGTTGGCTGTTTCTCATCAATGTGCAGAGGTCATTAGTACAGCACCAATCAACATATTGTTCACATTTCCTTACGGGTTTTGACCAGGTGATTTATAATTTCCAAAATGAGGGTTTTTTAGTCTCCGACCTCTTCTGATTTATGGTGATTCTCCCGCGATGAAATTGCAATTTTGTGAAACCCCCTATTTTGAGACAAACCGAACTCCATTATATATGGCAGTGTGTCAAAACCTTGTACCCCTGGTGAACATCAAAATAGCTGGTAAATGGATGTTCATCCCACTAAAAATTGTATTAATAGGTATTGATCCATACCCATATTGTCGTTGGTAAAGTCAGTATTATGCTTCTGCTAGATCCCCAAAAGCAGTTGCTTTTTTGTCGATCAACTACGAATTTGGAGCTGAGGCAAACCGACTGGACTGTTGTCCGAGAAAAGGATGCCGAGATTGCAACATATTGCAACGCATTTTGCGCAGCTGCGCCCTGCCCAATGTCTCCATAGCCAAATTAAAGGAATACCCACCGCGTTTGTGTGAAGGTCTGGCTCGAGCTTTTGGAGAGCACATCCGTGCTGAGCTTCGAGCAGGCCATTTCCGATGCCGGATTGGGTGGCCATGGCATCACCCTTTGCAGATCTGAAGGACTGGGTGGCAGGAGCCGCAGCTGCCAGTACAGAAATGCGGGCAAATTCTGCCTGGATGCCTGACCATCAACCCAGATCTAGCTGACCGGCACATTTTTTTGTTTGTGCCCCTAGTTACTAGTTAGAAAGCGATGCATTAGCAGCAAGGGCAACGGACCCTTTCGAGCAGGCAAATTGGCAAAAAAACTCAACCGCAGTTGCCTATAGTAGCTGATGTATATGTCATTGCAATGTTTATCTCATAAGATGCAGTACTAGTTACATCTAGTTACTAGATTCGTTCTAGTTCTGATCTGTGAGAAGTAATATTGCATGATAACTCGAGTAGTTTAACTACTGATGAAAATCTCAGTACAAAACCACTGTTTCCCAAGACTTGAGCGACTTTGGCACCCCAGCTGTTCCAACAAAGCGGCGAAGCGCAATGAAGGGACCTGACATGTTAGATCGGTAGATCGACCGCAAGTTGGAGGATCAACCAATTGAAATGGTGGACATTGCACACATATATATATATTATATATATATACATGTATATACTTATGATATACATTTAAATAAATCCTTCCGCCTTAAACAATATTCTCAAATACAACCAGCGAGTATGAAAATGAAACATGGTTCAAGATACAGCCACAGCCACGCATGAGTTTAAATATACATGAGGCACATCATGTCGCCTTGATTCCAGAAAAGCAACGACATGAAATGAAGTTTCTCTAGGTAACTCAACGGGTTCCAACAGTTGCAAAAAAGAAAACACACCCTTTTTATTAGTTGAATGACAGGGATTTCGAACATCAAAACAAAGTCACAACTCAACAACCTTCTTTAGGTTAATTTCAGTCTTCAATATTCTCAGGCACACGTCTCAGACATGTGTATAAATAATCATGTGTATGAACTCTATTAGCATGTATTATCATAGATACACACATACACACAAATATTGAAGGGCTATATATATATATGGGTATTTCACAAACGTTGGGTCCCCCTTTGGACCGTTCATTGCTTTCTCAAGATTTTTAAAGTGGACTGTCAATCTTCTGGCCTTTTGGGGTATGCCATTTTAAGAATCTTCCATATCTCTATATATATATAAATACATACATACATACATTACATTACATAAATTTACATTTACATTTACCTTTACATTACATTACATTACATTAATACATACATACTATTTATACATATATATATATGAACGATTATATGTATCATACATGTATATTGTTTGTATAATATATATATATATATATCATCACATATCATGCAGATCTACATAAGTTGCATACCTCACACTGCCAGCCTCTTTCACGTCGTTGGCCTCTGGAAACTGCAGAGCTTCCTCCACAGTGCTTCGGAAGGAGGCCGATAGAAATGGGATGAAATGGCTTGACGCACATTCGTATATATATATATAATCTCATGTAATACAACAGAACAAAACTATAAAACAAACATACATAAACTAGTACAATAAACAAACCAAAATACAATATATTAAATTAGAATATTATGTTATATTAAAAGAAACATATAACATAATACAATAAGCATAATCTAGTAGGTTATAATTTTAAGATCATACAATATAACAAAACATAATATAATATATGATATAATATAAAAATAATATAGATATATAGATATATAATAATACTAATAATAATAATAATATATAGTATCATACAATAACATTAAAAAATATAATAGACGATAAAAGAACATAGTTTTATAGCATAAAGCAAAACATAGTAATTATATATATAGAACATGTCAATAATACAATATATATTATAGCAAACTATATTAGACTATAATGTAACATAATACAATATAATAAAACACACTAAAAATAATACACTATAATATAATACAATAAACCCTAATATATAATAAAACTATATATGTAAACATTATAGTATAAGAGAATATAATAAAATATAATAAAACAAAATATATTGTAGTAATATAATATTATAAAATAATATGAAACAATAATGTATCACATAATATGACATAATACAATACGTCAACATATAACATAATGCCATTAAATAAACCACAAAAACTATGTATATAAGAAATACTAAAGGAAATCACGATAACACATAATGGTCTAAAACATGGAAACAAATACAATAAAATACAAAACAAGAAGCGATAAGATATTAAACAAACATATGAATGTAAATGTATATATATATATATATGTATATCATGTGTGTGTAATATTAAAAGATTATATGGACAATGTAACCTGCCCCTTGAAATAGTGAAAGCAGCTTAGCGACGTAAAGAAACTGAAACCAGTGAGAAATCAGTTGACGCAACCATGGTGCGGGCTTGCAACTGTTTAAGATATGGTATGGGATACAGCCTCTCTCTATATATATATATAGTAAATCAAGAGTTTGTAGTGAGTTTCCATCCACGCGGCCGCAGGTCCGTGACTCCTGAATGCACAATTGTAAAACGTTTTTCTACTCCGAGCATGCAAACCCCAGTGAATGGCTGAACCGAGAACCTGTTCATACAAACAGAATCAGGAGATTGTAGCTTCATCCCACTTAAACATGTGATACCCCGAAATGTGTCCATAATTTCTGAATCAATTACAGTGATTCATCATTGAGATCGACATTTTCTCAGCTAGACTGGGGGATTTGCCTTTTTGGGGGTAAAATTCAGTATAGTAATCCCAGAATGGTATAGATGCTTTTCCCTTATAATTTGCAGGTTTCCAACTTTCCTATCTATTCTGGGGGTGCTCTTTATAACAATACCCGTTTCCCATCGTTTGGATCACCCCACTGCTCCAGGTTCGACATCTTCCTTGGCTGCAAGCTGGATATCATGCGTGAAATTCTCGAGAGTGTCTGCCTCGGCCCGTGACCGCACTTGGACAACTTGTCACATCTATGGTGCCCCCCAACCAATGAAAAATTGATGCAGAATGTTCAATTCACATTTCAGGTACCTAAATTGGAGGTATATCTACCACCTAAAAATTGCCGAAGTTGGATAGGCCCGCACAATATGCAGGGATCCTGAAAAATCGATTGCACTGTTCGATGGATGCGATATCGTCATCTTGGGGGATGCATTGAGGAAGGGTGAGGAATAAAACATCATTGACTGCGCAATTTTGGTTGGTTAACGTTGGTTAATGTTGGTGACCATCCCATCATTGCAGGTCCAGAGTGTATAGCATTTAGAGGATCACGCTATCAATAGCCTGTGTCATACTTTCTCAAAGAAAAGTGTCCGGAACTTCGGCCGGGTGATGTTAATTTGACTTGAAATTCACTAGGTTACGCCCGTGGCGTAATGCTGAAACTGCTGATGACAGCATTCAATGACTTCTTTGGGCCCAACTTCCAGCAAGAAGTGGGTACCAGGTGAGAGTACGAACAGAGCTCCACTCCACTTCCAAGTTTGTCTGAAAATAGAGTACCAAAACAATTGATGGTTGGTCATCATGTTCCAACAAAAAAATGACCAGTTGCCACATATACCCCATTTCTAGACACACCCAAATGAGGGTTTCTACTCACAAAGTCCCACCCTTCTTAAGCCTCTTAGTCCTACTTGCAGTATCATCCCACTTAGTAACTGGTTCATACCAGTAAGCCTGGCGTCAGTCCCCAAAGTAGGCTTATAACGGAGCTATAACCAATTTTGGTTGGTTGAATCCTTTTGTTGGCTGAATCCCAGCTGGTCTTGGCTATATTACTGTGCAAGCTGGTGCCCGCAGTTATGATAGTCATGTGTGCTTTATGTTTACCCTATTAGCTACAGTTTGATACATCATATTATATACGTACCAATCCAATCACTAACTATTAACCCAAATTTAGCAATTGAATGCTATTAATCTAGTAACGTATTCATATATCTATATGTATAATCCAGTTATTGACCTACTAAATCTGGACATCGACCACTGGGAGTGATCCAGTCATTGACCTACTTATTAATACATGAATCCAGTCCTATATAGTTCGGAGTTCTATCACAAATCCAGATATATGGAGGTTTCCTAAAGCCCCAGTTCTCATCCAGACAAAAGACCATTTTAGTATTGAGACCCATGGTAACGTGGGGATCCACCAGTTTGAGAAAGCCCCATATTCCCTATAGAGTCCCCAAGTGGATGTCCCATTGGGAAAGTGGGTGCCAATTTATCGAGCAAATCTGGGAATATCTACCGCTGAACTATATTATATATTTAGTTATTATTAGAATATAGATTAGAAATAAATATATATATATATGTAATTATACTGTGTATATACACACACACGCATATTTCAGAGAATATTTGACTATGAATCATGAATACCATCTACCACCTATGACTATTATTACTCAATGTGTCATGCTTATTTTTTTTGGTCTACAACTGAACTAAACCGACTTACCGAGGCACATCCGCCAGGACCCAGTCCGGCAACAGCATCAGGCGGTTGAAGAGTCCGGCCACATCGGCCCAGCGCTTCCTTGGGGACGGTTGCTGGGCGGAAATTTAGCAACGAAGACACCAAGGAAAAGGATGGAAAAGGATGGAAAGGTGCAATTTATATACTTCAATTTGCCAACTTTAGAGTTTAGGATTTGAGCAATTTACTAGAGTTTAGAAGCAGTTTTTGGCACATGAATCCACATATGAATTTGTTTTTGGGTTTGCTAGAACATGCCACAAACAAAAAACGTGCGCGTAAAAACACTGAGCATTTAAACACTCAATATTTTTATATGGGATTTCAAGTGACACATATTTTTGTGAGGATGGGTTATCGGCAAATCTACCAGAGACACTCCAGAAATATCTTCGGTTTAGCCGAGGAAAGTCCTTTTGGGGATGATCGCGACGCCGGATGCATTGCAGCAAGGTCCCTTTGCTAAGGTGCTGCCGCCCATGGTTCGGCTGGTTTATGAAGACCCTTAACTAGTTCGATATACCATAAATCCGGCCGTCTTCCTACTTGGTACTCAGGATACATCCCTATTTGTAATGGTGTAAACTCACATGATTCATGGTTAAATACTCTCTACTGGTGTGAGATATATCATGTCATCATTCCCACAGGGTTTGCTATAATATAATGTTTTAATATTATATTGTTTTTTTTTATAATGGTGACATATCATATAACCCCATTTTGCCCGCTAACCCCTTGGAAGGTTTCCTCCTGGGGTGTCCGGACTGCACCATGAACATCACGGCGCAAACTAAGCCTTCTCGGACCTGCAAGAGGCGGCTACTCCAAGCTTCATAATGTCAACCCTGGATGGGGGGGGGGCTATTTCAGTACCAAATTATCAAACTACTTAGAAGACCCTCCTCAATTATATATTGTTGATTCGTCCCTGGTTGACATCAACGGCAAAAATATTCCATAGATTCAATACAATAACAAGTTGTATGTCTCGAGGCATTCAAGAATAATCCAAAACTATGACCACACAAGAATCAAGAGTCAACATGAGTAAACAGTGTAATATTGGCATTTGCGAAGATCATCATCATCATCGTCATCATCATCATCATCATCGTCGCCATCATCAACAACAATATCATCAACAACATGAACCACACTTTAAACTAGACGACAGATGGCCCGAGAGCGTAGAGGAGCAGGTCTTCTCTTGTTAGTATGGAGACACCATATTAGAAACAATATATTAAAGATGTGTTATAGGCAGTTGAGAAGAGGAGTATTAAGACAAAATAGCAGAAGTGCAACACAATAGTTTGCATCGCAAACACGCACAGAAGCTTTTACGCACAGAAGCTTTTACACACAAAAGCTTTCACACACAGAAGTTTTTACAGACAGACACTTTCACACACAGACCCTTTTACGCACAGACGCTTGTACACACAAAAACTTTTACACACAGAAGCTTTTACACACAGACGCTTTTACACAGACACTTTTACACACAAAGCTTTTACACACACAGACGCTTTTACAGACAGAAGCTTTTACACACATACGCTTTTACACAGATGCTTTTACACACAGACACTTTTACACACAGACACTTTTACACACAAAGACTTTTACACACAGACGCTTTTACACACAGACGATTTTACACACAGACGATTTTGCACACAAACACTTTTACATACATACACTTTTACACACAAACACTTTTACACATAGATGCTTTTACACGCAGAAGCTTTTACACGCAGACGCTTTTACACACAGAAGCTTTGACACACAAACGCTTTTACACACAGACGCTTTTACGCACAGACGCTTTTTACACATAGGCTCTTTTACACACAGACGCTTTTACACACAGACGCTTTTACACACAGAGACTTTTACACACAGACGCTTTTACACACTGCCACACAGAAGCTTTTACACATAGACGCTTTGGCACACAGGCACTTTTACACACAAACACTTTTACATACAAACACTTTTACACACAAACACTTTTACACATAGACGCTTTTACACGCAGAAGCTTTTACACGCAGACGCTTTTACACACAGACGCTTTTACACACAGAAGCTTTGACACACAAACGCTTTTACACACAGACGCTTTTACACACAGACGCTTTTACACACAGACGCTTTTACACACAGACGCTTTTTAGACACAGGCTCTTTTACACACAGAGACTTTTACACACAGAGGCTTTTACCCGCAGAGACTTTTACAAACAGACGCTTTTACACACAGACGCTTTTACACACAGACGCTTTTACACACAGACCCTTTTACACACAGACGCTTTTACACACAGACGCTTTTACACACAGACGCTTTTACACACAGACGCTTTTACACACAGACGCTTTTTACACACAGGCTCTTTCACACACAGAGACTTTTACACACAGAGGCTTTTACCCGCAGAGACTTTTACACACAGACGCTTTTACACACAGACGCTTTTACACACAGACGCTTTTACACACAGACGCTTTTACACACAGACGCTTTTACACACAGACGCTTTTTTTACACACAGAGGCTTTTACACACAGAACGCTTTTACACACAGACGCTTTTACACACAGACGCTTTTACACACAGACGCTTTTACACACAGACGCTTTTACACACAGACGCTTTTACACACAGACGCTTGCTTTTTACACACAGACGCTTTTACACACAGAAGCTTTTACACACTAACTCTTTTACACACAAACACTTTTACACACAAACACTTTTACACACAAACACTTTTACACACAGAGACCACACGAAAAATCGCAATTTTACCTCAGTTTTTGCCGATCGACCCTCATTTCGTGCGAAAGGGTTGCTCCGGCACAAGTAAAATCGCAATTTTACCTCAGTTTTTGCCGATCGACCCTCATTTCGTGCGAAAGGGTTGCTCCGGCACAAGTAAAATCGCACTTTTACCTCAGTTTTTGCCGATCGACCCTCATTTCGTGCGAAAGGGTTGCTCCGGCACAAGTAAAATCGCAATTTTTCCTCAGTTTTTGACGATCGACCCTCATTTCGTGCGAAAGGGCTGCTCCGGCACAAGTAAAATCGCAATTTTACCTCAGTTTTTGACGATCGACCCTCATTTCGTGCGAAAGGGTTGCTCCAGCACAAGTAAAATCGCAATTTTTCTTCAGTCTTTGACGATCGACCATCATTTCGTGCGAAAGGGTTGCTCCAGGACAAGTCCGGCACAAGTAAAATTGCAATTTTACCTCAGTTTTTGACGATCGACCCTCATTTCGTGCGAAAGGGTTGCTCCGGCACAAGTCAAATCGCAATTTTTCTTCAGTTTTTGACGATCGACCCTCATTTCGTGCGAAAGGGTTGACGTTTCGTGACTCACCGCCGGTACCACCCTCGGCCTAAAGAGAGAAAGATAAAGAAGGCGAGAGAGAGAAAAAGGAGAGAGAAAGGAGAGAAGATGTGAAGGTGAGAAGATGTGAGAGAAGGTGTGAAGATGAGCAGATGTGAAGATGAGCAGATGTGAAGATGGGCAGATGTGAGAGAAGATGTGAAGATGAGCAGATGCGAAGATGAGCAGATGTGAGAGAAGATGTGAGAGGAGATGTGAAGATGAGCAGATGTGAAGATGCGCAGATGTGAGAGAAGATGTGAGAGGAGATGTGAGAGAAGATGTGAGAGAAGATGAGCAGATGTGAGAGAAGATGTGAGAGAAGATATGAAGATGAGAAGATGAGAGAAGATGTGAGAGAAGATGTGAGAGAAGATGTGAGAGAAGATGTGAGAGAAGATGTGAGAGAAGATATGAAGATGAGCAGATGTGAAGATGAGCAGATGTGAGAGAAGATATGAAGATGAGCAGATGTGACGATGAGCAGATGTGAGAGAAGATGTGAAGATGAGCAGATGTGAAGATGAGCAGATGTGAGAGAAGATGTGAAGATGAGCAGATGAGCAGATGTGAGAGCAGATGTGAGAGAAGATGTGAAGATGAGCAGATGTGAAAATGAGAAGGTGTGAGAGAAGGTGTGAAGATGAGAAGGTGTGAAGATGAGAAGGTGTGAAGATGAGAAGGTGTGAAGATGAGAAGATGAGATACAGACCCCCACTATTGGAAGAACCCTGCGCTCAGACGCTCTCGGGAAAAAAACATAGAAGCAACAGCAGCAGTAGCATACGGCATGCTTAACCAAGGCACCTGCAAAGGGACCTCTGCCACCAGGCCGAAGTCCAAGTAGACCTGTTCCAGGCTATGGTGATTTCATGGGCATTTCATGGGGATCTATATGTATATTCTCTGGGATTTAATATGATTTAATTAATATGATTTAATGGAATACCCTGGGGGTCGACCTCAAAGAAAAGGTGGAAAACCAAAGGTGAAACCCTAGGAAAATGATCTGCCAATGGTGGGTTTTCCTCATCTACGTTGGTTTAAAAGAGGGTAAAACACTGGCGCTTTGTCACCTTGCGGAGGTTTTTTGACTTTTCGTTTTTTGGGGTGGGACTGGGGACTGCCACTATCTGGAGGCGAGGATTTTTCAGTTTGAAGTCAAGCTTGGAAAGCTTGGTAGGTGGATCTTGCAGGGGGTCATAGCATCACAATCTGTCATGTTTTGCAATTCACCACACGCAAGGGTGTCACCCACATCGGATGGAAGAAATAGAACACAGTTAAAAAAAACACATCTATCATTGTCAGAGTGAGTGGCTATTGACAAATGAAGAAGCTCTATCCAAATCCATACATCCTATCTATGCAATGTATATATATATATACAATCATCCATCCCGACACTCCAATCCATTCCGTTCCATGCCGTTAAATTCCAATCCATTTATGCATCCAGTATATATAAACATATTCCTTGGTACATCTGTAATTACATAATATTCTACATATATGTATATATATATATTAATATATATATATATGTATATGTATACATATATATATATACACATATATATATATATATATTAATACACCTTAATACACATCATATAAACAGGCTTGGCGAAGGTAGTACTATAGAATAAACATCCCGGAAGCCAAGGAAAGCCACTGTGTATCCGCACCAGTTGTCGCAACGCCCTGACCACGCAAGCCAGGCGGAACTAGCAGTGTGAGGCATAACTCATGTTACACATGTCAGAATTTAGGATTGTGTTGCGTTTTTTTTCTTCTAGATGACCCCCAAATTAGAAAGAAACATGGATTCGGGATGTCCTTCACTACATCTACCTTATGTTTTCTGTTTCATGGTTTTACACAACCTGTTTAAGACCTGTTTTACATGATTTTACACGTGAAGACTCCACTGGGCGCCTGTCCGCACAGCTGCCAGCCTCCAGGGGAAATCTGGAAATCGTGAACGTGGTGAAGACTCAGTGGATTGGTTCAGGTGTAAACGTACAGGAAACAGTATATAGTAGAGGAAAAGTTGTGTTTTTCCCAACATAATCTGTTAGGGTTTCTGTAGATGTTCACTAAAGCATACTTAAATCAACAATCCAATGACGGTTACCAATTTGTTCGCAACACTTCAGGCAGCAAAACCCTTTGTTATTTTTTGTTTTTGTTTTTTTTGCAATCAGCTAGAGAACCACTGGAATAGAAGATGAGGTTGGGAGCCCGGATGGGCCACAATATGCCAATGTGTACAAGAAACATGATCTGTATCTGTATCTATGAACATGTGCCACCTGCACACAGAACCAAACTAAACATCATGGGCTTAAACCATGTTTGCTTCAAGTAGGAGTATATTCCGAACCACACTGTTCCACTATAGGAATATAAACCCATCAAGAAAAGAACAGATATCTTGCCATTGCTCACCCACATCAATGGTCGCACCTCCATTCGTGGGCCCTGGCGGAAGCCAGTTGCGAATTGGGATCTACGTGACGCGAAAAGTCGACTTATTTGGGGAGGAAAAAAGGGGAAAGAAATGTGGAAATCTTAGATATTCTTACACTGTCTCCGAACTATTCTTCGGCAACTGAGAGATGACAATTCATACCACGAGGTCGCAACTGGCAGAATGTGTGGAAACGTTACAAGCATATATTAACGCGGATCTGCAAGGTGATTTAAGTAACATGTTTTTCTGTGTTGGAGATGCGTGTTTCAATTTGAGAGGGGATCTATCCTGTGGGTGTAAATAATTCATGTACTTAGAATTCTTCCTAGCGATCCTTTTTTTTAAGCCAGAAAAAAAAAATGAGGCATCTGCACATCCTGTATGGCACGGCGCATTTTTTTGCTAGCAGTCTACCAGAGCAGTGGCCCGAATGCTTCACATGGCCTACGGATATGCGGGGTATAGTACACAAGTAATTTGTCCAGCTCTGGACATTTTTAATAGGTAAACCATCTCTAAATGGGCCATTTCCAATGGCTATGTTAAATAACCAAAGGGTAGATACACCTATAGTTTCTCTACTACTACGATTACTACAAGATCCTTTTTCAGTGCAGGGACAGCCCGCAATTCACAAGCACCACATTCGTCAATCGAGATCATCTCAAAGGCAATCAAAACAACAACAACAACAACAACAACAACAAACAACACGGATAAATGGGAACATCACCTATGAATGGAAATAGTATATTTTCTTTCTGTCTGATTCTCTTTGGGGATGCAGGTGAAAGTCATATGTATATATATATAACTACATTTATACATATTAACATAATTGGGAAATCCCCGAGCTACATGGAGTATATAGCTGGAAACAACAACGTCGAACTAAATTGTGTATTTTCCAGCATGTCATGTTTGATTGGAAAACCGACTAAGCATGACTAAACAAGTTTTATAGTCAGTATCGTTGGTAATGTGCCAACTATACTTCAGTTCACGAATATATTTTACATCACAAACCAATATTTTGATATTGTTTATCACCAGTTTTATGTCCAACCAGTTTGACTACCTTTATCCCAGTATATTTGATGGGAAATCACGCGCTTCACGATCCCCGCCTTGAGTAGGTTGCCACCATGAGGATCGGTGTGCATTACCCCGGTACCAAGCAGTTGCCTTGGCCAGCGCCGTAGCGGATCTATCGACTGTGCATCAACCTACGCTACATCACTACTAATAGCATATGTATGTCACAATGTGGATACCCTCTGGTAATTTAACATAGCTATTGAAAATGGCCATTTATAGTGAGTTTTCCCATTAAAAATGGTGATTTTCCAGAGTTATGTTAGTTTACCAGAGGGTGTGACATAATATGACATACTGGGCGGATTTGCGGTTCCCCTCCAAAAGGGAATTCTGGTGCATGTGAACTTAGGAGGCAGCACCTCGCAAACGGCTTTGCTTCATACTGCCAAGAAAAGACCACGACCTTCGTCCATTTCGATTCTACTGGTACCAGTAGTTACTGGTATTCGTCAAAATCCCAGTGAGGATCTAGGAAAACCAAGCAAATCTGATTCGCACATCTCTTCTGGTGGAGTTTCCATTCATCTTCCAAACCACACCCTGGAAAATCTCCAAACCTATCATATGTAACACCAATAATCACTTGCAATTCCCAATATTTTCTGGAGAAAATGTTGGGGTTCCATTGAGTTTTCAAGAAGAGACATCCCAGAGTATACTTGACATCTGGATGTATCTGGAGTCTGCAATTCCATCTTTCAATTTTTTATATTCCCGATTAAAAAATCAGGATCATTCTGGATCTACAGTGTCTTGGGCATGACTGTAACCCTAGCTATATCTACAATTACTAGAATGGTAGCAAAATATGTCTATCAGGATCATCCAGGAATTTACCTAAATGTTTGCTGGATAAAAAAAGGAAAACATCAGATTTATCTAAAGTAACCCCCAAAAAGATACCAAAACAAAACAGCACCCAAATAAACTTATATAAGCATCCTATCTATAAACACTACCTAAATATATTTCGGTAAATAAAACACTAACAACATCTACCAGAACACTATTGCATGTATATATATATATATACTGTATATATAATGAATATCTGAGATTAAAAAAATGATAACTCAGGTTTTGTCTTTTTTGAATGTTCCGCCAAGCTGCAACAAGGTCGCTGAGATGCCCATCTCCACCAAGGGGAGATCCTGCGCTGACAGCGCTGTGGCTGGAAATGATCCATATACCATATACAATCATATACATATTAGTGCTGATGTATAATGATGTAGTGTTACACACTATTAGATTATTATTTGTTGATATATAAATTTATATTTATATACCTGGATCTTCAAACTCCCAGATATTTTTGGGACTTCTGCGCGTCAGTAGCAGTTTTCCCAAATCATTTGGATTTCGAAGGTCCATGTATAATATGTTTGGTATATATATATATTTAGATATCCATTAAAACTGGTTGGTGGTGCAATACCCATCTTGAAAAATGATGGAGTGAAAGTCAATGGGAAGGATGACATCCCATATATGAAATGGACAATTAGTCAAATGTTTGAAACCACCAACCAGAAAAGGATGTTCCATGAAGTAAACCATCTCTTGATGGCTGGTTGGTGGTTTCAACTCTGAAAAACATGAAAGTTAGATTGGATCATCATCCCAACTATTGTGGAAAATAATATCTTCCAAACCACTAACCAGATGGGGTACCCCCATTTATGGAACCCCCACCTTGAAACGACCCTGGCGACCAACGACGACCAACGACGACCAACGACGATCAACGATGGCACCTCTGTGGCGTCCGGGCTTGGAGCTAAGCGCTCGCCCTCCACCCACCTGTCTCGACATGTGCTCGCCCCGTTTTAACAACTCAAAATGGGGACGGTTAACACGGTTAATGATGGGACTATCATGGGAGTATGATTCAAAAATCCTCTGATTTTCTGCAAAATTATAATTTTAAATAGCAACAGTGGGAATTTTACAAGGATTTAAAGGGATAGTGTAGGGTTTAAACTCGGGATATGATGGGGATATGGGAATCAATAGAATTTAGCATCATTATACTGCTTGGTAACTGAATATCCCCATTCCCAATGTCATTTAGTAGACTGAAAAAAATAGCATCAGCACACGGTGAATAATCATAGTCTAAACCAGTTACTGTATATTCTTATTGTTATTTTTATTTGTATAATAATTATATATACTAGTATATATATATATATATACACAGTATATATAATGATTATATATATATATATGTCTGTATACACACAAACACGGGATTGTCCCACTTCTACATCGGGTAAGGGCTATAATTAGACCACTAAGTGGGATCCAAGTAGAGCCAGCTAATAGCTACCTGTACTCTTAGAATACAAAGCTAAGTAATTACAGTACTCAATATACAAATATACCAGCTTATACCCAGTAATAAATACCGTTAATAACGCTAGAATGCTCACATAAGAAGGGTTATTTACATAGCTGGGATGGCACTTGGTATCCCAGTTCTCCATTTGGGGTCCCTGACTCCATCACCAGAACACGGCCTCATGGTTGGAGCATGAGCATGAATGAAAAATCTTGGAAAACATGGACAGGGATGTGAAAGGGATGTATGGCTGGAAACAGAATTGAAATCACAATGCCTTGAAAAAACAGTGCTGTATCTAGCACAAGTCCCAACCAAAGGCATGTCAAATGATCCAAAAGCAGTGTCCTGCACCAGTATCTGCTGTCATGGTTCAAGAGTTTATCCACGTGTAGCTCCGGTTACAAATGGAATTAGCTTTGGACCATCGGACTTTGTTCAGGCTTTGGAGCTTGCAGCTCAACTGCATCAAACATCCTGAAAAATCACCGTTCATCTGAGCATTGGCGGATGCATCACACTCAGGTCATGCCAGGGCTATGCCATCACTTACCACATCAAACTTCCAGAGTTCATGGTTTATATCGCTAAGCTTCCCATCACTTTCCAGGTTGGGGGGTTATACCATCGCTCAAAATTGCCCATGACTGTTCAACACCAAGTGTCGACTGCAGAGATCCTTCTCCAGCTCTGGGATCTTCAGACCTACCGAGGAACCAAGGAACCGGTCGGATCCCCCGAGCAGAGTGGAATGGCTGGGAAGCTATGGAAAGACTAAACTAATGTCCCTAAAAATCCCTGAAGCCCTTGCTTTCAATGGTTTAGATGTGATTTCACTAAGCGCTCTAGCACCGGCGAGATTCCGCAACTATTTGATGGAGGGATCTGGAGGTATGTAGGAACCCCCAAAAAGATTACGGAAAAATACCACTAATTAGAAGGAATTTATATACTTGTTTTCTGTTTGATTCTTTTAAGGGTGGTACTACCCCCAAATTTTCCAAAAACGGCCATTCAAGAGTATTGACTTTTTCATGCCATGAGGTCGCTGAAGCAGTCGCTCTCAACACCTTTGAACTGCCAGGAAACTGATGATTGATATGTTTACTCGTTTTCAGCATGAAGGCTTGATTTACTCTACCCTTAATCTGAATGTTTCAGCTGGGTCCACGTTCAACCTCAAACCTAGGACTTAAATCTTCACTGGACCCAGCGTTCACCTTTCTGGAACAAATGCATGATCATCACTGAAACACTGACTGTTGGTTGAGTTGGTTGATATCCCCATCTAACTATAGATGTTATCCATCCAAATCCAGTGATAATTCAGTTGTAAAAGCAACTTACCTAGTACAAACGAATCAGAAATCACCAATGTTTCATGATGAAAAAATCTCATGTTCCCCTTTTTTTAAAGGTTAAATCGCCCCTAATTTTCCCATCGGAAGCCCTTCCATGCAGGATACCAGGTGATGGTACATCTTGGGAAAAGCTGCCATCCGGACCTCATCATCGGTAGGATGGCAAAAACCAAACAACACGTCAAACCACCAACCAGTTTATGACTAGCATAACTTAGGGGACTATAATAAAATTGGAAATAAAACCGATGATTCTGTGGAGAGATAATGGACAAAAATGGGATGCAAGAAACAATGAGATCCGAATGTGTCTGCAAAAAGGTGATCTTCCCACAATGGCAAGTGTTCCGTGCTGTCATGGGTGATTTTTAGAGTCTATGGTCTATATGTTTGTTGAAGGGATGGTAAATTGAATGGGTTTGGGTTCGGGGAAGATATTGATATATTGTATGAGTCAGGATTCCTTCAGGATATGCAAAAAAAAGCTGTTGAACCAAATAAGATTCTGGATTTGGGAATATTCAAGCACTCCCAAGCCATGGTACCATAGAGCGTGGCAAAGGTTTCACAGTTGGAGGCTTCGCGACGATAGTCCAACTCCTGAAAAAGAGCACACCTGGTTTGCCTGGTTATGTACCCAAATAGGGTACCCTAAACCCAACAGTTCATCATAGTGTTCCCTACTGTATATTTCATTCTTAGGCATAAGACATTATAAAATCGTATATATATATATATATATATACATAAACATACGCTCATACGCTGCAAAAACATGGAGTACTCTGATTTGCCAATCAAACACAATGTTTTCCCAAAAATAAGTTTCAGAACAGGCCTTTTACATCTCACACACACACACTTTTCGTTATCAAACAAGTTGCCTACTTTCTTGGTGGTTCATGCAGCCATCATCTGTCCTCAAAAAGTCTGGAGCAGAATTCATCCACTGCACCCAAAACCTCAGCGTCTCAGCCCTGGATGATTTGGATCTGAATCAGCAAAAAATCCGCTGAATTTACAATCTTCCCAGGTGCAATATGATGAAATCACCAATTTTTTTGGGACTATCCTATGGTAGCCCCAAGTCATTGTGCTAGCGTCACCGAGCTGACGGATTCCTTCGCTCTCCAAGTTTCCACACATTGGCACGGACCAAACGCGCTCCATCTGCCGACGTCAGGTGACCAGTCACCGATAATCCCTGGAGTAATTAGGGTAGGAAATGTTAATTGTATAAGGAAACATTATTTAGTAAGGCGTAAACCGACCCCAAAAAAACAAAACAATGGTACCTGTATCAGCCCACAACGGTTAATTCCCAAAATTGGTTGAAAGGGAAATTTAAGAACATTACCATATTTTTGTGGTAAAACCTGTAGATTTTCCCTTACACCAATCCATTGAGTAATCTTATCTGCTGGGCAAAGAGCTGCCGTTGGTGGTTGAACCACAGATTAGCCAATTGCCAATTGGTCAAATCATTCCAGGTGGGATGAAGCAGGAAAACAAATGACACTACCAACCAAGACCCAGTAGTTTCAGTTGTGCTCAGCCAAACCATCCCAAGTCATCCGCCAAGTCCTTTCTCTGAAAATTACCCGTCTAATCACGCAAAAATCTTTCAAATGAAGTAGAAAATCTGCCGACCCCGCTTGCAGCAGGGGGAGCGCGTCAGAGGAGAAATTACCAGCAGCAAGGACAGCAAGGGGCAAGACGAGATTACAGGCAGCAGGGGCCAAGAAGCAAGAAGCAGGGCGAAGGCGCTGTTTTCGAGCTTTGGCAGCTTTCGAGGCTTGGCGGCGGGCAAAAGAAAAAGACAGCTAGTTTGCTGTCCGTTCAGAAAGCAGCGTTAGGCAGTACAGGCCGTTGCCCGGAGGCCCGTTCCGTCCTTCACTGCCATGCTGTTTGAGTGTGGCGAAGCCGCTCTTTTGGAGCCTTGGCAGCTGGACGTTTCGAGGCTTGGCGGCGGGCAAGTTTTCGACGAGCTTTGGCAGCCGTGCGTTTCGAAGCTTGACGGGGGGCAAACTAGTTTCTTGCCCGTTCAGAAAGCAACGTTTGGCAGTACAGGCCGTCGCCCGGAGGCCCGTCTCTCCTTCACTGCCATTGCAGTTGTAGTTGTGGTGTGGTGTAATGAGTGTAATGCGCTGTCATGTCGCGTACTGTCGTCGTGTGGCATTAGTTAGTGTAGTGTCGTGTCGTGTAATGTAGTGTCGTTGTAGTAGTTGTGGCTGTAGTTGTAGTGGAGTGTGGTGTAGTGTAGTGCAATGTGGCCTGCGAACGCTGACCGAAGAGAATCCAAATCTTTGGGGCGCTGTCTTTTTCACTCAAAGTTAATGGACAGAAGCCGCATGTTCCTTCAACACACCGCCCAATACAAAACCAACATCCCACATTCAAGGAAAGACAACACTAGAAGGCTGCATAAGCCCGCCGTGCCACCAAAGGAACATGGGCTCTGGGATGCTCTGGGTAACATTTCAAGAGAAAGCGGCGGCAGCACACAGGGCTGCCCCAAAAATGCAAGAGACCCTGCGCATCTTTTTCCTGTCCCTTTGCGCCATCTGTGCCGGACCGGGCTGCATCACCCAAAACAAGGGCAATCGCCGCAGTCATGCAGGTAATGGAGGTGACATGTAGGGATGCTGCAAAGCCACTTCGGCTGACATCCGGGCAGAACAGTCTTCTCGCAAAAGCCCGCCCAAAAAGCCACAGAACAAATTGCCTTCTTGACGGTGTTCTTCTTTCAAAACAGGAACTGCAGACCACCCGTCCTCCGCCAGTTCCAAGCAACAAGGTGGTAAAGCTCCGGCTGCTGCTGCATAAAGCACATAGCCTGCGCTCCACATGTCCGACTTGAAACAAGGAGCCTGGCATAATAAGAGCAATTCTGGCCCCATCATCCTTCGCGTGCCTGCAGGGGCAACGCAATCCTCTCTCAAAGCTGCGCAACCAAAATCTGCAAGATTCACAACAAAAGCGCTCTTGTCAAATGAAGCGGGCAAACGCAACAAAATGTTGTCTTGCTTTATGTCTCTGTGAATGTACCCGTGCCCATGTACATGCTTCAGGGCCCTCATGAGCTGATGGGCCAAGCTGGCCAAAGCGTTGCCAGAAAATAGTTGCCCAAGCAAGTTCCCACCATTGCAGTATTCCAGCACAAGAAGTACAGCAGTCGCATCTACGTTTCCGTGGGAGTGGTGGAATAACTTGACGACCCCATCGTGCCCACCAACGGCCTTCATGCATTCAATCTCTCTTGCTGTGGGTCATTGAGTGTGGTGTAGTGTGGTGTAGTATCGTGTAGTGTAGCGGGCCTACTTTTCGACCCTCCGGAGCCACAGATCATTGGAAACACACAGTGCTTCGCGGCTTTTCCACCCTTTCGCGCAGCTGCATCTTCTTTCTTCTGACCCTTTCTCTTCTCTGATCTTCTTGCTTCTTCTCTGCTCTTCTCCGACTCTTCCCACCTCTGCTTTTCCCTATATTCCTCTTGTCGGAAGTTTAACTTCTAAACTTCCTTTGATTGGAAACATTTTAGATGGTTAAAGCACAAGAAGGCAAGCGACGGCACCAGCGTCCGTTGGTGCACCCAGTTTCACACAGACATGAACCTCCAGGGGTCGGCGGCAGAGGGCGTAGCCCTTTAATCCGGGCGCCGGCCACGGAGCCCGTGTCCTTGCCGGAGGCCTTCGGTGGTAACCGAAGGTTATCGGTGGTAACCGAAGGTTATAGACGCTCGCCGCCCCTGCCGCCGACTCACCCCCGGTTCACCCCCGACCGACTCCGTGTCGACTGAAGCCCCTAATATACGGTGTATTTTGCTTGCGATGTTCAAAAGCATTGTTTTTTTTTTACGGTGTTTCGGGCCCTTCGGCGGCAAGGGATTTCATCTTGGCGATGTTACAAAACCTCGGTTTTTACGTGGTTTTGGGCTCCAGGAGGGGGCCAGGAGCGGAAAGATTGGCATCTTAAGATCTTCTCAACATAGATGGCCCAAACATGGCCCCAACATAGCTCCCAAGATGGCTCAACATGGGGCCACATAAGGCCAATATAGGCCAACATAGGCCCGGCTGTCAGGCGTAAGCCTTCAAATAAACCGAGATAAACAGAGACTAATGCGATTAGCCAAATCTTCCTGTGAAGGTCAGACTTCCTTTTTTGTGTCGAAATGAATTGGGAGGCTATTGCTGTACCTGCTCGAGTAGCAGTGCTGACCTCGTCCACGGTCCGCCTTTCCTCCCACATTAGAAAAGTCTCATCATACTTGGCAGTAGATCATACTAAATCAAACTGTTAAATAAATCTAGGCTAAATCCAAGACAACTACTTTTTCGGGGGGAACCCAACAGCTCCATAGCTCACTGTCCCGGCCTAGCGGATTGCGCAAGGATTCCACGACCCTGGCCAGTGACCTAGCGAATTTGGCGGCGTTGCAAATGGGTCGTTAGACAAACTGCAGATTTACCCATATACCCACAAAATTGGGATTTATGGGAACATGATGACTTGATGACTTGTTTGAAATTGAGAAAACATATTTGAAAACATTGTTTCCTTTTGGCGCTGTCAGAAAATGGATCTGCAGAAGATGAAACGCTTGATTTTTTTGGTAGGCTACATCCCGTTAAAAGACGTAACCATGCATCCACCTGGTAAAGATGCAAGGACTTTGGTGTCCAGAATGGGAAATAACATGAAATAACCGACTGCATCGCCATGCAAAATTACCGAAGGGTGACTGGATAGTACCACCAACAACTGTTTCGATGACTAATTCTATTGTGTTCTCATGCTGATTGGTCGTGTATCTATTTATCATTGTTGGCCAAATACTTGAGAATAAAACTGGCTAGATTTGGTCCCAGGACATTACTTGCAGATGAGTAAACGTTATGGCCCGCTGCTTGCCCAAAACTAGTGGTTCATTCTACATTCGTGGATCAGATATGTATAGTAGGCATTCAAAAAAAAGTAGGTAAACCAATACTTGGATGAATTTGGATGGTTTCGTTTCCTACCAACGCTAGAATGACCGGCAAATCTGCATTTTTTGGGGTTCTAACTGTTGACCCATATCTTTCCCCTGCAGAATCAATGTTTTCCTTGATGCCCATACGACCATTTTTAAACATCCAATTGCATCCCTGAACGAAAAAAAAATGATTGACAATATTTTGAGAAAAGTGCAGGCAGATTGTAAATTAAACAGTATATATCCCAATGTCATTGTATGTCCATTTAGGTTAAAACATGGAAAAACAATGGAGGATGAACTGGATAATTCCCTATCTCCGATTGACTAGCTGGAATCCAACATGCCCCAATATTTCAGAATATACCCAAAACACGAAATAACAAACATACAACAAGGTCTAACCCGTACATGTTTCTGGGATTCAATAAAGAAAATTTTAGCGATGGCGAATGATGATATTTATTTCACCTTAATTTCAAATATCCCAGTCAAAGTTCCCAATTCTCCAGAATGTAGTTTCCACTCCTCAACTAGTTGCAAATATTCCCAAAGTCATGAAAAAATATGTAGGAACGCCGGAATGTATTTGATGTTCCCACTGTTCTTATGTTCCACTACTCTAAGAGTTAATGTTCCAATATTTACACCTAATTTGCCAACAAATGGGTATGTCTGAAAATTGGGTTTAAACCCCGAAAAAGCTGTTTCAATACAAAAGCAATGACTAACCATCAGACATTTGGGTGCCTTATTTTAAGTCAAACCCATACTGTTACTCAAACATAGGCTGATGATCATCATCCCACATGAGGGAAATTAGGTGCAGTACTAATTATTCATTAGCTGATATCCCAACTATCATTCTAAATATATATATATATATTGTATGTGGAATATATCATGTTCCAATAGTCTAGATGAATATTCAACTATCCCAGAAATTTACAATATTCCACTTTTACGCAACCCAACCCATGAACTGTTCCATCATATATTGGAAATCTGATGGCTAACAGGAAAGCATTACCATAATATGGTGGTTTCCGACAATGTGGATACCCCAAGAGCTGGACAGTTTTTTTTTATGGAAGGTATTGGCTTCACTGTGCATTCAGCTCACACACCCATGCGCGCAAATACCTGTGCCCACACTTGGCCCGGATGTTGTTGATGTCCAAGAGGCACACAA